CAAGCTAGTGAGTGTTCAAGTAGATGGTAGTAGAACAGTAATAATGTCATTTTAAGTATTGGCTCTATGTTCCGTGTTCCTTGTTTTTCTCTTATGATCAGCAAGCTTTCCATAATGGACATGGTATGGTAGTGGGGGTTATTATGTATGGCTTGGCCCTCAAGTCTAGCGATTTTGGAGAAAATTAGGAAGACGTGTTGCTTGATTGTTTACATGAGGAGTAAATTTTGCTCCTACACAAGGGTGATGCAATTTGCTTTAGAAATCAAATGTCTCTGTTACAATCACTTTCTGTAATTTAACATAACATCACTATGTTATTTGTGTTTGGACAACAAAATATCCCAAACTTGATCGTGTTTATTTGTTTGACTTTATCATTCCAATATTTCGTGCGCATTGTTGCCAGTTGAGAAATTGAATGCATCATTCCAATATGCGTAGCTTCCTCCAAGCCTGTTCTCATGGCAATACTCGGAGTAGGCTATAGCTAATAAGAGGCAGAATTATGTTGTTAAATACTCAAGGTAAGTAACTAGACTCGTTGTCTGGGAGACTTGTAAGTTCTGTGTTAAGTTAACGACCGGTTATCACTAAGTTGCATGCTGCTTATGTACAGATTTGGAAAGTTTGTTTGTGTTTTCTGAATTGTGTTGTTAAGGCTGTTCCAAGTAGCGATTACATTAAGAGCATAGCATATGCATAGTTTTTGTTAGACAAAATATGTTTTACAGGATTTCTTGTTGGTAGAAAGTAGTAAATGTTTCACCGTAATAGGGAATTCTCGGAAATGACTGTAGAATTTGTTGAAATGGTTTCAGGACCTACGGAAATGCCTATGGTAGAAAAATACAATGAAAGGTAAAAGGAACGGTTCATGGTGAAAGGACCATGCCAAAATTTTAAAGGTTTAAAGGAATGTATACTTGTTCAAGAGGTTAACAGCATTGTCTTCCATGAGGCGAGTACCGAGGATTTGGGCAAGAAAAGGAAAGGGTAAAGAATAAAAGGATTTTGATTTCTTCTTCTTTTTAATTGAGGCATACATGTCATATAGCACAATTATTCTCATATAGCAGACATACTGCTTAAAGCCTTTAACTGATGTCTTAGTTTATTTTGTCTATTTGTTAGTTATTGAGTTATGCTCATTAAATGTTTCAGTGTGAGTCTTACTATGATTAGTTTCTAGTAAACCTAGGTGCAGTCGCAAGTTTATGATTGGTTTGTTATGATCAGTTTTGTAAAGTTGAATTTGTTGAATGCTTGGGAAATTATTTGGGTTTGCTGTACAGGTACAATTATGTGTTTTTGGTCTTTTTCAGTGGAGACTCTGTTAGTTTTCTGATAGAAGCCAGACCCTAAAGCAATTTTTGGATTAGGGTAAGAAGGGTATTTTGGTAATTTGTGCTCGACACCTATCAAGTGTTGGACATGTACGGGGTTCGACATAGATTTCAAAGTTGGATTTGGGTCGGGTTCTGTCAAAAACGATATTAAAACTCACTAGAATCATTTTATGGCTTCGTTAGAACCATATTAAGGCTCACCAAAACGATATTAAAGCTCACTAGAACCATATTGTGACTTACTAGAACCATAACAAAGTCTACCAAAATGATATGAGGGCTTGATAATTCAAAGAGCGCCTTTCAATGTCTCCTTCTCGATTTAAGCATCATCAACACACATTGTCTCTAAATGCCACAACTCCAACAATAAGATCAACAAAATCTTTCTTCGATCCATATCTAATAATTGTTATACAAACAAAACAATCTTGGTTTAGCTAGTTGTGATATTAAAATAAAATGTACATATAAAACATAAAAATAAAAACCAAGACAGAACCTATAACATTCATACAATCCAATTAATATGCTTAGATAAATTTCATAAAAAAAACCTACACTCAACAATATTCTATGTAAGAAGCATTCTTACTCTGTTCTTTAACCTTTTTATTATAAAAATTCCACCTTGTAGGGGACTTTTTCTTCCTGCAGCTAATGGGTTGGGCTGCTGTAAAAGGGTGGACTGAGGAGATTGTCCCATTTGCTTAGGTTCGAAAATTAAGCCCCAAAATACCTCGAAAGAGTAGCAAAACCTTAGGAAATATTTTGGCTATCTTCACCGATCAGAATAATGGTGACTTATAGATGGTTTTGGCATACTTACAGATAGTCTTTTAGCTCAGCATGAGTGGCATGTGGCATGGGAGCAAAACCAACATAAGTTTAGCACTAAGAGAGAGAGAGATTAGGCTTAGTTTATGATAAAAGAAAGTATTAAGGTAAGGAATGAGGTGTTTTGTGAGGAATTTTGTATGGGGAAAGAGGAAAAAGAAAGGCAGAGTTCTTCTGGCAGCTGCCAGGAAAAACAAGTTGGAGAAGAAGGTGAACAGTGCACGAGGTTGTTAGGTTTTTGCAAGTTAGAGAGAAAGCTTGCTCCCTGAATTTGAGTTGTCTCTGTTGGGTAGGGGAAGCCTCGATTTATAGCTGCTGGAAATCACCATTTTTCCAAGAAACCTTAATGGCTTCTACTCATTTTCGCTAAGCTTTTCCCTTCTTTCTCCTCCTCTTCTCTAACTTCCCTATCTTGGCAAAAATTGCCTCTGTCTATCTGCACAAATTCAGGAGATTTGGGCACTCAACGTCCCCCTTTCCTGCAGCTGTGCAGTGGGAACTTCCATTCTTGGCTACTATTTTTTCTTCTTTCCTTCCTCCTGCTTTGGCTAAATCTGATGAAGGAAAGGAAGTGAAGGTATATGCTGGTCCAAGGGGTGCTTCTGACAGCATGCAGGCCAGTATTCCTTGGTTCTTTGAGCGTCCCTGGCTTGGAACTTGCTCCCAGCAGCTTTGCTTAATGAGTCTGCTAACCTCCTTCACGTGTCTTCTATTTTTTTCAAAAGAGCTGAGGCTTTTGTGGATTATTTTGGGATTTTTATATGGGCCAAGGTGGTTTTCTAAGCAAATGGGCTTTTTGTTAAACATTGAGCCTCTTGATTGGGCTTATTTTTTGGTTGGGTTATTTTTGGTTAGGTTATTTTGCTTGGGCTATTGGGCTACTTTTCTCTCTTGTGCTTACCCACATGTTTGGGCCTAAGAAATGGGCTTGAGTCTCGAGGCTCCCAAGCAACCCGAGACTTTCCATTTCTCGGCCCATCAATGGGCCTCATGTTGATTTATTACCATCCATGCCACAACCCACTCAAGCAAGCCCCGGGTTTTTGAGTGGCTTGGGCCCACTTAGGCTTGTAGCGTGGTTGGGTGTGCGATAATGATTTCGTGCTTGGCATGACACATTGCTTAGCATGTTTTAATTTATCGTCCTGCGATGCTTATTTTTTGCATGGGTCTGTAAACCCGGTATATTTTATCTCAACCCCGAGCGAATTTATTTATTTAGCGTGGCACGTGAACTGTAATTCGCATGTGGTAGGTTTCGGTGCACTCTGCTTTACGCTTTTTCCTAATGGATTGTCGTTTTGAGCTGATAATTTATTCGGGCCCAACCATGTATTTTTTTGGGTCTCAACATTAGCCCCCTTAATTATAAGGGCCATGAACAGGTGCTGGAATGGGCCGAATAATTAAACCCAACCCAAAAAATAAAATTTGTATTTGTGGAGAACTCTTCCTCTTCCCGCGTGCAAAATGACGGCGCGTCATGATTGGTGTCAACGGTTATTTGCAGTTTCCCAACGCAAACTGCCTTCCTCTTCTTTTTATTATTATTTTTCCTCCTTTGTTTCTCTTTTCTCGCACCAGACACAAACCTCCTAGAATTTTCTTTTCTTTTTCACGGACCAGACACAAACTTCTTCCTTTTCCTTTCTTTTTTACGCTCTAGACCCAAAACTTCTCTCCAACTATCTTTCCTGTGTTCTCTTTTGCTCTTCCACGAAGTCAGACCAAGTGAGAAAGTGCAATCGGGTAGAAATCACCCATCTCTAGCTGCTGGGAAGAAAGCCCCCAGTCCGACTCAACCTCGTCGTCCCTCCTTCGTTCAAAGAGAATCCATTCGCTGATGCTGGAAGGGTTTTCTTTTGTGCGGATTTTGCCTTCAAATCCCCGATTTTCTCCTCTTCTTGGTGCATTCAAGGCCATCCCTTGGAAGATTTAACAAGGTACCCCTTTTTTCCAGTTTTCCCTTAGATTCATTGGAGAATTTGTTGGGTTTCTCATACCCATGGGTGTTGCCTTTTGTTTTGGCAGCCAAATACCAAACCCCCTTTTTACCCATCTTGTTACCGTTGCAACAAGTGTGCTCACGGAGTGGGTACTAGCAAGGAAGGGCCCGTGCCATTGTCTGAGTTTCTTCCTTCGTTGATTTTGCTCGAGCTGCTGGAAAGGTAATAATTTTTTTTTGTTGGCTTGGGTTTCTCCCCCTTTTCTTCATTTTTATTTTGCACGGGCTTCCTCTTTTGTGTGTAAAAAGGCTGATTTTGGCATGATGTGCTTTCTCTTTTATTTATTTCTGTGCAGGTATATACGTCTCAGGCATAGGTGAGGGTAGGTGCTGGAAACCCTTGACGTTTCTGCTGCTGGAACCTTCGAATTTCTCAATCTTCTAATTTGGATTTTTGGTACTTCTGTCTTAACCTTTTGGTAAATAATTCCACCAACTTTGGGTATTTTTAGAGTAGGTGTAGACTGATGCTTGGCCTAGGCTTTCTTTCCTTGAGAACGCATGCCTGATCAATTATGGATTTCTGCGTGTGTTGCCTGTGGAGAACAATAACTGACAGAGTGCATGTTTTGTATTGCCTGGTTGAATATTTATTTATTTATTTTTTCATTTTGAGAAGGGACTTGCTTATCCTGCTTGTTGATCACGGAGTGAGACTTTTACTTGTCATGAGCTTGAATTTTAAATTGCATGTTTGCTTGGATGAACTCAACTAGCCATACTTGGCACGTATTTTACGTGTGCTAATTCTATTTTGCTTCTTTCCATATTTCTATGCGCAGGTTCCTGTCGTTTTCCCAAGAGTTATCATGGCTTCCACTAATCTATCATCCATCCTCAGGGACCATCTCTATTCCACAGATGACAAATTGAAAAGAGGGAGACCTCCTCATTTGCTTAAGAGTACTGACGAAGATAGAATCATTGATGGGGAGCCAGCGCCGGAAATAGCTCCAGTGATTGATCCTGCGTCGATATCAAGATGCTGCATAGAGAGAGGCCTATTACCAGCAATCCCTTTATTCTTCCAATATCCATGTGGCATCAACAAAGGTTGGTCCGAGTGGGTTGACCGTGAACTAAGGGACCCTTCCACTTGTGACATTCTGAGCCGGGCAGGGGTGCTGGATGCTATTTTTATTTCTAAAGCTTGTGACATTCATATTGAAGCCAAGATGCTCCGGCATGTGGTTAGGCGATGGAGTACCGAGACACACACCTTCATCTGCTCCTGGGGAGAGTTTGCTCCCACGCTTGAGGATGTAGCCAACATTTTCCGGCTCTCACTTTACGGCAGTCAAGACCCCTTCCACATTGCGTTGACCCCGGAAGATAAGTTAAAGCTTGAGACTTTAAGGAAGGGTGCTCCGACTTCTCCTAGCACTTCCCTGCGGTTTAGCAACTGGGTACAATTCTTCGGAGATGTTAATAGGAATGAGTCGTGTCGCCTTGCAGCGTTTATATCATTATGGCTTGGAAGATTCATTTTCTGTGATTTTTCTCAAGACTGTTTGCACGAGGGGGTATTTCCTTTGGCTTTGGCAATAGCGCATGGCAGCACGCTCCCTCTAGCCCCCATGTTCCTGGGACACCTATACTGTTTGCTTGACTAGGTTCAGATGCTTGAGAAAGGGGCGGCCGGAACCATGGCTGTGGAGACTTTCCTGAATTCTAGTTTCCTGCAAGTCTTTTATGGGAGTGCCTTCAAGGGATAAAAGTATCACCACTTCCCTATTTGAAGGCTAAGTCACTTGTTGGTTCTGATGAGGGTTCATACGTACCGGAGGGTCTCCCTTTGATTTGCAGATGGTCATGACGGATGCAAAGGAGGGGTCAGAATTTCTTAGAGCTGCTGGATGATGTTGAAAGATTTATCTTCCGCCCTTACTGTGTTCTACCGGAGGGATTTAAATGTATGCCCTTCTATGCTGACTCTTATGATCTAGTTGGGGCCCCAGTAATGACAGTACAAGGACGTCAATTACGAAGGGAAGCGTTGCTAAGCGCTGCGTGCCCTCCTTTGCCTACACTAAGCGACAACCACCTTGAAATTTCCGTGCATTATTCACCTTACCAAGTCATACGGCAGTTTGTATTTAATCAAGGTGTGCCTCTCAGTCCTATCCACGGAGAGCCCTCTTCACTGCACAGAATCTTTTGGACTGAGGACCATGTACCGGGAGATGGCAGACCTTTTGCCCTTGCTTTGGCCAATAGAGAATGTGCTGGCGGTCTCTCAAAAGCCTACCAAAGCTACTGGAATCGTTGCTTTGCTGCATTTAGCCGATTCCACGCTGCCCATTGCGATCGATTACTTCCCACCATAGTCCATCATGCCCGCTTAGTGTCGGAAGAGAAAGCAATTTCCTTGAGTGAGAAATGGAATCTGCCTTTTACTTCCAAAAGCGGAGAGATTGTTGGTGATTTTTCGAAGCTAAAGCGGAAGTTAGAGAAATCGGGTTCTCATAGCACTGGGAAAAGTGCTGCACATGGGAAACGGAAGCAAGAGGAAAGCTGCAGCGTCGAGAAAAGCCAAGCTGTAAAAGGACAAAAAAATTCATCCCCAAGGTAGCAGCAAGTGGTCCCCCTAGCTCAAGAAAAGTTGCCTTGCCAGAGCCTTTACCGCAGCAACAGGCAAGCAGCACCAAGGGCTTTGTCTCATCACAGTAAGTCTTGCCATTTGTTTGCTCTCTTTTGTTTTCCCTTCTTTATATATATATATATATATATATATATATATAAGTATTCCTTTTATTTTATTTTACAGGTACTCCCCAAAATAAAGGCAAGGGTCGAAGCATGCGCATTCTCGAAACACGGTTTGCCAATACCCGCAAGAACAAAGGCGAAGATGCGGGACCCAAAGTAGTGGTAACGGTTGATGATAATAGTGATGATGGTAGCGATGAAAGTGGTGCTGCGGAGACTGAGATTAGCACCCACAAGCAAGAGAGCACTCACAATACAAGTGGCATGGATGAGGACCTTGATGAAGACCAATACTATAGTCATGATGAAGACACATATCCGGACTTTGGCACTAACTTGGAGGAGCCCGACGCCTCAGATACACCTCCTGCTTTGGCTAGTGACCATGGGCAGCGTGTTGACATTGAATTGGTATCAGATGACCCTCTTGCTTGTTTTACTTGGCATATTGACATTGCATACTGCCAGTTGTGTCCCATATTTCATGCTTTGTTTTTCTCCTACAGGTCGTGCCCACCATTGAGGACACGACAGGTGCCTCATCGGAGGCTGGTTTTGCCTCTCCCGCTACTGTTGCTGATGTTGTCCTAAGCCTTCTGGCAGTGCAGCCTCCTTCTTCTCCTCACCTGGGCACTCCTGACATGGCTGCCGACGCCTCTCCGCCACTTCCAACAGTTCCTCCTCCTATTTCTCCAATCCTGAGCACACCTGACATAGCTGCCAGCACCTCTCCACCACTTCCAGTGGTTCTTCCCCCTACTTCTCCAATCCTGAGCACACTTGACATAGCTTCCAGCAACTCTCTGCCACTTCCAGCAGTTCTTCCCCCTACTCCTCCAATCCCGAGCACACCTGACATGGCTGCTGGCACCGTTCCACTTCTTCCAACAGTACTACCTTATACTCCTCTTATCCTGGGTACACTTGACATGGCTGCCGGCGCCTCTCCGCCACTTCCAGCAGCACAACCCTTTGCTGAGATTATTGACAACAGTCATAGGAATGGTGATGCTTTTATCGCAGGTTCCTCTAGAGGGCATTTATTCGAGAAAGGCATGTCTTGGCAAGATTGGGAAAACTCCTACATGGCATTCAAAGCTTTTTTTTGGCGGCGGTATCACCATTCTTAGATCCATTGATGAGCTTCTCCCGCTTTGCTACAGATTTGATGGTTATGTGACATTTTAAGGTGCCCTTGTGTATCGAGAGACGGTTGAGGCCTTGAAAAGGTTTATAAACAAATACGAAGATTTGATGGAAGCTACAGATGTCACCTCCTCTTTCTCAAGGTGCACTGCCCTCCGAGCCCTTGGCCTAGTACTTCACGGGATGGACACCATGCAACTCCTTGATATTACGGACCACAAACTACTCTGTTGGCGAGATGTAATATGTGAGGCCATGATTCTGGGCTTTCGCGTGGAATTTCTTCTCAAACTTGTGAAGAACTTAGCACGTGCTGTCTTTGGAGCACGGGCCATTCATAGTATGCAATTATCGCATGATTCTGATGAAGTAAAAGCTGCTGCAGATGCCTTGAATATTAAGTGGCATGTTTTGTTGTTTTTATTTATTTATTTTTTATATAAAGAAAATTTGAAAAAGTGTAAGTAACAGTAAAACTTTTAGAGACACAATTTTTTTCAAAACATTCCTTCATTCTCATTGCAAAGCGCTTGCTACCATAATGGTGCATCATACAAAAGTGTCTTTTTTCAAAACATGAAAATAAGATAGAAGGAGTTTGTTTGTTTGTTTTTTTTTTTTTGACAGAAGGAAAATATAAAAGTACGGGGCATAAAGTTATCTTAGCAGTAGTAGAGCTTGAGCCACTTCCTGTTGATGGGGTCCGTCAGCGTGCCTTCTTTGACAGAGACCAAGCGATAATAGCCGCTGCTGTAAACTTCTTTGACTGCAAACGGGCCTTCCTATTGCGGCGCAAACTTGGAAGGTCCCGACACTTGTCTTCTCACATGCTCCACGACTTTTAGCACGAGTTCTCATTGCTTGAAGGCGCGAGGCTTGACTGTCCTGTTACAGGCTTGAGCTATGGTTCTGTGGTACAACGCTGTCTTCTTTTCGACTTCCGCTCTTTTTTCATCCAAAGCTTCAAGTTCCAGCAGGCGGCATTCCGAGCATGACTTTGTATCCCATTCGAGGTCGTTAACAGCTGCTATTCTGGCAGTGGGGATGGTAATCTCTACTGGTGAAATGGCATCAGACCCATACACAAGCGAATAAGGCGAGAAACCTGTGGCACTTCTTGAAGAGGTGCGGTAGGCCCATAAAGCATCCGGCAGGTGAACACTCCAACCTCCTTTATACTCATAAACCATTTTGCTTAGGATCCTTAATAAAGTCTTGTTTGTGGCTTCCGCTTGACCATTTCCTTGTGGGTAATAGGGCGACGATGCTTGATGCCATAACCACTAAGCGTCGAGCTTACTTGCTTATTGACAAACGGGGTGCCATTGTCGGTGACAATCTTATGGGATCCCAAATCTACATAAGATATATTCACGGATGAAATTGGCGATGGCAGCCCCCGTGGCCTTCCGCAGAGGAACCGCCTCAACCCACTTTGTGAAATATTCGGTGGCTGTGAGGATCCATATGTAGCCGTCGGATGGTGGATGGATAGTCCCGATCAAATCAAGCCCCCAAGTATGAAAGGGCCAAGGAGTGCGCATGTCCTGCAGCAGCGTGGGAGGCTTGTGACTTAAGTTGGCATGAACTTGGCATGTGTGGCACCTCTTCACAAAGTTGTATGCATCATTCTTCATTGTAGGCCAATAATACCCAACACTCAACAGCTGCCAGTAAAGCCTCTTCATTCCTTGGTGCTCACCACATTCTCTAGCATGAATCTCTTGCATGACTTGCTGTGCTTCTGACTTTCCCAAGCATTTTAATGGCTCACCATTAAACCCCTTGCAGTAAAGAGTTGACCCATCTATGAAGTATCTTTTCATTGTCCTTTTGAGCTTGCGTGCATGCTTGGGATTGGTTGGCAAGACTCCGTTGATGAAGGATGCCAAGTATGGAGCCCTCCAATCCTCCGCAAACGAGATGGTGAATGATTCCTCGGTGGAGGGTATCTTTGCACACTTGGGACAATTGGCTTGTATTTCAGCTGCTTGTTTCCTCATTTCTGGCCAGTAATAACCCTTGCGCTGCAGGCGCCGATACAAGCTGATTATTGGCTCCAAATTGCAAGTAACCTCATGTACCTCTTGAAGCTTCTCCTGTGCTTGTTGTCCCTATGCAGCGGGTCAAAATACCTCCCGGAAGGCGTCTGTACAGTTCCCCAAAGATGATCGCATAATCCTTCAATTCTTTGATGTCGCTTCCTTTGCCTATTTTTTCTTTCACAAGCTTCCTCCAGTCATCCTCTTCTAGCTGCTCCTCTTGAGCCATTGCTTCAACAACCGGCGTGTCTTCTTGATTACTGCAATATTGGGCTGTTCTTCAACAAATGAGAGCCTCGATCCCAAAGTGGCCAATGCATCAGCATATCTATTAGTGACCCCCGGGATATGTTCCAACACAACTTGTTTGAAAGAACGAGCAAGCCTTCAACAGCTGTACGATACGGCGCCAATGCTGGTTCCTTCACAGTGAAATTTCCTTGTAATTGACTCAGCACCAGGTTTGAGTCCCCAATAATTTTAATTCTTTCGACACCCATTTCCCTTGCCGTAGACATCCCTGCAATAAAAGCTTCGTACTCCGCAATATTATTTGTGCATGGGAAATTTAGCTTAAATGAGAGGGCCGTGGCTTGCCCCTTGGGATTGACAAGCACTACACTGCCCCTCCACCCTTCGATGTAGAAGACCCATCGAAGAAGAGGGTCCATGGTCCCGCCTCTGTGACTACAACAACCATTTCTGGCAGCTCCCCCAGAACTTCCTTAGAGATTGTTGATTCTTCAACTTCGGGAAATAGAGCCAGCATGTCAATCACGGCTTGTCCTTTGATGGCTTTTGGGGTGGTGCAGGTGATATCAAACTCGGACAGTTGTAGCAACCAACGTGCAAGGCGTCCGGATAACACCAGCCTTGTGAGCAAATATCTTACGGGATCAGACTTCACTATGAGATGTAGCTTGTGAGTAAGGAAGTAATGCCGCAAGTGCTGTGCAGCATAGACAAGAGCAAGACACAAGAGTTCAGTCTTCGGATATCTCACTTCAGCTCCCCTTAGTTGCCTACTTACGTAATAATGGGACTTTCTTCCCCGCCATGATCATCTTGAGCAAGCAAAGCCCCCACCGTTGTGTTTGTTGCAGCCAAATAAAGCTTGAGAGGAAGCGCAGGAATAGGTGCTCTCATAGTGGGCAGCTTGGTGATTATTTGTTGCACTTTCTTGTAAGCTTCTTGGCACTTCTCACTCCATTCATACGGCTTGCCTTTCTTGAGCAATGGAGTAAAAGCACTCATGGTGGCAGCAAGACCTGGGATGAAGCGTCGAATATACGATAGTCTTCCCATAAAGTTTTTCAATTCTTTTGGGTTTCTAGGGGGTGCAAGGGAGTTGATGGCTCTAGTTTTTTCAAGATCCACATCTATGCCACGCTGGTGTACTTGAAACCCCAAGAATTTGCCGGATGAAACTCCAAACGCGCACTTCTTTGGATTCATCTTTAGCCCGTACAGGCGGCACCTTTCCAGCACCCTCCTCAAAACTTCTTGATGGCCTTATCTGGTTTTGGACTTCACCACAAGGTTATCCACATAGTCTTCGACTTCTTTTCCCATCATGTCGTGAAACACTGCTGTCATGGCTCTTTGGTAGGTGGCGCCAGCATTTTTGAGGCCGAATGGCATGACCGTATAATAAAAATTCCCATATGGTGTTCGAAAGGCTGTCTTCTCAGCATCTTTGGGTGACATCTTGATCTGATTGTAACCACTAAACCCATCCATGAATGACAACAAGCCTTGACCCGAGGTCGAATCAATTAAGATATCCATGTTAGGCAGCGGGAACTCGTCCTTTGGGCAAGCTCGGTTGAGGTCTCGGTAATCCGTGCATATTCTGATCACACCGGTTTTCTTTTTCACAGGGACAATATTTGCTAGCCACGTAGGGTGCTTGATTGGCTTAATGAATCCGACAGCTAACAACTTTTCAATTTCCACCTTGATTTGCTTCTCAATTTCAGGATGAAAATTCATTCTTGGCTGCACGATAGGTTTCGTACCAAGCTCAATATTCAAAGTATGACTTACTAAGCTTGGGTTTAAGCCAGGCATTTCCTCGTAGCTCCAAGCGAACACATCTCGGAATTCCTTTAGCAAAGATACCATGGCCTCCTTCTCTTTACTTGTTAAATGAACGCTCATGGAGATGGGCCTTGGGGCAGAGGGATCCTCACCCAATTCAATTGTTTCCAGCTGCTCAGCTACCGCTGCTGATCCATCTTGCATGTGTTTGGGTGCTGTCATCGGTTCTTGGAAAACACAAGGCATGGGTGCCTTGTTATCGGAACTCCCACAGCTATTTGTTTGCATTACTTCCCCTCCATACTCGGGGCTTTCCCGTAGGACACGGTCAAGCCCCCAACCCCGTCATAAGTGGTACACGGTACGTCCATCGGGCAGCGTCACCTTTGAGCATTGAGGATGATCATAGGCATGATTGTTGACTTCCGAATGCCTCTTTCTCTCTCGATCGACAATGGTGATGAGCTCCTCATTGCTTAAATCACGAATTTCAGTCCATGAAGGAAGGTAGGTCCCGAAATTCTTAGATGGGTTGCTTCCAGCACCTATGCATTCAGTGTAGAATTCTGCCTCGAACTAGTGAGCTTCATCCTTGTTGAACGGTGCTTGATTCCCAGGTATGCGTAGTGGCCTCAGCCCAATCCTTCCTTTTACGCATTGATGATAGGTAGAGACCACAATTTTATGCTTGTTGAGCCATGGCCTTCGAAGCAAAGCATGGTAAGCCACATCCACATCCACGACATAGAACTTAGTAAGTGACCAAATTGGCCCAACCTTCAAATTTACTTGCAGATGCCCGACTGTGACCTCATTCTTATTCCCGAAACTGCTGATTTTGTTTGTGATTGGACAATTTTGGATAATGGAATACCAGCTGCCGTAAGCACAGACAGAGGTAATATGTTGACAGAGGAACCCGTGTCTACCAAAGCTCTCCTTATGAACACATCATTGATTTGTCCCTCCAAATAAAGTGGCCTCCTATGATCCGGGTATGGAACTTCCATGTCTTCGTCCGTGAAGACAATAGCATTGTCATTTTCCAAAAATGACCTTTGTGGTTGAGCGGTAAAGCAATGAGAGTTAGACTCCGCAGAGATATTCATCAGAGCTACAACAGCTGCTTCTCTTGCTTGAGGCTCGAAGCCAAGTTGGTCAAAGTGTGATTTGAACTTCGGGTTTCTTTGAAGGACCTGTGAAGCTGTGGGCCCCTGTTTCATACTTAAATAATGTTCCATCACGCTTGTTTCAGCTTCCGTGAGATTATGAAATGTCACAGCAGCTGCTTCCTGTTGCCCCGATAAAGCCCCCGAGTAGCATTCTTCCGGTATGTCTAAAACAAAAACTTCGCTGTTTGAGTTGTTACCCCATCCATCAGCGAGCGGCCATGGTGTGTTGTAACTTGAAGGCCTCGAATATTTACACCAATATGTCTTCTCCATGTTTCCGCAAGGTTCCCATATAGCTTTCGGCGGCTTTGGGTCATTCCTCCAAGGGTGGCACAATTCATCATCATCGAGCAAATCATCAGAGCATGTAATGACAGCATCTACCTCCTCTCCCCTTTGTTTTGGCAAGGGGTCTTCATCAATTGTTTACTTCCTAGAGGGAAGTTCAAGGACTCCCTCATGTATCTTGGCGTGTAAAATCCTCCCGAGACTCTGACAGGCAGTAGTTGGATGCCCCACAAATTGATGATAACGGCAGTACCTAGGATCATTCCTTTCCTCTCGAGTGGGAATTTTGTAGGGTCTGACAGGCTTGATTACGCCATCAGCAATCATTGTGTCAAGGATAGCATGAAATTCTTCATCTTTGCATGAATTATAGTCGTTGGATGGCTTGTCATCTATTGCTAATGTCTGGTGCGCTTCCTTCTTCTCATTCCTCCAAGTCCTTTGTCCTGTTGGCTTGACGGACATGCTTGTCTTCCTCACAGCTTCCAGCAGCCGAGAAAATTGACTAATGCCAATATTCTCCAAATACACTCTATAATCTGCCACAATTTTGCTTATGCAGATTTCAACAAGCGCCTCCTCATCTTTCTCATTGTAGCAATCCAATGCCAGTTCCTCGAACCTACGCACAAAGTCCACGGGATCCTCACCATGCTTTTGGCGAGTGTTGTTGAGTTGAGTGGTGGTGATTTGTTCTTCATGCTGGAAATACTTCTTACAAAACCTACTTGCCAAGCTTTCCCAAGAGTGAATAGAGCCTGGTGCCAACGTCGTATACCATGTGTAAGCACGATCGGTGAGACTCTTTGAAAATTCTCTAAGTTGAAGATTATGATCACTAGCATATGGTCCCAAGGCATCAATGAAGCGATTGACATGCTCCTTCGGGCTCCCCTTCCTTCTGTCAAAGAGGACAAAGGTTGGTGCTTCATAGCCTTTAGGATATGGCTGCTGGAGTAAGCTTGATGGGTACGGCGGCTGAGGAAGATACTTCCAATCTTCCTGACTTCGACTCAACTCCTTTTCCAGCATGGCAACAACGTCCTCCTAAGTGACAAAAGACTCCTTTCCAGCAGCAGCAGATTCCTCTTGTGGGTGTTTCTCATTCACTTCACTTGGCTTTGGAGCCGAATTTTTGCGTTCTTTTATCATCTCTGCCATCTCCCTCTAGGTCTCACCCATAGCATGAATGGCTGCAACAAGGTCTGTGAGGGTAAAATTTCCCTCACTTGCACGTTCTTCTTCTCTAGAAGAGGCATGTTGCCTTGATTTTGAGTCAGCATGGCTTGGCCCATCCTGGGAAGTCATGTTGTTGCTTCTGGTCTTCTTTCTTGGAGGCATTGATGAAGATAATGGCTTAATCCCCAGCAGAGTCGCCAATTTATGTAGGGGACTTTTTCTTCCTACAGCTAATGGGCTGGGCTGCTGTAAAAGGGCGGACTGAGGAGATTGTCCCCTTTGCTTAGGTTCGAAAATTAAGCCCCAAAATACCTCGAAAGGGTAGCAAAACCTTAGGAAATATTTTGGCTATCTTCACCGATCAGAATAATGGTGACTTACAGATGGTTGTGGCATGAGAGCAAAACCAACATAAGTTTAGCACTAAGAGAGAGAGAGATTAGGCTTGGTTTATGAGAAAAGAAAGTATTAAGGTAAGGAATGAGGTGTTTTGTGAGGAATTTTGTCTGGGGAAAGAGGAAAAAGAAAGGCAGAGTTCTTCTGGCAGCTGCCAGGAAAAACAAATTGGAGAAGAAGGTGAACAGTGCACGAAGTTGTTAGGTTTTTGCAAGTTAGAGAGAGCTTGCTCCCTGAATTTGAGTTGTCTCTGTTGGGTAGGGGAAGCCTCGATTTATAGCTGCTGGAAATCACCATTTTTCCAAGAAACCCTAATGGCTTCTACTCATTTTGGCTAAGCTTTTCCCTCCTTTCTCCTCCTGTTCTCTGACTTCCCTATCTTGGCAAAAATTGCCTCTGTCTATCTGCACAAATTCAGGAGATTTGGGAGCTCAACGTCCCCCTTTCTCGCAGCTGTGCAGTGGGAACTTCCATTCTTGGCTACTGTTTTTTCTTCTTTCCTTCCCCCTGCTTTGGCTAAATCTGATGAAGGAAAGGAAGTGAAGGTATATGCTGGTCCAAGGGGTGCTTCTGACAGCATGCAGGCCAGTATTCCTTGGTTCTTTGAGCGTCCCTGGCTTGGAACTTGCCCCCAGCAGCTTTGCTTAATGAGTCTGCTAACCTCCTTCACGTGTCTTCTATTTTTTTCAAAAGAGCTGAGGCTTTTGTGGATTATTTTGGGATTTTTATATGGGCCAAGGTGGTTTCCTAAGCAAATGGGCTTTTTGTCAAACATTGGGCCTCTTGATTGGGCTTATTTTTTGGTTGGGTTATTTTTGGTTAGGTTATTTTGCTTGGGCTATTGGGCTACTTTTCTCTCTTGTGCTTACCCACATGTTTGGGCCTAAGAAATGGGCTTGAGTCTCGAGGCTCCCAAGCAACCCGAGACTTTCCATTTCTCGGCCCATCAATGGGCCTCATGTTGATTTATTACCATCCATACCACAACCCACTCAAGCAAGCCCCGGGTTTTTGAGTGGCTTGGGCCCACTTAGGCTTGTAGCGTGGTTGGGTGTGCGATAATGATTTTGTGCTTGGCATGGCACATTGCTTGGCATGTTTTAATTTATCGTCCTGCGATGCTTATTTTTTGCATGGGCCTGTACACCCGATATATTTTATCTCAACCCCGAGTGAATTTATTTATTTAGCATGGCACGTGAACTGTAATTCGCATGGGGTAGGTTTCGGTGCACTCTGCTTTACGCTTTTTCCTAATGGATTGTCATTTTGGGCTGATAATTTATTCGGGCCCAATCATGTATTTTTTTTGGGTCTCAGCACACCTAATAGAAAATTTTCAATTCTTCACATAACCCAATCCTTGAACTAGCAGATCTAGCATTATAATACAAATTACATATCCACTTTTAATTATCTCACTCAAAAGAACGAAGAAAATATCTCAAGAAGGAGCCAAAGAACGAAATATTCTAGAAAAAAAAAAATGGCAGAAAACCTAAAAGTAAAACAGAGAAAAATCTCAAAACATCTGCAGATTCATACCATAAACTAGAAAGAAGAAAAAGATTGAGTACAATATTCAATCAAGTTGAGAGAATAGGAAGATTCAGAGATAGAGAGAGTGGTGACCTGTTGAGAATCAGTGAAAATTGACTTCAGTTCGCTTAGGAAGCAGAAGATGATAACAAACGATGAAAACACGCGAGCGTTCTAATTAGTGAGCGTACTAATTGTCCCCCCCTTCTAGACGGGCTTAGCTAAGAACCCCTAAGGAGGTGTTTTTGGTGGGCCCAACATTAGTAGTCCCCATTTAAAACTAGAACTAGGTCAACCAAACATGGGCCTAATTTTAATCAAATCCAGTCCATGCCTGGGAGGTGTACCAAACGAGCCCTTAGATTATTGCATTGTCAAACCAAAAAAGAACTATTTAGTTCAAATTGGAATTGATCCTTTCAATTTTTTTATAAAAATATTTCTTACTGAAAGGGACGATGATATACTAAGCACACACACTACACGAATAATAAGGCTCGAACCCATGATCTACTTAATCCTTTCACAATTCAAGTACTTGGAAATCATCAACACAACCTTGTCTTGATGCGAGGTTATTGGCCAAAGAGTAAACGAAACAAATAACACAAGTAATAATTTATGATCTTGAAGACGTCATTTATATAACATTACAACAAGAAGTGCCTTTTGGGATTGTCAAAATCGAAGGATTGTGACGATGCCAAGTGTGGAATTCCATATGGCACAATATTTGTTGGACTGTCGGGCGATATCTTATTAGTGGGCTTGGTCAAGGATTTGGGTTTGATTGATTGGAATTAAGCGTCTCCACACTAACATCATGCACCACTTCTATAATTTTATTAGGGTAAACTACAGTAAACCCCTCAACTTATAGGGTCATTTATGAATCCATATCCGATTTTGGGGACATTTATGAGTACATACTCAACGTCGAGGAAAACCTACATATTGCCCCCTCCGTTGGTGAGTTCGTCAGGAAATCCGTTATCTGCCTATGTGGCAAATGTGAGTTCCATTTTTTAATGAGGTGGACTTATAGGTGGACAAATAAATAATAAAAAATTATATATTTTTCAAAACTAATTTTAAATCATTAAAATTATTTTAAAATTGATTATAAAAAAATAAAAAATAAAAAATAAAAAACAAAAAACAAAAAACCAACCCAGCCAACCACCACCACGACCTTGCCCACCCCTTCCCAACCCCTTCTCCGTCTCTGCCCCACCCCCTTTTTCCATCTCTGCCCACCCCTTCCCAGACCAAACATTCTGCTCAAGTAAGCTCACAACAATGGCGGCAGTAACAACCCATCATCATTTCTTCTACCCTCATATTTGCAAACCCAGATTTGGAACCCAACTTAAAACATCAATTACAACAACCCATCACCATTTCATCTGCTAAATATAACACAATTCACATGAACCCAACCTCGTCGCAACCCTAGCCACCCTACAATCCACGAACCCAACGTCGCTGCAACTCATGAACCCAGCCCCTCAGCAAACCCAGCCACACCACAATCCATGAGCCCAGCCACTCCGCAAACCCAGCCTCACCGCAATCCACGAGCCCCAGCCACCCCCACAAACCCAGCCTCGCCCCCTGACAAACAAGCCCAGCAACACATTTTCTCCCCCTCTGTAGCAAAAATCAAACCCAGCAACACATTTTCTCCAAATGTGTGACCCCGAAGTCTGTGATTCTATCACACTATGCAAGATTCAACCTTTTCATGGTTTTTGAGGAAGACCCATTAGCCAAAAACCCCAATCCACGATCTGTAATCAATGAACAATCTTGCAAACTCAAAACACTAATCGAATTTGCATCTGTTGAGAACAATGGATCGGGTTGGAGCAAAGGATGAGGGGCAGAGAAAGAGAATGTTGAAGAACAATCAACAGGGGGTAACAAATTTGGTGATTGGAATGCTCCAAAATCTTATGAAAGAGACCAATTGTTAGGATGAGGTCAAACTAAAGCTTAGCAAAGTGATGGAGGAAATTAGGTTTTGGGGGAAAACGATCAGATCTGTGCCATGGGGGAGGTGATGGGTTGGGCTGGAACAAGAGAGGTGTTAAGGCTGGGATAGGTGGCCTGAGTAAGCTTGGGTGGTGGTTTGGGTGGTTGGGGGCTAGGAGGAGAGGAGATCGGGAGAGAGAGAGAATGTAGGGTTTTTTTTTTTTTTTTTTTTTTTTTTTTTTTATTTTTTATTTTTTATAATTTAATTTAATATGTTTAATTTTTTAAAATAATTAAAAAATAAAATTTTTATTAATTTTTAGTCCACGTGGAAGTCCACCTCATTAAAAAATGGAACCCACATTTGCCACTTAGGCAGATAACGGATTTTCTGACGGACTCGCTAAAGGAGGGAGCAATCTGTAGGTTTTCCGCGACGTATGGGTATGGACTCGTAAATGACTCTATAGGTTGGGGGGTTTACTGTAGTTTACCCATAATATGTATGAAGTGTATAAGCCTAATGGTAACAATATGGGTGCTACTAGTACTACCAATGAGAGTGGTGGTAGTACTAACAATGAAACCGACTCTTCTTTGGTTTTTGGAGGTTGTAAACGAAAAGCCATGATGGAAAAGTGGAAAAAAATTCAACAAGAGAGTGAGAATGTGGTTATAACACATGAAGTGGATAGGTAATTGTTGGATCCACTTGAATCCATTGATGAGGAGTTTGATATACTAGGGTGGTGGAGAATAAATGGGCTTAAGTATCCTACTTTGGCATCAATTGCAAAGGATGTGCTTGCAATCCCTACTTCCACAATAGCTTTGGAGTCTTGTTTTAGCACAAGTGGGAGAGTAATTGACTCGTTTCAAAGCTCATTGTCTCCTAGGATGGTTGAGGCTTTGATTTGCTCTCAAAATTGGATAAGGTCCGAAGATATATCTTCATTGCAATATGTGCCAAGCATTGAGGAGATGGAGTTCTATGAATCAATTGAAATAAGTAATATTTTCATTTCTATAAGTATATTTGAATCTGATTTTTTTCTTCTTCTTATTTTTATGTGTTCTAACTCAAATTGGTTTGATTTATTTTATTATATTTTGTAGAAATGGGGAGTAAAACATCCACAACAAATTTGTATAAGACTCTCCCTTCTTAGTGTGATGAAGATATGTTGGAAGGTATTTTTCTTGCATATTATTTTAATTATGATTTGTTGATGGTGAAACTTTGTGTTAATTCTTTGAAGTGTTGTGTAGGTTGCTTTGTTAAGGCTTTGGAAGAATGGATGCAACAGATTTTTTGCAAGGATATTATCTTTATGTGTATTTTTGTGATGGGTTGTAATCTTTAATTTCATAAGTTTAATTTGGATTGCTTGCTTTATTTGTGTATTATTTTTTTTAATGGTTTGAAAGAGGTTATATTTCCTTTCCTTGCTTGGTTGGTTGAATGTGAGATTCATTTAGTTGTTTAGAAACTTAGATTGGAATGATGGGTTTTTATAGGTTGAATTTGCATAATTTCAGGTTTTGAAAGAAAAGTTAAAAGTGATTTGGGCTTTTTTTGGTTGAAAGTAAATATGATTTGGGCTTTTGAAAATGGTAAAATTGGGCTCAACCCCAAACCGATCACAACCCATAACCGACCCGAGAACCGAGGCCCATTTCCAGTTCTGCCTAATTTCTGGTTTTTCCTTAGACCCGACTCGACTCGAGAACCGAGCTCTCTTTTGGTTTGGCCTGCAGGTCGGCCAAAAATTGACTCGACCCGAACCGTGCCCAGGGCTAGAAAAAGGAATAACCCCAACCTCTCAATCTGCCCAACCCTGGTAAACAATAAAAACTGGTTCTACATATAATGTTTTACTCTTTTTTTTTGTTCTTTTATATATTTATTATTATTTATATATTTAATGTTTATGATATCTCCATATATAAGGATGATGGTGAGTACAATAAGTCGGAGGAATTGGGAACAAAGAGAAGAAAAATAATCAAGGATGATGATAACAACTTGGAACTAGTGGCGGCGGAGGAGGAGGACCGAATCAGTAAGTTGCCACATGAAGTTGTTCTTAGTATAGTGTCACTATTGACCCTAAAGGAAGCAGCAACGACTAGTACCCTTTCTAGGCGATGACGGTATGTCTGGGCATCTACTACGACTCTCAATCTAGAAGCTGTTAACTTTGAGGACCGTAACACTTTAGACTACTTCTATAGACTTGATGAAAATATACTAAACCAAGAAGGCCGTAAGTACGTCAATTGGGTGAATCGGGTGCTGGAGCAACATAGAGGCCAAAGCATTGAACGTTTATGGGTTATCTTTTTTCTAGACAAGGGCTTTACAAGTGACATAGATAAATAGATTCAATTTGCAATGGAAAAGAGAGTTCAAGTACTTCAGCTGGACTTGTTGGCAGAATGGGCGAATTACAGTCCATATGACTATGCATTTCCCCACAAACTATTGGGTATGGAAAAGGGATCTGCATCGAAGCACCAATTTTCTGGCTTTCCAAGCCTAGGCTCTGGTGGATATTACAATAATAATATTGGTTTCAAGTCCCTCAAAGTTATTCGTTTTCGACATGTTGCTATGACCGGGGAACTTGTCGAGTTCTTATTGTCCAACTGTCCACTTCTTGAGCGAGTATCTTTAACTATAGCTCGAGATTTAGTTAATTTGAGAGTTGTTGGTCCCTCGATCGCATTGAAACATTTGGAGATAAAATATTGTCAACAACTCGAAAACATTGAGATTTCTAACGCAAACATTGTCTCATTTGTTTTTTGTGGATTTTTGTTACCATTGCATATCAAGAATGTACTGCAGCTTGTTGAGGTAGCCATTAACAAGTGGCAAAACTGACCTTATCTCGACAAATTGAAGAATTGAGTAAGTAGGTGATCCTCATCTTGCTCATAATCCTCATCTTCATCTTCTTGCACAATTTCTCACTCCTTGAGCATCAGTTTGAGTGGACAACCCTACAAAAAAAATTAAACAAAATGATATGACAAAATGATGGATCTAGATTTATGTAGCCAAGCCAAACACATTACAAAAATGAAATAAATATATACCCCATTCAAATGGTCCATGTAATCAGCATTTGAGTTGAACCTCAAGGAACAGTCACTGCAACAAACCCTCAGCTTCATGTGTTTGTCCCCCTGATGTTGTAAAATGTCCTATAACATGCGTAGCAGCCCACGAAATAACTCATTTTATCTTTCTTCACTCGATTTTAAGTCATTTTTTATTCCTTTTTTTCTTCTCATTCTTCTTCTAACCTCTTTTTCATATTACAAGTGTCACATCTCGGGATCGGCTCTGCTGTAGCACGATATTGTCCGCTTTGGGCCCCCTATCTGCCCTCACGGTTTTGTTTCTGTGAACTCATGAACAACCCCCTAGTGGGTCACCTATCCTGGGATTGCTCTAGCCCCAACTTGCTTAACTTTGGAGTTCTCATGACTCTGGAGCCAGTGAGCTCCCAAAAGGCCTCGTGCTAGATAGAGGCGGACATGTACATATAAGGCACATCACCCCATCTTCGTTGGTCGATGTGGGATGTTACAATCCACCCCCCTTAGGGGCCCGACGTCCTCGTCGGCACACTCGCACCACACAGCAGAGTGGCTCTGATACCAAATTATCACATCTCGGGATCGGCTCTGCCGTAGCACGATATTGTCCGCTTTGGGCCCCCTATCTGCCCTCATGATTTTGTTTCTGGGAACTCATGAACAATCCCCTAGTGGGTCACCCATCCTGGGATTGCTCTAGCCCCAACTCGCTTAACTTCAGAGTTCCCATGACTCTAAAGCCAGTGAGCTCCCAAAAGGCCTCGTGCTAGATGGAGACGGACATGTACATATAAAACACATCACCCCCTCTCCATTGGTCGATGTGGGATGTTACAACATGTTTGCAATGACATTAGTTCAGTATGTGCTCTATACCTTATATACCCTGGCCACCATTTTATATAGGCAGGGTCTAAATGTTTGCAAAAACTATGAGCAAAATTCCTGCCATGTGCCTATACTTACCCTGGCCAACATTGTATAGATGGTCTACATGTTTGCAAAAACTAGTAGCAAAATTCTTGCCATGTGCTCTGTACCCTCCCTAACCTATAATTTGAAAGGATTTTCTTCTTCTTCTTCTTCTTCTTCTCTCTCTCTCTCTCCTCTCTCTCTCTCTCTCTCTCTCTCTCTCTCTCTCTCTCAATTGCTTAGTAAGATATCTAAGACTCAAGGGTGGTTGTGAGTGAAGATGGTGGAAATTATTTCACTGATTTTGAGGAAGAATCTAGTGCGTGTGTGTCAAGGGGGTTCAAATAAACCCAAACAAAATAAAGGTACTGATGGGAATCTTTTACGAACTCAAACTTATGAAGAAAATATCACAAACCCCTATAGCAGTATGTATACAAGAAACCTTAAGCAAGCCATAAGTAATCATGTCAAATATCAAAACCAAAAGCAAGCCATAAGTAATCATGTCAAATATCAAATACCACACATGCCACAAAATGCTATTTGAAAGATATCTAAGAAATCGAAAGCCACCACAAAGCACATGCATGTCTATCAAATATGAATTCCAGGAAACCCAAAGCATAGCTAAATTGTTAATTGATCACCACTGGATTCAACAAAAAGAGCAAGTAGCTCTAGGCTAGGAAGGGCTTTGACTTGGGCTTGGTGGATATTCAACCTGAAGAATTTAGAAGAAATAATCATCATTTAATGTCAACTAATAATTAACAATCAACCTAAAAGATGCAATTTTTATACCTTATGTTTCCCTCTTTTCAACTGTATATAAAAACAGACTAAGATTAAGTTTAGTTAATTTGAGGCAATTTTAGACTATATATCAAAACGGACTAAGATTCGTGATGTTACTCAACAAATTTAAACCACATTCTATATGTGTATTGACAAAGTTTACGCAATTTAGGGTTTTGACATTGACAATTGCTATTGTTTCTCTATGTCTAATAAAAACAAAGTTATTTGTCCTCTCAATAATGTAATCTATATTGATATGGCCAAATATTACAATTATTTAGTATGAATTATTCATTTTTACGTAAATAATATCAACTCCTTTAGGTGAAGCATTTAGTCTAGTGTCCTACTGGGTAATGTTATTAGTGGGCACCACGTACTCGGTGTCCATGATCTCCATGTCATGTAAAAGCCAAGCACCAGAGAGTAAGCCACGTTGTCAACACGTGGAACAAACAAATGGTTTAACTTGGCCCTAGAAGCCTCTGAAATGTCAAGCTTCGTACAATTGCCCCAAACCTCTTTAGTTGTGCATCGATGTTCGGCTTTGGGGAGCTTCGAACAGAAATTATCTCAACCATGGATTTGTCAAATTTATCTCCTCTGTTCCTCTGCCCTGCCCTTTTGATAATGACCAAAATCAGCAACCCAATGACTGCAGCAGCACACACAACACCACCAATGACACCAAGTAAAAGGCCTAGCTTTATTTTTGACTCCTGCTTACAGTGGGAATCTGGTCACAGTAAGGCTTTACTATCACGAAAGTCCATATTTGGTTTACCCCTAGTCATATTGTACTTGTTGCACATGTGTTTGGGCCAAAATTTGGGTGAACAACATGAGCAAGGTAACATAACATCATTAGTTTTCTTCTAAAACTTGAAGAAGTTGAGGTGTTCAATTCTTTTGTCATCGATTCTAACCAACTAAACATTTCCCCTTTTAACTTACCTGAAGAAGTTGGAGTTGGAGAAGTTCATAACTCATCGAGTTCCTTTCTCTGAGATCAATAAGGCCTTTGACTACATGTTGAAGGGGGAGAGCTTGCGGAGCATCATTAACATGGAAGAGTAGAAATTATAGCAGAGACCATTGCCTTGATCATTCCTATATAACGAATTTTGCTTTTGGCTGGAAGTCTACCAAAAGCTCTTTTGGGTTTATGCTGGGGGACTTGCAAGTATTGCATCAGGTTTAAAAGGGATGCCAGAATCCATATCAGGCTCTTTGCAAGCTGGAACAAGTTAATTATTGATTGGCTAAGTTTGGTACTCTATCATTCACCAGTTGGGTGCTTGGTGCCATATTTATCTCAATATAATGTTAGTGGTGTTGATGCTCTTTTTCGGAGAGGGTCAACTTAGAGATAAGGGTTTGTCTTTAGCAAGAGAAGGGCCTGGGCCTTCAGTAAAGGGCTAGCCTGCAGAAGACAAAAATAGGAGAAGCAGTCGTTAAGCTTCGGACACCGGTGTGGTGCCGGCCGAAGGCTCTCTGATGCCTGAGTCAGCTAGGGGTAGTGACTATCGCAAAGTAATAGTAATAGTGGGAGAGAAGTTCCCCTTTTTCTTGGTTACTGTTCCTATTTATAGGGAAGTAAAAGTAGGAGGTTTGCACGAAGTTCCGATGTGGGACTTTGTGCAAGTTGCTGTGATGATGACACGTGTCTCCTGTGTTTAAGGTTTGGCAGTTCGGAGCTCCGGCAGGTGGTTGTCCCTTCGGAAGAACATCTCCCTTTGGCAGGGAGGAAGGCATGTCTACCTTGGTGTTTTAGTCACGCTTGGTTAATTATGGTGTAAACAGTAGTCCCCCAAGTTGTCAATCAAGAAGTGGCTTCTGGTTTGGGAACTTGTGAAGAGGTTGTGTAATTCAACCAAGCGTGTCGGCGTGGCGGGTGCTGAAGGTAGTCCCCTAGTCCCCCAAGTTTGGAAACTAAAAGACACATCCTCTCTTTTTTTTATTTTTTTTTGGGGCTTTGTGCCGAAGGTGGCCTTCCGAAGATAGCCTTCCGAAGGGAAGGTGTGACGTCATCGCGAGGTCTCCTTCCAAGCTTCGGAAGGGAGCCTTCCGAAGGGAAGGTGTGACGTCATCGCGGGGTCTCCTTCCAAGCTTCGGAAAGGAGCCTTCCGAAGGGAAGGTGTGACGTCATCGCAAGGTCTCCTTCCAAGCTTCGGAAGGGAGCCTTCCGAAGGGAAGGTGTGACGTCATTGCGAGGTCTCCTTCCAAGCTTCGGAAGGGAGCCTTCCGAAGGGAAGGTGTGACGTCATCGTGAGGTCTCCTTCCAAGCTTCGGAAGGGAGCCTTCAGAAGGGAAGGTGTGACGTCATCATGCCTTCCGAAGGGAAGGTGTGACGTCATCGCGAGGTCTCCTTCCAAGCTTCGGAAGGGAGCCTTCCGAAGGGAAGGTGTGACGTCATCATGCCTTCCGAAGGGAAGGTGTGACGTCATCGCGAGGTCTCCTTCCAAGCTTCGGAAGGGAGCCTTCCGAAGGGAAGGTGTGACGTCATCGTGTGTCTCCTTCCAAGCTTCGGAAGGGAGCCTTTCGAAGGGAAGGTGTGACGTCATCGCGAGGTCCCCTTCCAAGCTTCGGAAGGGAGGTGTGACGTCATCGCGAGGTCTCCTTCCAAGCTTCGGAAGGGAGCTTTCCGAAGGGAAGGTGTGACGTCATCGCGTGTCTCCTTCCAAGCTTCGGAAGGGAGCCTTCCGAAGGGAAGGTGTGACGTCATCGCGAGGTCTCCTTCCAAGCTTCGGAAGGGAGCCTTCAGAAGGGAAGGTGTGACGTCATCATGCCTTCCGAAGGGAAGGTGTGACGTCATCGCGAGGTCTCCTTCCAAGCTTCGGAAGGGAGCCTTCCGAAGGGAAGGTGTGACGTCATCATGCCTTCCGAAGGGAAGGTGTGACGTCATCGCGAGGTCTCCTTCCAAGCTTCAGAAGGGAGCCTTCCGAAGGGAAGGTGTGACGTCATCGTGTGTCTCCTTCCAAGCTTCGGAAGGGAGCCTTCCGAAGGGAAGGTGTGACGTCATCGCGAGGTCCCCTTCCAAGCTTCGGAAGGGAGGTGTGACGTCATCGCGAGGTCTCCTTCCAAGCTTCGGAAGGGAGCTTTCCGAAGGGAAGGTGTAACGTCATCGCGTGTCTCCTTCCAAGCTTCGGAAGGGAGCCTTCCGAAGGGAAGGTGTGACGTCATCGCGAGGTCTCCTTCCAAGCTTCGGAAGGGAGCCTTCCGAAGCGAAGGTGTGACGTCATCATGCCTACCGAAGGGAAGGTGTGACGTCATCAGTGCCATGTGGCAGTGGTATAGAAACGTCTGTTCGTGGAAATCGAGGCGTCCTAACGGTATGATGAGTTATTGCATGGAGCAAGAATCAAGGGGTCCTTCGTATGCCTTTAAAAGATTGTGGAGGGCTGAAGGAGTGAGCACTTTGATTTTTCGAAAGATTTTAGTAGACGAGCAAGGGCGATTTCTGATAAGATTCAGGTACGGCGTAGCGATTTCCGGCGAGGCGTGAAAAGGTACTTTCGTGAGCCAGGCGATTTCCGGCAACCGTGGACGGTGGTGATAACAAGGTATGCCTTGTATTAATTCTCCCTTTCTGGATTGAAATGCCTCTTTTGCTTGAGTTTTGCATGAATTTGGTATGAACGTAGATGAACTTCCATGAACATATTAAGAACATGCCTAGGCTCTTGTTTTCAATCTTCGCATGCCCCTTAGTTTCCCTTTTTGTGTTTGTAGATGTCTGATAATTCTGAAAGAGAAAGTCAAAGCTCTCCAAGTCCCTATGCCTTCAGTGGGGAAGAGTTTGAGAGTGGTAGCCATAATGAAGACTTGGGTACTGATGGGGAAAGTACTGGGTCTGAACGTGTGGTGGAAGGGCTGATAGTGGAGGGAAATAGGGTTGGGGGAGAAGAGCAGTCAAGGAGTTCTGGGGGGGAAGCTTATAGGGAGATGCAAAGGAACTATGTGACCCTAGGCATGTGACGTTGGGGATAACCCAGGCACCAGAGGCTAGTGCAAGTGGGCGGGCTGGGCCATCGGGGTGTGGTACGGTGGTAGTAGCATCCGCCGATGTGGGCATTCCAATAGGGGTTCCATTACCGAAGAAAAATATGATGAGTCTGTATGATCTAGAGTCACTGAAGGCAGATTATGCTATACCTGATTGTGTGGGGCTGAGGTTGCCCATACCTACTGAAGCGGCCAGATACCCTCCCGAGGGTTGCGTTATGGTGTTCTCGGCCATGTACAAACATGGATTGAGGTTACCATTGCATCCTTGGGTGCAAATGATGCTTTCCAGATTGGGCTATGCCCCCTGGGCAGTATAATCCCAACTTCTGGTGTATACTGCACGGGGTGTACATAGCATGGTGGTTGGCGAAGCGAGGGGAGCCCTCCTTTGAGCAGTTCATGCATCTGTACTCAGTGTCCAGGCAACAGGGCAACTTTGGCTGGGTGCAGGTCAACTGTCGAAAGGCGAAGGAGAGAGGATATTTTATAGGGCAACCACCATCGTCGCAGAAGACGTGGCGAAATCGGTGGTTCTTTGCCTTTGGTGATTGGGAGTGCTGGCCTGGGATGACTGTCAGCAAACATGTGCCTACCCACTTTCAATCTATAGGTCTTTGGTTTTAACTCTTGTCTTTGTGTTGAATGTGTTGGTATGAATATGTATTGTCGTCCGAAGCTTGGGAAAACTAACGCCTTTGTCCATGTGCAGGTTCTGTGAAGTGTAGGCCAGTGTCTAGGGAGGAAGAGGAAGAGATAGAGCTGGTGAGGAGACAGGTGCCCCAGGAAGCGCGTGAGCTGAAGAATATTGTGACACCAGCTCTTCTTCTACAGTCGGGGTTGCTTCAAGGAAGTAAGTATTGGCCCACTTCCTCCCTTTTTATATGTTTGTCTTTGTATATCTGCTCACCTTTGCTTCGGTTTTGTTTTTGCAGTGGCTGAGGTGCCGAAGAAGGTGGTGACCGTGGTTGAGAATTCGCCGAAGGTAGTGGTGGATCCGGAGGAGAGGCAACGAAAGTTGCAAGAGAGAAGAGAGAAAGATAGGGCCAATAGGGCCAAGAAGCAGGCAAAGGGGGCGCTCAGTACAGCAGAGGGGACGGCAGCCTGGCTGCTGGGAAGTGACCTCGGCAGGAGGATGATGAGATGTTGGCGGAGCTGGAGAAAAAACGGAGGGGACTTGAGTCTTCGATCCATGACGTCATGGGTGGAACAGTGTTGCCGCCATTCGACCTAGATCCCCCACCCAGGCTGCCGCTTGAGATGGAGGAGCTATTCCCTGCAGGTACCGAGGATATAGACTTTGCCTCGGTTCGACGGGAGGCGAAGGAGGTAACCCTGACCATGCATCGCCAGGAAGTGCCTCTTGTCAACGCCTTCCTGACTGGGGTAAAGATTGATGCGGGGGAGCTCGCTCGGACTAAGGCCACGGACTTCTCCGATCGGGTCTAGAAGACGGTGCTCGCTCGGACTAAGGCCACGGACTTCTCCGCCAATGTAAGTAGTCTTGTGCGTTTAACTTTCTAATAGTGCAATTATTATCTGGCTTTTGAACATTCCTTTCTTGTAGGCTTTTGGGGATATGTACCTTACCCTAGCCAGGGCAGAGAGAGAGGTGGACTTGGCTATACGCCACTCTGAGACAGCCAAGGCTGCTACCGCCGAGGCTCAGGCTGCCATCCGGGAGAGGAATGTGCTGCAGCTGAAGGTGGGGAGGTTGGAGCTGGAGCTAAAGGAGACAACCCGGCGGCTAGAGGCGGTGGAGGAGGCTAGGCTCGAGTCTGAGAGGAGAAGGACCGAGGAGCTGAGCGTGGCTCGTGCCGAGGCTGTGGAGGAGTATCAGGGCTCAAACAGGTTCAAGAGCCTTGTGCTGGACGCGATGGTCGAGGAGTAGTATGGGTGGGAGAAACTGGTTGCGAGGTTTAATCCAGAGTTGGATATAAACTTCGACACCAGTGGTGTTCCCCCTCCCATTCCTTCCGGTCGGGAGTCACTGTTTGCGGCCACTCCGTCTGCCGAGGCCACGAGTCCTTCGGAGGCTAAGACGCGGGGAGGTGCCGATGCTAGCGGAGGGGAGTCGACCGTGGATCCTGACACAGCTGCCGAGGAGGAGGCGGACGACCATGCCGATGCCTGAGGGCTCGTTTGTATTTTTGTTATGATGTACCCAGTTATTTCAGACGTAGTCTTTTGACATGTATGGATATTGCCCTGCCCTAAGGCAGGGTTACTTTGATTTTTATGATAGCTTGATATGTATGGATATTGCCAACTGCTGAAGTGTGAATGAGTAGAAATGGGGTCCAATTGGGTGTTTCTATTAGATGGGTGCCGAAGGGCAGAAAGTACAATGGTGGGTTTGAGTCAAGGCTCAAGACCGAAGTATAAGAAAACACAATGTCCTAGGGTCTAGGTATGTTTACTTGTAGTAGTACTTGAGATGGTCAGTGTTCCAAGGGTGAGGCAACGTTTTGCCCTTGTGGTCCCGAAGCTGATAAGTCCCGGGGCGGCAAACCTTGGTGATCTCGTATGGACCTTCCCAGGTAGGGCCCAGGGTACCTTCATTAGGATTCTTAGTGGCTAAGGAAACCTTGCGCATGACCCAGTCCCCAGTTGTGAAAGCTCAAGGTTTAACTCTGGAGTTGTAGTACTTGGCAATACGCTGCTTGTATGCGACGTTGCGCATGTTGGACTGGTCACGAAGCTCGTCAATGAAGTCGAGGTTGAGGGCCAACTGCTTGTTATTGGCCTCGACCTCGTAAGTGGAGGTTCGATATGTTGGCTGGCCAATCTCCACTGGTGCCACTGCTTCGGTATCAAAGGAAAGGGAAAACGGTGTTTCTCCCGTTGAGGTACGAAAGGTGGTGCGGTAAGCCCAAAGAACCTCTGGGAGTAGCTCTGGCTAGCAACCCTTGGCTTTGTCAAGCTTGGTCTTTAGGGTCTTCTTGATAATTTTGTTCACGGCTTCGACTTGGCCATTGGACTGAGGATGGGCTGGAGAAGCGAAGCAAAGTTTTATCTTGAGGTTGGAACAAAACTGCCTAAATTTTGCATTGTCAAATTGTCGGCCGTTGTCCGTGACGATGGCGTTGGGGATGCCGAAGCGGCACACGATATTTTGCCAAACGAACGCCTCAATGCGAGCCGTAGTGATGGTGGCCTGGGCCTCAGCTTCAGCCCACTTAGTGAAGTAGTCGACGGCCACGACTACGTACTTGACCTGGCCCTTGCCCTCAGGCATGGGTCCAATGAGGTCAAGTCCCCACTGGGCGAATGGCCAAGGACTAACCATGGCTGTTAAAGGTTCAGCTGGGAGTTGAGGGATACTGGCAAACCGCTGACACTTGTCGCACCTCTGGGTGAAGGCTTGGGCATCAGTGTGAAGTGAGGGCCAGAAGTATCCTTGCCTAATGGCCTTATGCGCTAGTGAGCGGGCGCCTGAATGACTACCACAGATGCCTTCGTGGATTTCCCAGAGGACATAGTGGCCTTCCTCTAGGGTCAGGCATAGAAGGTAGGGTAAGCTGAATCCGCGCTTGTACAGGGCGCCATTAATGATCAGATATTGGGTAGCGTCTGGTTCTGCAAAAATTGGAGGATGGGGTCCATCCATGTTGAGCTGTGATCGATGGCGCAGATGAGTGGTGCCCGTGTGCTTGGCTGATCCAAGATTTCCATGTGGATATTGCGGCCAAGGCCCTGCTATATGGCAGAGGCTAGTCTAGCTAGGGCATCGACATGGCTATTCTCCGAGCGTGGTACTTGGCTTATGAAATAAGCGTTGAAGGTTGTAAGCAAATGGTGGGTATGTTGGAGGTAGGCTGTCATGGACACGTCCTTGGCAGTGAAGTCCTGGTTGACTTGGTGGACAACGAGCTGTGAGTAGATGAAAATCTGAATTTGCCTAGCGCCCATCTCCTTGGCTAACCGGAGGCCAGTTAAGAGTGCTTCTTATTCGGCCTCATTGTTGGAGGCGTGGAATTGGAAGCGAAGGGCGTACTCCAGGATAGCCCTGTCCGGAGAGATGAGAACAAGGCCAGCTCCGCATCCCTGGGCGTTGGAAGAGCCATCCACATACAAAGTCCATAAGGACTGTGTCAAGTCTAGGGTGCCGTTGCTGGCGACGTGGACCTGGCTCAGGGTAGGAGTGGGCTCCATCGTAATCTGTGGACTGGCCACGGCATGGGGTTCGATGAATTCAGATATAAAGTCAGCCACGGCCTGGCCTTTCAAGGCTGGGCGGGGTTTGTAGTGGATATCAAATTCGCCAAGCTCCATGGCCCACTTGACTAGCCTCCCAGAAGTCTCCGGCTTCTGCAACACTTGCCGAAGTGGTTGATTGGTTAAGACATGAATGGTATGAGCCTGAAAGTACGGCCTGAGGCGCCAAGCCGAAACCACCAGGGCGAATGCCAATTTCTCGATGTCCGGGTACCGAACCTCGGCGTCCTGTAACGCTTTGCTGACGTAATGCACCGGGTGCTCGGCACCGTTCTTTGTCTGGATGAGCACAGAACAGACCGCTGTAGCCGAGACGGAGAGATAGATCATGAGGATGTCTCCAGACTCAGGTGTTGACAATAAGGGGGCCCGGCTCATATACGCCTTCAGCTCGTTGAAAGCTTTGTCGCACTCAGTGGTCCAGGTAATACTCCGCTTACTACCCTTAAGTGCCTTGAAGAAGGGGGCGCAACGATCAGTGGCCTTGGAGACGAATCTGGTCAGGGCTGCGACACGCCCGGTAAGGCTCTGGATGTCCTTGATCGTCTTGGGTATTGCCATGTCTAATATGGCCTTGATCTTCTCTGGATTGGCCTCAATACCCCTCTGGCTGATCATGAAGACAAGGAATTTGCCTGAAGCCACCCCAAATGCACACTTGGTGGGGTTGAGCCTCATCTTATACTGCTTCAGAATGGTGAACATGGCTGAGAGGTTGGGGATGTGCTGGTCAGTAGTGCGACTCTTGACGAGCATGTCATCAACATAAACCTCCATGGTGTTGCCAATTAGGGGAGCGAGGATGCTGTTCACCAGACGCTGATATGTGGCCCCGGCATTCTTGAGGCCGAAGGGCATGACTTTGTAGCAGTAAAGGCCACGATCCGTGATGAAGGAGGTGTGGGTTTGGTCCTCAGGATGCATGAAAATCAGGTTGTACCCAGAGTAAGCATCCATGAAGCTGAGAAGGGCGTGGCCAACTGTGGCATCAACTAACTGGTCGATGCGGGGTAGGGGGAAGCTATCTTTCGGGCAGGCCCGATTGAGGTTGGTGTAGTCTACACACATGCGCCAGCCCTTTGTGCCCTTTCGAACCATCACCACATTGGCCAGCCAGGTGGGATAGTCCACCTCCTTGATAAATCCAATGCTAGTTAGCTTGTCCACCTTTGCCCTCATGGCCTCATATCGCTCTGGGTCATAAGCACGACGCTTCTGCCGAATGGGTCGAACGGCAGGATTAATGCTTAGCCGGTGGGATATGATCTCAGGTGATATGCCAGGCATGTCATTGTACGACCAGGCGAAGACCTCAGAATTAAGGTGAAGGAAGGCGACAAGATCAGAACGAAGCTCCTGTGAGAGAGAGGTGCCGATCCTGACCTGCCGGTCCGATTGAGGTTGGTGTAGTCTACACACATGCGCCAGCCCTTTGTGCCCTTTCGAACCATCACCACATTGGCCAGCCAGGTGGGATAGTCCACCTCCTTGATAAATCCAATGCTAGTTAGCTTGTCCACCTCTGCCCTCATGGCCTCATATCGCTCTGGGTCATAAGCACGACGCTTCTGCCGAACGGGTCGAACGGCAGGATTAATGCTTAGCCGGTGGGATATGATCTCAGGTGATATGCCAGGCATGTCATGTACGACCAGGCGAAGACCTCAGAATTAAGGCGAAGGAAGGCGACAAGATCAGAACGAAGCTCTTGTGAGAGAGAGGTGCCGATCCTGACCTGCCGGTCCGGGATGTTTTCATCAAGAGTAACCAGCTCAAGGTCTTCCACAGGTTCGGCCTGTGGGGTGACAGATTCCTCCCTAGGGTCCTCTGGACGCTCGGTGCCAGCTTGAACCGGTGCTGGAGCCTGGGTTACGGCGAGGGCCTCGCCCCGATGTTGGCGTTTGGTGGACTTTACTGCCGAAGCGTAGCAGCTTCGGGCGCCAAGTTGGTCTCCGCGCACCGTGCCTGTGCCATGAGGCGTAGGAAACTTGAGCAGCAGTATATGGGTGGAGATGAAGACTTTCATTTGGGCCATGGCGGGGCGGCCGATGATGACATTGTAGGCTGTGGGGCAGTCGATAATGAGGAAGGGAGTGGTGATTGTCCTCCGCTGGGGTGCCGATCCAATAGAGATTGGGAGATGAATGCTTCCAATGGGCTGGACCACTTCACCAGAGAAGCTCACTAGGGGTGTGATGCTTCGGTCGAGCAGGTGAGATGGGACCTGGAGCTCGTTGAAGGCCTCAGCAAACATCACACTGACTGAACTGCCAGTGTCCACCAGGATACGCCCCACATCAAAGTTAGAAATGTCAGCGCGGATAATGATTGGGTCATCGTGGGAGAGGATAACACCGCGCTCTTCCTCCTCACAGAAGGTAATGGGAGCCCAGCCTGATTTGTGGGTCTTCGGCAAGCGTCCCTGCTCAGCGCTAAAGACCTGGTGCTCATAGGTGGAGCAGACATAATGTTTGATGGAGTTGTTGGAGGTTCCAGCCAGGGTGGGACCACCACTGATAGTTGAGATCATGTTGATCTGCCGTTGGTGAGGGTTAGGTGGGGGTGGGAGATTGTGCACATATTTATCCAGTTTCCCATCGCGAATAAGTCCTTCAATGATGTTGCGCAAGGCAACACAAGATTCGGTGTCGTGTCCACCGAACTGATGAAAGCGACAGAAGACACCCATGTTGGGCATGGGCTTGCTGCCTGGTCTCCGGGGGGGAGGCTTGGGTATGATAGGTGCCTTGTGCACTAGGAAATTTTCATAGGTGGTGTTTAGGGTGGTGAAGACCTCGAACCTAGGCTTGGGTGAGAAGGGGAGTGGAGCCCAATCACCTGCCCTGTGCGGGTTAACCCCACTGGACTGGTGGTGGTTGTTATGTCTTCCCCGTTTGTTATTGTTGAAGGTATGCTGGTAGTTATCCTTCCGCTTGGGGTGCTGGGTACCCTGGGTACTTGGGGCGGGAGTAGAATGTTGAGGCGGGGCTGAGGTGGGTGCTGAAGCAGGTGGGGGATCAGTGAAAGGATGATGTGCCGGGGTGGTCGGGCCATGCTTGGAGTTGAAATATTCAGCCTTGGCATGCACTGCTGCCTGCTTCATTAATTCAGCATACGTGTTCCAAGAGTTGCTGTGCACAAGGTACCGAAAGTTAGACTCTCGGAGGCCACTCTTGAAAGCACCAAAGGCGGCACGATCATCGGTCTCTGGGTAGCGGGAGTACTCGTGGCTGAACCTGGCTGCATACTCCCGAAGGGGCTTATCCTCACCTTGCCTAAGCATGTACAGGTCGTCCGCAGAGTAGAGGCGATCAATATGGATCATGAAATGGTCCAGGAAGGCCTGCTTCAGACTGTCAAACGTATTGATGGTGCGGGGGCTCAGCGTGTAGAACCAATTCAGGGCCGCACCACTGAGGGTAGATGGGAAGATGAGGCACATGCCTTCGTCCGTTAAGCCTTTGCATCCCATGGCAGACTGGAAAGAATGTATGTGGGTGAGGGGATCCTTTGTGCCAGTGTAGAAGGCGATGCGGAGGGGCTGGATTTCCTTCTCCTGGTGGTAATTAAGGATGCGTTCGGTAAAGGGCCTAGGTCGCGGCTTCGCCCAGGGGTTGGTGGTTGCGCTGTTGCTCATTCTCCAAGCGCCGGACCTTCTCAAAGAGAAGTCTCATTGCCGGGTCGGCATGAGGGAGAGTCTCAGGTGCTGGAGGTCTGGTGTGTGTGTGGCCAGGAGCTAGATAAGAGTCAGGTCCACCGAACTCCTCGGTGTGATAAGACTCGTGCTCTTCTGAGTAATCATGCCCAGTCATCCGAGTCCCCCATACCTTCTCCCGCAGGCACATGGGTTGGTTTTGGTGGGGGGCCTAGGTGTGTCACCTTTGGGTTTTGGAGATTAACGAGGATAAGAAGGGGTCCCGTCTGACGGTCCAGGATACGGTCCCTGCAATCCCTGTAGACCTTCGTTGGTTCATGAGGCCGGTTCCTCGGCGGGGAGATACGGAGAAGCCGTGACTTGGTCGTCTCCTGATGAAGGGGGTCTTTACCCTTGCTGGGCCTAGGCTGGATTGGAGGGCTATGGTGGGAATGCTCCGGCTGGTTTGGCTGCGTGCGCTCAGGTTCCTGGGTAAGGCTGCGTTGAGAGCCCTGGGCTTGGTTCCTTTCCCAGTTTCGCTTCAGGATGCGGTAGTCGTGCTCCAGCTCAACATTCTTGGAGTGAAGATGGTCACACCTCTCGGACATCTTGACGACACTGGCGCGGAGGAGCTCCACCTCAGCCTGGAGATTGACCTCCACCGACAGTCCCCTCTGGGAGGTACCCTCCTGGGAGGTACCGCGCTGGGCATCTCGGCTATCCTCAGTAGGCATGGCTGAGTGTGGAGTGAAGAAGAGGTGACGGGGCCGGATAGGTGAAGGAGCCAGCTGGGCTGGTAGAGAAAAATGGGTTTTAAGTATCAAGTTTCCCACAGACGGTGCCAAACTGTTGATGCTCTTTTTCGGAGAGGGTCAACTTAGAGATAGGGGTTTGTCTTTAGCAAGAGAAGGGCCTGGGCCTTCAGTAAAGGGCTAGCCTGCAGAAGACAAAAGTAGGAGAAGCAGTCGTTAAGCTTCGGACACCGGTGTGGTGCCGGCCGAAGGCTCTCCGATGCCTGAGTCAGCTAGGGGTAGTGACTATCGCAAAGTAATAGTAATAGTGGGAGAGAAGTTCCCCTTTTTCTTGGTTACTGTTCCTATTTATAGGGAAGTAAAAGTAGGAGGTTTGCACAAAGTTCCGATGTGGGACTTTGTGCAAGTTGCTGTGATGATGACACGTGTCTCCTGTGTTTAAGGTTTGGCAGTTCGGAGCTTCGGCAGGTGGTTGTCCCTTCGGAAGAGCATCTCCCTTTGGCAGGGAGGAAGGCATGTCTACCTTGGTGTTTTAGTCGCGCTTGGTTAATTATGGTGTAAACAAGTGGGAATATTAAAAAAAACACAGATTTTATTAGAGTAGCCAACCTTGCAAATTCCCTTGGGAATACACTAGACAACATCTTAAGTTTACAACCTAAACACAGTTACCCACCTAAGCTTCTTCTGCCTATCACACTGAAAACTGCCCAACCCGCCCAACCCTTTCTTAGCCTCTCCTCAAAACACAGCATATTTACACATGTCTTTTTTTATTTTCTTCCCATACATTGGAAATTTATCATCATAATTCACCCTTGAGAAAGCTTCTGCAGATACCCTTCCATGCCTCTTGGTCTGGCTCACTCGCCTCCAGCTTGGCCTTCAACTCCTCAGCTTCAGTGTCCTAAAACCAAATTAACAGTAAAGAAATTACGTTGCGAAATAAAAATAGCACTCTCAGTTTAGCTTCTAGCACAATAAATACTCGTACCACGATGGATTCGAGTTTCACAAGACGATCAATAAGGTTGAGAAGGATGTCCTTGGTGAACTCAGGGTGGCCTTGGATGCCCATCATGTGATCTCCATACTTGAACATCTCCACCCCAGTCTTCTCCGACCATGCAATCAACTCAGCCTTAGGAGGAAGCTCCCACACCTAATTTATTTATAATTTTTAATTCCAGTAAGAAAAACTTACTAGGTCTATTAGCAGTGCATTTCTGGAGATACAAACCTCATCTCGATGGACTTCATATATGGAGAGAAGAGCTGGAATTTTGAGAGATGAGAAAGCCTTGGAAGATTCTGACAAGTGGACGGTCCGGATTCCTATGTCCCCCCCGGTGATGGCCCTGCCGGATTTTCCTCCCAACGCACGGCTCAAAATCTAATTAAACCATAAAAAACAATATCAATTACATCATATATATATATATATTTATATAGGGGGCGGATCCGTGGCACCGTAAATTTGACACAAGTTTTGACACAATTTTTTAACCATTAGATTAGGCTACAATGAATGGTTAAGATTAAACAAATTAATTCTTTTTCTTTAAATAATTATTTGTTTAAATTAATTTTAATTAACTTACTATAATATTTTATCTCTCTTCATTTATGTTTTCCCAACTTCCTAAAAGCATTAACATATTCTCTCACGTCATCTTCTTCTTCATGCCTTCACTTCTGTTTTTTCTTCTTCTTCCAAATCTTCCTTCTGCACTTGACAGTTTCTCTATCACTACCAGCACTAAACAAGAAGTAGCTCTTCTCCCTCCCATAATTCACATGTTAGCCATTAATTTTTTCCCCCTAAGATTTCAATCAATATAATAAATAAATAAATGGTATGATCTAATTCTCTGAGTATGAAATTTTTTTTTCTGATCTTTTTTTTTATTCGTTTGGGGTTTGGTTCAACTACTGTCTCTTTCTATCTTGCAGCAAAATTTGGAGAGGTTTATCTTGCAGTCTTGTATGTTGGTTCTTTTGTTATTTTCTTGAGCTTTGAGTCTCTAAATCCTTGGATTACTTTCAATTCGAATTTCTTTTTCCTCTTACATTTGTGGATTTCTTACCATGAGAAGTTCAAGTTCATTCTCAAACAGTTTAGCATCTAACTGCAGCAAAAAGTATCCATAGCTTCCTAGCACAATTAACAATTAAGATTTTCAAACAATCTCCATAATATTTAGCGAAAATTGCATGAAGTGTTGGAGTGGAAAAATCTGAAAGAGATCCTTGTGTGTTTGGAGATCAACTGAGATGAGAACTTTGTTTCCAGATAAAGGAAAAACAATTAAATAAAAAAAAGTTCAAACTCAAAAGGTGAGAATAAATGAGATTGGAGGAGATGGAGAGATTTTAGCCTACATTTATGCTACCTTGAAAAGTGGTGAGTTTAATATTTTATTTTATTTGTTATGTTATCAAAATAAAATAAATAAATAATAAAATCACATTTAATCTTAGCCCTTGAAAGTGCTTGCATCTAAAGGCTATAAAATTGTGTCAAAACTTGTGTCAAAACTTGTGTCAAATTTGTGGTGCCACGGATCCGCATATATATATATATATATATATAAAAGGGGTTCAAGATAGGGAAAGGCAATAATTTATGGGGTGGATAAGGGGTTGGCAGCTCAACCATTTTCATATAACATAAAGAAATATCTTATTATTTTATTCAAAGAATTGACATATAACCAAAAGGTCAATGCCTTCCAAAAAAAAAAATAATAATAATAACCATTGAGCCTCCATTGATCCTACATAAATTCTACAATATCACAGATTCCATTACAATTCAAAAACATTAAAGAAAAAATGATATTCTAACTTGTGCATTTGATGTTACACAACTTTATCTTAATGTTCATAATGTGTGACAATGCAAGACCTTGCACCAAGCACCCAACTGGTGAAGGTAAAAGACATGAGAAATCCAAATTTAATAAAAACAATGGCAAAGGTCCCCATTTTTTTTCCACAAGTTATATATATATATATAGAGAGAGAGAGAAAGCACCCTAAAAACAATGGCAACGGTCCACATTTTTTTCCACAAATTATATATATATATAGAGAGAGAGAGAGAAAGCACCCAATTGGTGAAGGTAAAAGCCATGAGAAATCCAAATTTAATAAAACAATGGCAAAGGTCCACATTTTTTTCCACAAGTTATATATATATATATATATATATATATAGAGAGAGAGAGAGAGAGAGAGAGAGAGAGAGAGAGAGCGACTATTTTCAATGTGAAAAACAGACAACATGAGCCTAAAAGGACTTCCACACACTACCCTTTTGTCCACATTAGACTGTTGGATAGATCGAGCATGCAAATGCAATGAAACTTTCATACATATTATAATTGAAGTCTGGCCTACGTCAATTGAATTAGCTTTCAGTGACATGGGTTTTCAGCTTTTTGTGTGCCCCTCAAAAGTATGTGGAAGTTTATCCTAACCCAGTCATCAATGATCAAGAGAACCCACATACGTATATATGAGAATAATCTCCATTCAAAACGTGTCATACGTGTAATATATTCATCATAATGAATCTTTTATACATGATTTACGTGACAAAGTATATACAACGGTAGAATATTTCAGTTAAAAGATCAAGTTCAGTTAATTTGAGGCAATTTTAGACTGTATATCAAAACGGACTAAAATTCGTGATGCTACTCAACAAATTTAAACCACATTCTGTATGTGTATTGACAAAGTTTACGCAATTTAGGGTTTTGACATTGACAATTGCTATTGTTTCTCTATGTCTAATAAAAACAAAGTTATTTGTCCTCTCAATAATGTAATCTATATCGATATGGCCAAATATTACAATTATTTAGTATGAATTATTCGTTTTTATGTAAATAATATCAACTCCTTTAGGTGAAACATTTAGTCTAGCGCGCTACTGGGTAATGTTATTAGTGGGCACCACGTACTCGGGGGGCCCCTCCCTTTCACAAGAACAACATGACAACTGCCTTAAACTTCCCATTCGACCCAAAAAAAAAAATTCCCATTTTAAGCGTTTCGTTTTCTTCGACGCCTATTGGATGGACTTATTTTAATCTCAATTAATTCCGCACCTTCGAAATGACCCTTATACCCTTATAGCATTAAAATGTCTAAAATGCCCTCACTTTTAAAAGCCAAAAATTGCCTTGGAACTTTTTTCTTCATGGATAAACTGGGAACCTATTTAAGCAAATTAAACTGAAATGACCATGATGCCCTTGTAAACCTTTGACGGGGGTGGGGGTGGGGGTGAGAAAATGAACTTACCTGGTGGCCAAAGCAAATGCCCAGGACCTTCTTCTTCATGTCATCCAATTTCTTCAGGAGGGCCAAGAGCCTGCAGATCCAAGCATCATTGCCATGGGCATCTCTGCTGCTGCCAGATATCACAAACCCGTCATAGCCATCAATCTCCTCATCCAATGGGAACTCCCCACACACCACTCTGTACAGGTCCCAGGCCTCCCCTTCCTCAGCCAGCATTTTCAGAAAAACCCCAAAGTACCCCCCCATACATCTTCTTCACGTACTCCCAGTCCTCTACACACAAAAGCAGAGCAAATTTCTTCCCACCCATCTTCCCCTCTCTCTCTCTCTCTCTCTCTCTCTCTCTCTCTCTCTCTCTCTCTCTCTGTGGATTAAATCCTGTGTTGTTTAGGAGTTTCTAGAGAGAGGTTGGAAGGCCTCTCTGACTCTTCAAAATGGGATTTTTTGAGAGAGACGGGATTTTGGTGTGGAAAGTTGAAACTCCTTGGACTTGTACGTTGAAGAAGAATGAAGATTGCCAGATGGGGCAATTGGAAAACCAATGGGGGCTGCTTTTAAACTGGTGGGGTTTTAGAAAGGGCCATGTTCTGCTTCCTATTTTACAAATTTGACACCCTAGGGTGATTTGTCAAATCTACCCCTTTCCATTTGCCTCATCTTATTTATTAATTTATTTATTTTGTTTCTATAAAATATTCTACAGTGAACAAATATGAACCTGCCTTCCAAATTGGCCTCCATTTGAACCAGAAATGAACCTTCTCACAATCCCCGGGCAAAGTTGCCTTTTTCTGAACTGCCATGTCAGAGAGATAAAACTTAAAAAGCAAAATCTGTTCTCTAATCTTTTAAAGCATTTTTTTGGTGTTTGATTGGGGTATTTTCATTTATTATTTTAACCCAGTAAGGCATTGTATCGGAGGATTTGTTTAAACAATGTAATTATCTTTTTTTGAAGATATTGAAAGAGACGATAATATATTAAATTCACACACATTACACGAAATTTAGGACTCGAACCCAACCTAAGACCTTATCTCGAGAAGCAATTGTTCCAAATCATTATATTAGTATTAGTAGTTCCTTTACAATTATTTTTGTTTTTAAATGGAAATCAATTTGTTTGCTTTTTTTATTTCCTTTCGTGACCTTTTGTCCCATGCAGATTATTGGAGAATGGAGTCCATGTACGGCCCTCTTTTAATGCTTTTTTTATTTATTATTTTTTTAATGGAAAAAAATTTGCTGTACTGCAACTTGTGTGCATGTTAGTGGCCATTGGTAAACTGAAAAGGAACAGAACCCCTTTCCATTGATCGATATAAAAGCTATAGGCAATACATGCAGAAGGAACACAAATCATCACAAGTGTCATTAAATGTTAATGATCATTAAAATAATGTGTCATATTCTTACTTGTATAAACAAATGTTGATTGGGTGTACCCAAGTCTCATTAAATGTTAATGATCATTAAAATAATGTGTCATATTCTTACTTGTATAAACAAATGTTGATTGGGTGTATCTAGGGCTGACAATGGGTCGTGTCGTGTTGGAATAATAAATGTGTCAAGAATGCTCAACCCGAACTCAACCTATTTAATAAACGTGTCGTATCGGGTTCGGGTTGTCTTTTATCGTGTGAGTTTCGAGTCGTGTAACGAGTTCATAAATAATAACATGCATGTTACGAAACTCATAACTGAAAAAATTTAAATTAAAAAAACAGAGAGAGGAAAGAAAATATAAGGCAAAGAAAGAAACAAAAGATAGAGAGAAGGAAAAGAAAGAAAAAAAATAGAGAGAGATGAGAGAAGAGAGAAGAGAGAAGGAAAGAAAGAAAGAAAAAAGAGAGGAGAGAAAACTAAAGAGAAGGAAAAGAAAGAAGAAAAAAAGGGAAATAGCCTAAAATGTCATCCATTTCATAATTTTAGCTAAAAATACCACCATTTTCTAATTTTTTTACAACTACTACCTATAAATATAAAATTATTGTCCACTTATTGTACTCATATCAGTTTTTTAGAAATTGGCTTCTCTCTCTAACTCTCTTCGCTCTATCTCTTCGGCCCGTCTCTCTCCCTCGTGTACCTCTCTCTCTTCGACGCAATCGTCTTTCTCCCTCAACGGTGGCTGTTCATCCAAGCGTAACTCCATCGTTGACATCCATGAGGTACTGTTCATAAACCTTTTCTTTGAAATTGGGGGTTTTTGTGAATTTGGTTTATGGTGTATGGATTTGTAAGAAATTGGTTTAGGGTTTTAGTGTTTAGGGGTTGCTCAGAAATTGGGTTTGGGTTTATGGGTCTTTGTTGCAGAGGTAGATTTGTTTTGTGCCTAGAAGATTGTGAATTTGTTGAAAGTTCGTAAATGGAAAAGGCAGCTGCCCCTGCGGCTTGGAACCCTCAATTCGGAGGTATTATGCCCCGAATTTTTACAAAAGAAGAATTGGAATTACCCTATAGAAGGCAAAACAAAAATATATAAGAGGAAAAATGGAGAAAAGTTATCTAATTTCCCTTTTTTTAGTTGTAGTTTTTTTTTCTCGGTCATTTTGTTTTTTTTTTGGGGTTCAGGATGCAGGGTTGATCTATTTGGTTTACATTGATGTAGTTCCAATATGTAGAGATGGAGTATATATATATATATATATATATATATATATATATATATATAACCCTAACCCTAAGAAAACAAAATGAATCTCCCACATGCCTAACAGGCTAATACCAGTGACAATGTCTGAAATTGACTATATATACATGTGGGAGATTCATTTTGTTTTCTTTCATTTTCTATAAATGATTATGATTATTTACAACGTTGGACAGACTTCCCTACATCATTTTTGTTGTTGGTGTGGAGGGGGGGGGGACCCTATTTCGTTACAGGGTTTATTGACTACATGCTTCCTTGTCCTGGAAGACCTCCTTAGTTCCGTTGAGCCGACAAACCTTATGAGGTTGAATGTGAAGTGTTACCTTGCATCTGCATGTTTCATCTTTTAACTTTCTTTTCATGTTTCTTGCTGATGCTTGTAGTTATTTCTAGTTTTGCATACATATTAGCAAATAGGTTATGCATTTACTGTTTAGTCATCTAATGATTTGATATCTAATATTTAGGCATGTGGGAATTTATAGATGTACCGATTATGCATACATATAGGTTTTGCGCTTGTATTAGGAAGTTAGATTCTTGTGGTTCCTCTTCAATGGCATGAATTTAAATTGTTGTGCTTCATGATTAGGGTCTGAAGAACAACCATGTAGTAAGAAAGTTGGAGAAGCGTCAAAGATTTGCACCCTTGACCAACATATTGAAGAGTAATTTGGTGGTGGTTGTCTATTGGCTTGTATTATAGCATGGGTTCGTCCGAGTGCTTAACGGTGTTTATCATATTTGCATCTCATGCCTTAACTCCCTCAGTTCTCTCGAGCAGCTGTTAGATTGTTTGAAAATAATTGTCCACTTTTAATTTGTTGAAGACTCATCGTGTTATATGTTCATTGCCTTACATGGCACATAAACTATTTCCATTTTGAAGTTGAACTAATTTGTACACCTTCATATATAAACGTAGTTGCTCTTTATGGACGTATAACAGTTTACTTGTTTAAAACGACGTGTTCGTTTCCACTGAATTCTACTCATTTTTGTATCCATTGTTGACATTTAATCTCTGTGGTTTTCTTTGCAATTTACGTGATATAGGTATATTTCATTTCTTGCATTGGGAATCTGTTAGTTGACTTAGTGAAGCATACAACTTTCTTAAGATTTCTCAAATTAGTTTTGAGAACTGACTGTTGAGAACTTATCTGCCAGACTTGATTAAAACCCCTTTTTCTTTGCATTTAAAAATGAAAGATCTTTTGAGAATTTTTGCTGCCCATTATTAAAAGAAAGAAACCCTACTCCAAAGCATTCCTTATAAATATAAGAGAGGGTGAACAGAATTCAAGACACACTCAATTCATCAATCAAACAAACAAAAAAAAATCAACCAAAAGTTCACTTGAACCACAAGAGAAACCAGCTTTAGATCAGAATTCCCAAAGTTCAGACTTAGAAAAATAAGTCATTCAAAACGAGATTCCTCTCGTTACAAATTTGGTTCAGCAAAAGCCAAAAACAAGCAGAGCTTGAGTTTTCACAAATATGAAAACTTCAACAAATTTTACAGTGCAGTTCCAACTCACTAAGTCCTCAAGACCAGCCACTTCTGTCCCTTCAGACTAAAGAAGCAACAGTTCTGCCCGTTCAAAAGCCTCCCAAAGCTTGAAGTAGATTAAAGCTCTGCCAAAATTGAACTTTGGCATCGATTTACAGCTAAAGCTGAGCAGTTGAAGTTGTTAACAATCCAGTCCAGCACAGACATATTCAGTCCAGCCCGGATCAGAAGCTTCTATCCAGGTAGAAATGGAATTCCAGCCTTCTTTTTATCTTTCTACCGTTGATTTTTCCTTCCAAGTCTTGTAAAGGGTAGTTCTGCCTAAAAACAGTCCTCTTTATCATCATTTATTCTGGCCAGAACTACCAATCTTATACTATGATAAATTGTGAAGTCCTCACCAGTCTGAGGCAAGAAAAGAACTTACTTGGGAGATATTCCTCACCCAAATTCACAATCACTTGTTTAGAAATCAGTAACTTGGGGCGTAAGTTATCCATTTTAAAGAAATTTGCTAGGATTTTTAAGGCTAGTAGTGGCACGCTCGCACACCAAAGAAAGCTGACTTGTTGACCAGTCAATGGTTTCCAACGCAGTGGAGAATTTTACCCTTCCATCACAGGAGCAAAAACCAAACGGGTGAACATTTTGGCACGCCCGGTGGGACTTCTCAGTATACATACTCTGACAGAATTCTTCTCAAGTTTATGAATAGTGGAAGCTTTAGCCAGAACCCGCACCATACCATGGAGATAAACCAGGTAGCTCTCAGGGAAGGTTTGGAGTCAGAAGAAAGTGACGCCAGGCAATCAGCCCACGGCAGAACCGAAAGCAGACGTTCCAGGATCGGCTCCAGGAGGATGAATTAAATACAGGAATCTGTATTCCGACAGGAGGTTACAACATAAAGGAGCCAAGATACTCTCAATAACATGACAACCATGATGCATTGGTAGGTTAACAGGCAGTTCAGGAAGGACCGTGAGGCTGCCATGACCAGAATTCCAAATCCGGATGCTGTAGTCCAGTAGCTAGACCTTCCTTATGGCCCTCTACTAGGATTAGCATGGCCATACCAGGAGAACCCTCTCATTGCACAGATAGCTGGAATACCAGGGTATGAAGAGATCCAGGCTGGACAGAGGGGAGGAGCCCTTCTTGTCCAAGAACGTGAGGCCCCAGTCCGGCCAAAAGGCCCTGCGCCGATTCAGGCTCTTCAAAATCAGCCAGAACCTCCGCCTATTACATAACCCCTGGCCCCACGTGATCAACCTTTGGCACTTCTGCCTGAGCCACCAGCAGTGTTGCCCTACAGACCCAGAAGGATGGATCCCAATCCATTCCCTCCACCTGCAAGAGGCAGAAGAGGCAGAGGGGGGAACAACCCTTTTGTTAACAATGACAAGAACAGGTTGGGGGCAAACTGGAGGAATCATCCAGATCTAGAAGAGCAGGAAGAACACAGGGAGAAAGCTCTGCCCAGGCCATGTAGGGCGGAGCCCGGGATTGATCATGTCCAGCCAGAAGATGGATGAAATCTACACCCCGTTAATGCTTTGAATGACGTGTGGGCATTACAAAGAATGATAAGAGAGATGATGAAGAGGAGAGAGGCCCACCTATAGAAAGCCATATCCGGCTTATATCAATCAGATACCTCTATCACCAGGCTTCAAGGTGCCAAACTTCACCTTATTCAACGGAGAGGATCCCCATGCTTCATCAATTGAGCACATAGGCAGGTTCTCTGTCCAGTGCGTAGCCATAGAAAATAACCTTCTGTTAAAACTAAGGCTTTTTGGAAATTCTCTCTCCGGACAAGCTTTCACCTGGTACACCAGCCTGTCAGCCAATTCTGTTCAAACTTGGGAGCAGATGGAAAGTGTTTTCCATGACTATTATTACAGGATTCAACCAGAAGTCACCATCAGTGATCTTGCTACCCTCAAGCAGAGTGAAGATGAACCTGCTCAAGACTTCATAACCAGGTTCAGGAAGCTCAAAATGAAGTGCCGGATCCCTATGGAAGAAAGACACTTCATCCAGATGGCTCAAACCCCCCTCAAAATATCTCTGAAAAGATTTGACGGGATGCTGTTTGGAGATCTGGCAGAACTGGTAGATAAAGCATCCAAGTACGAGGAGCTGCTTAGGGAAGAACAACAGAAGAGGAACTCTTCCAAAGGCACGTATTACAAGTCACCTTCTTCTTCAATACATCTGGTTGAGGTAGAATCATAGGGCTCGGAGGAAAGAGAAATTCCAGTAGCAGAGATGGAAAAATTGAAACATCCCATCAGTTGCAAGGCTCTTATAAAGCCACTAAAGGATTAGAAGCCGCCACCATTCACAAGAGAGTTTGTTCCAAACAAGCCAACCTAGAACAAGGTCTATTCCTTCGATCTGCCCAAGGTGGATGCCTTGTTTGATGAGTTGTTGCTGCAGAAAGCGATAGAGACACCCCACAGGTTGCCCAAGCCAGAAGAACTCAAGGGCAGACAGTATTGTAGGTGGCACAACTCTTGGAACCATTCCACCAATAGTTGTGTTGTTTTTAGGGATGTCATATAGGAAGGAATAATAGCAGCAAGGTTGAAACTGGCAGAGAAACCTCCATCAGTTACAACAGATCCTTTTCCCCAGCCACAAGTTAACATGGTCAACTTAAATTGGCCAGAACGAAAGAAAAGCAAACCAACGATAGAAGCTAGTTCCAGCAGAGAAAGAAGAGTTATAAGGGAGACTAGTCAAAGGCCAAAAGCAACTATCTTGGCTGGGGTGGTGCTCTGCAGCAAGTGCAAGTGTGAAAATGAGCTAGAAGTGGTTCTGGACAGGTAGAATCAACCCACACCTAGTTTTTTTTGACAGGATTGGAACCTCATTCCGAGACAAAGCCAAGCAGAAGGACTATCTTAGGCCTGCTCAGTATAGCAGAAGAAAGATAGAGCAACCGAAGAAGGAAATACCAATTAAGATGCCGAGGAATGAAAAGCCCTTGACAACTATCATAGAAGGCAGATGATATTCTGTGGGGAAAAGTGGTAGACCAACTCTGGAATTAACCAAAACTCAAAAGAGGAGGGTTCAAAGGCAGTACTGCTCATTCCTCAAAAACCAGGGTGATACACAGGTACTTCCAGAAACCAGTTCTGCCAAAAAAGGGAAGAATCCGGAAGCACTTCCTCAGACAGAACAAACAACCTGCCAGCCACAAAAGCTGGTAAAAACAGAATCTCCAGGCTGACCTCCTATCCATCCTACCTCATCCTCAGTCAATCAGCTTGAGCCTTCACAAGCACAAGGTGAATCCGAACCTATTCCAGCAGAAGAACAGGAAGATTGGACTGGAAAGTATGAAGAGGAGCAGCTGGACTATGAACCATCTGCAGATGATCAGAATGGACTCCTCGAAGCTGGAGAACAGGAAGATTGGACAGAAGAGTATGGGGAAGAGTATATGGAATATGATGGAGAACTAGATGAAGAAACTGAGGCTTTTGGTGCAGAATTGGAAAGCCTGTTGTAGGGAGATCTAGGCGTTAACATAGTGTTCATCCTGCCAGAAAAGTTCAGAGCAGTAGAAGGCAAGAGAACATTCTGGAAGGAGATGTTTTTTTCCCAGGAAAGCTTTGAGTGCCGGTCGGCAGAAGTAGAGGAGACACCGGAACAACAAACACCTACTGCCAAGACAGGCAGAACTGCCCTGAAACCAGCTACAGAACAACTTTGCTTCTCCAAACCAACCAAGGAAATGGCCAATCACCTCAGACCTCTGTTCATAACAGCAAAATTTGGGGGTATTCCTATTCCTAAGGTGATGGTAGATGGAGGTGCATCCATTAATCTTCTACCTCACAGATTGCTGAGCAAAATGGGCAGAACAGAGAAGGATTTAATTCCAACACGTTTAACTGTCACCAATTTCGCTGGGGGCATCACCAAGACTCATGGAATCTTGGATGTGGATGTCATAGTTGGAACTAAAGAATTGAAGATTGCATTCTTTGTGGTAGATACCACTTCTACCACTTACAATGCATTGCTTGGCAGGGACTGGATTCACCAGAGCTTATGTGTTCCTTCCACTCTACATCAACAATTAGCCCTTTGGAATGAAGAAGGTTACATGGAGATAGTAGAAGCCGATCAACGACCATTTCTGTCCTCTGCCATGTGTTTTGAGGCGAGGCATTATCATGATGACCTTGGGCCTTTCACCTTCCTTGGAGTCAACCAGAACGGCCGCCCCCATGGTGTCACGGCCCAGAGACTCATTGAAGATGGTTTAGCCAGTTCTCTAGAGGACTGGAATAGACCTTTTGTTCTAAACCTCCAGAACTCTGATGTTTAGTCCTAATCAACAAGAAAAAGATCGAGCTGCAACAATCTGATCCATTACAAAAGATTGTTGGTATATTGGAAAGAAAGGAAGTTCTTTATGCAAGATCCAACCATCAATATGGCAGAATTCACCCATGAAAGCACTGAAGAATATGAAGAGAGTTTGCAGGAGGAAGTACTAGATTTTGCACTAGCAGCACTAGATGATTCTCTACCAGAAGTAGAAGATCCACTGCAGGAAATAAACTTAGGGACGGAAGAGGATCCAAGACCCACTTTCATTAGTGCATTATTGGAAGAACCACTCAAGAGTGAGATCATTGCACTTTTGCATGATTTTAGAGACTGTTTTGCTTGGCATTATCATGAAATGCCTGGATTAGACAGAAAGCTAGTGGAACACAAGCTGCCAATTAAAGAAGGTTACCTTCTAGTCAAACAGGCCAGAAGAAGGATGTCCATGGATACAGAACTAAAGGTCAAGGTAGAAATAGAAAGATTGCTCAAAGCAGGATTTATCAGACCAGCCATTTATGCTGATTGGCTAGCCAATATTGTATCAGTTTTGAAAAGAAAAACAGGGGTAGTTAGAATCTGTGTGGACTACAGGAATATAAATGAAGCATCTCCCAAGGATGAATATCCTATGCCAATGGAAGATATGCTAGTAGATGGAGCCGCTCATAACCAGATGCTATTTTCATGGATGGTAATGCAGGGTACAACCAGATTATGGTGGCAGAAGAAGACATCCACAAAACAGCTTTCATGTGCCCAAGACATATAGGTGCCTTTGAGTATACTGTAATGCCTTTTGGCTTAAGAAATGCAGGAGCTACTTACCAAAGAGCAATGAATTCTATTTTCCATGATATGATAGGACATTCTCTGGAAGTATACATAGATGATGTGGTGATTAAATCCCCAGAGAAGGAAGATCATGTATCAAATCTAAAAACGGCATTCCTAAGAATGAGACAACATAAGTTGAAGATGAATCCCAAAAAATGTGTTTTTGGAGTTTAAGCAGGGAATTTCTTAGGTTTCTTAGTCCACCAAAGGGGCATAGAGGTTGACAAAAATAAAGCAAAATCCATCATAAGCTCTACCACCCCGAAACAAGAAATAACTGCAGAGTCTCCTAGGAAAAATTAATTTTCTAAGGAGATTCATATCCAACTCTGCAGGAAAAATGCAACCTTTCTCCTCCTTGTTAAGGTTGAAGCAAGAACATACATTTAAGTGGGAGGAGCAGCATCAACAGGCTTTTGAGGAAATCAAGCATTACCTTTCAAATCCACTAGTTCTGTCCCCACCAAAGAGAGGCAGACCACTTAAACTCTATGTTTCTGCATCAAAGGTGTCCATTGGGAGTCTGTTGGTTCAGGATAACAAGGAAGGAAAAGAGCAGGCAGTCTACTATCTGAGCAGAACTCTAACAGAAGTAGATAGGAAATATTCTGCAATTGAAAGGCTTTGTCTAGCCTTGTACTTCACTGCTATGAAACTCAGACACTACATGTTACCATACACCATCTTGATAAGTTCATAATTTCATACATTCACATGCCTTCTTTACTTAGTGACTTTACTTAGTTTCTCTTTATTTTGAGTCACTTACCTCTTTTTATGTGTTTTGTAGGTTAAGAAAGCAAGAGATCACATTTGATGCAATCCATGCTTGTTAAGGGCTGATTGGGATAAAGGAATATGAGCTTAAAGACAAACCCAATTTGGGCCACACTCCTTGTCAGTCCAGTTTCGTGGGTCATCTTGCAGTCCTCATTTCAGCAACTTACACAGGTCGGATGAGGAGACAGCCTTGATAGAAGTTATTCCAATGGGTATCTATTATAACATATCCAAATTTCAGCTCAATTGGATAAATCTGGAGCCCTCAGCATGTCAAAGACTGAACCAAGTTCACAGAAATGTCATGTTGGCTGCCAGCACATTTAATATGTCTACATCCCTAGAGCCACGTGCTAAGTATGGGCAGCCACACATGGGAGTCAAATCAGCTCAGGAACTCAGAAGGATGAACAAAAGTCAAGATTTCCATAAAGAAACCATACCAAAGCATGTACTTGGCAGCTGGAGCAGTTGGCAAGTATGGGCAGCTGGAGCAGTTGGCATGTATGGGCAGCTGGAGCAGTTGGGAGCAGCTAAGTGAGGTGTGCTTCACCAGCCAAAGGGGAGGACAAAATTGCACTCTATAAATAGAGAGTCATATACAAATTTTCACTTGATCCATTTCTCTCATACACACATTCAGATTCACCACAAAGAGAGAAGAGAGCTTGGAGCTGTCTTGGGAACTATATTGCTGCCAACTAGTTCTTCTCTTCTCTTTATTCTATCTATGTATTTCTTATTTTCTTTATTCATAGTTATGCCTAACTAATCCATTTAGTTAGGGCTTAGGATGAAGCCCTAGTCATGAATATTCAATGTTATGGATGATTTTATAGTTAATTGATTTCCTTGCTTTCATTATCAAGTTGTTAATCTCCAGTTTATTATGTGCTTGATGTATGTTTTCTTGGAGTAGCTAACTAGGATTTTATGCATCTAGCACAGGTTGGGAAGGGGTTTAGATTCACCAATTCTACTCTCCTTTCACAAGCAACACATGAATGGCCTAAGAATCATTCAAGGGGTTAATAACCATAGGTTGACTAGGACAGATACCATGTTCTAGGACTTGTGTGATTATCATATTCTCATGGAGCTTAATGAATCTTGTATGCTTTATTCTAAGTAGATACCATGCTTAGGTTGCATATTAGAGATCACGTGTTGTGTAGATACCATACACAATTACATGCCTTAGGAGAATCATGCATCCTGCACCTAGATACCATAGGCTTGTATGCGATAATCTATTGTTGATAAAGCTTGAGTCAATTTCTATGCATTCATAACTTGGATAGGAAAACTAGTGGTGGATTTCAAGGCTCTAACACCTCTCAATTATTGTTTCACAATCTGTTAATTGCAGCTAGTGTTTACTTTCGAGCACTTTCATTTCACTTTCTTCTTTTCATTTCAACAACAAAAACCCCCCATTTCGAGTGCGTGTGTGGTGCTAGGATTCTGTCCTAGACCTTGAGTAATTAGCAAGAGGCATTGTTGGATTCGACCTTGCCTTTAGCTAGTTAGTTAGTTTCTTTGTTCTATGTTTCTCCAGCATTCTAAGTAATTTAACTTGGAACCAAGTTACCATTCTTCGTGGGATCGACCTCGTATTTACATAAGCTATACTATAAACGGTTCGTTCACTTGCGAGAATTAAAGTTGCTGTTTTTAATAACTCATTTTAGTTGTTAGGAATTGAATAAACACATCTACATCATTGCCAAGACAGATTTAATCAAATACATGCTAACAAGGCCAATGTTGAGAGGCAGAATTGGAAAATGGACTCTGGCTTTGACAGAATTTGCTTTCAGATATGTTCATCAGAAAGCTGTCAAAGGACAAGCTGTGGCAAATTTTCTAGCAGATCATCCAGGAGAAGAGATTGAAAACATGGACTCTTTGGACATAGCAAATGCAGACCTGCTAACTAGACCTCATACTTGTCTTAACAATCCTATCTATTCAGTTCATCTCACACTTTGGAAGCTGTATTTTGATGGATAAAAAACTGATATAGCTTCTGGGGCAGGGATTGTTTTGGAGGAACCATTGGGAATCAGACATTGCTATTCCTTCCAGTTAGACTTCTAGTGCGCCAACAACAGGGCTGAATATGAAGCTTTGATTATAGGACTTGAAATGTTGGTGGAATTGGGAATCCAATTTGTGAAGATCCTGGGGGATTCCATGCTTGTCTTGAAACAAATTGCTGGAGAATAAAAATGCTTGAGTCCTTCTTTAGTTGTCTATCTAGTGGCAGCTAGAAACTATTTGTGCTAATAAATCACGGTCATGAACTGTTTGAAGGGACTTCCTTTCGGTCCTAGCGCCTACCGTTTCGTTCAGCATTTCGCCTTCCTAAAAACAAAAGAAAAGCTGCAAAGGCAGAATCCTCTCGGCCTCGCGACCGCAGTATTGAAGGCCGAAGCCGAAGGCCGTAAAAGACACGGCCGAGGAAACTGTGGTTAAATCGCCACGTAGCCTCAGGGTCCCACGCCCCATTTAATGAAGTAATGCCTCTGACTTTCGCAGCAAACCCACTAGTTGCAAGAAGCATTTAATGCACAAGGGAAGAAGGGAAGTGACTGAAGTCAGGATTTGGTGATGGAAATCAGGGTGGTTAGGCGCTGACATTCTCACAAGTAATCTTACGACTTGAGGTCAGATCACCAACCACCAGACCAGGGCATTAAATGCATTCCCACGGCCAAGGGAGCAGAACCCACGATCAGGGCGATGGTCGAGATTTACCGGGATTTATGGGAGTCACACCACCATGCTTCACGATCCCAAATGCCGATTTGACTACCCACTTGCCCCGATCAGGCTCCACCACGCAGGTCTTTTCAGCCTCGATTGTCCCTCTAGGACTCCTCCTATAAATACTAAGCTCAGGACTACATTCAAAGGGTTCAAACACCAAACCAAAAGCCTCCCACGGAGCAAATTATATTTTCCTGTAATGCACTTTCAATACCTTCAATGCACCATCTCTGTTATCGTCTCATTCACCCCATATATCATACGACCGTCGCTCTCTATAAGCAAAGCGCCGGAGCACCGCCTAAAACCCGCCACCAACACCACCACTAAACAGCCTTGTAGCTCAGGCCGTGAACCTGACGGCCGAGATCAGTTCCTCTCTTGGCCACAATCTTTTGATTAGGAGTCGAACGCAAAACAGGCGCAACATTTAACCATCTTCTACCCGAACCTCATCATCATCTCGACGCACAGTAGACCGTGCTAGCACGCCTGCGCACAACCGCACCGCATCCAAAAGAAGGACGTCACGTGTTGACGCACATCCCCTCGGCCCGGAGCACCAGGCCGTGAGATTTGCACAGAGCCCAACAGAAACCTTGCGACAGAATTCAGGGAAGCTACCGCACATCCCAAGGGAAGAAAACTTTGCAACAAATGAATTGGCTCAGGTGGGAACAGGTATACAAATGCCTGAAGACTGTGTGCAACGGATCATCAAGGTAGGAAAGAAGAGTCTACCATCTGTTTTGACCAGAGGGATGGGAATAGACGTCAATTCTGCCATAATCACTGAAGATGATTGGAGAAATCCTATCATAAATTACTTGCAATATCCAACCTTGCCCTCTGAAAAGAGAGTCAGAATCATGGGTTTAAACTACCTTATGTGGAATGGAGATTTGGTCCGAAAAAGCAAGGATGAGGTACTTCTAAGGTGCCTTGGAAAGAAAGAATACATGAAGGTCATGGGAGAAACTCATGAAGGAATCTGTGAAGCACATCAAGGTGGAAGGAAAATGTGCTGGAAGATTAGAAGGTATGGCTACTTCTAGCCAACCATGATGAAAGATTGCATTGACTATTCCAAGGGATGTGAGGCTTGTCAAAGGCATGGCCTAATCCAGCGGGCTCCTTCAGTTCCCATGAATCCAGTGGTAAAGCCATGGCCTTTCAGATGATGGGCAATGGATCTCATTGAAAAGATCTATTCAGCTAGTAGCAAGCAACACTGTTTTATCATTGTAGCTACAGACTATTTCACCAAATGGGTGGAGGCCAAGCCTGTTAAATCCACAACATCTCAAGAAATCATCATCTTCATAGAAGAGCAGATTACACAAAGGTTTGGCATTCCAGAATCAATCACAACTGACAGGGGATCTTATTTAATATCTGGAGAGATGCTAGATATGGCAGAAGCATTCAAATTCAAGCTGCTTCAATCCACTCCTTATTATGCTCAAGCTAATGGACAGGCAGAATCAAGTAACAAGGTGATCATCAATATTATCAGGAAAATGCTTGAGAAGAATCCAAAGCAGTGGCATGAGAAGTTATTAGAAACTCTGTTGGCATATAGAACTTCAAGGAGAGAAGCAACTGACATGACCCCATATGCCCTAACTTATGGTCATGATGCAATTTTGCCTATGGAGATAGTAGTCCAGTCTCTCAGAATTACTCACCAACATAATCTAGTTGGAGAGGACTACTCTCAAGCCATGCTGCTAGAACTGGAGGGATTAGTCTAGCCCCGAGCCTGCTCTGCACTTTTTTGCATTATGCAGCTGCCTTTGAAGCTCTTCAATCTGCTTCTTTGTACCCTGCAACCAGCTGGTCCAGTTTTGCCTTTTGCTTTGCATAATCAGCCAAGTTGGCTTTGTGAGTGGCTTTGCAGAACTCAGATGGTCTTGAAGGTGGGCTTGAGATCCTCATAACGATCGTAGAGGTTGAGCAAATCTCTTGCTAGGCCAAGGCTCATCTCAAGTATGGGTTTGGGAGCCATGTTCTGTCTGTGCAGCAGGTCCAGATCCTTCATCAATTGGTCAATGACTTCCCTATCCTCATCCAGCTCTAGCTCAGTAGATTGCCAAGTCTTCAGCCTCTCTATAGCCTCCTCCACTACCTTGGATTTTGCCTTGCTAGGAGTAGAACTGAGTTTCTCCAGCTTGTCCAGCTGGGCATCCAGATCCATGGCCTCGAACTCTGCCAGCTTCGGATCAGCAAAGGAAGCAGTGGCAGATGAACCAGGAATGGAATGGATAGGCATCTGCAAGAAGAACTCAAGTTAGCCCTATGCACAATTTTGAAACGGAGAAAAATCCAGAATGAATAAACACTTACATCAACAATTGGAGGCCTCAAGGGACTGGTCATCACTGCCAGAGCACCAGCAAATCTAGGCACTTCTACTTGAAAGAACTAAAATAGTTAAAGAAACAGAATAGAATTGCAGGAAAAACGTGGACAGAACTATAATAGAATTACCACAACCACAGGACCAGTAGCAATCGCTTCCACTCCAGTTCCTGAGACTGCAACAGGTAGTTCTGCCTGCTCCATAGGCTTTGATGCAGACTGCTCTGCCTGCTCCTCAGCTGCTGAAACGGCAGTGGAGTGCTCTGCCTCTGCATCTTCAAAAAGGGCAAACTCTGAGCTGGTCAACTCTGCCCTTGTGCTCTCTTGCTGCTTCTGCGCCAAGGCAATGCTCTCTGCTATTACCTCAGCAGGAATCTCCTCCTACAGATAGACAGAAGTCAGAACAGAGGAAATGAAAAGACAGAAATGACTGGTACAGCCAGAAAAACGATACTCACCTCTTCTTCTATTTCTTTTGTCTGGTCTTGAGGTCTTTCTTCTACCTCCTCTAGCTCTTCTAGCTCTTTCTCTTGTTCCACCGCTTCAAAGGTCTCCCTAATTTCTTCATCTATGCCAGAAGTGGTTATGGGAACTGCTGCAGGCTCTTCTGTGGTCACATACTCCACTTCAGTCCTCTTTCTAAGTCTTTTTGACTTAGTAGGAGGAGGAGGGGGACTTTCAACTGCACGGAACAAAGAAGTGAAGGTTAAAAGAATGGGCAAGGCATAGCAGATTCAAGGAAATAGTTGGAATGTCACAATCCTACCAGAAATATCAGGCTGCGTTGCATTGTTCGGGGGAAGAGCAGTTCCTTTTCTATTCCTTCTGGCAGAAGCAGTAGCCTCAACAGGGGTTTGTTCTGCCTGAGTTTCATCCTCTTCATCTCCAGAGGGAAGTTCCGAATCCCCGGCAGCAATGACAGAAGTAACTGCACAAAAATAGGCAAAAGTTAGAGGCCAATCCAGCAAGAAAAGATAGAAGGAACAGAATATTGAGAGAACTTACCAATCACTTCTCCACTCTGGACGGATTGGCCACATATGTTCTTCGTCAGGGAATGATTTGTTACAGACAGAACAAAGTATTAGGCATTATCACCAAGACAGAATGAACAAAACAAAGACAGAATTGAGGGTATACCTCTGTGACTTGCGCATTGATATCTTTGATGGTCTGCACCATGAATTTGTGGGTCTCCTCTCCTGCGTGAACAGTCCAGGCATCCTAGCCATCAAAAAGCACCTGAAGTATAGTGCTAGAAGCAGGCAGATCGCGGAATCTAGCTTTCCACCAAGCATCAAACTCGGCAGAACTGCATGAATTATTGATCTTGTTGACTACGCACCTAGTATCCTTATGCACTATTATTGATCTTGTTGACTACGCACCTAGTATCCTTATGCACTTCTAGATCATCCAGGTCCCTCCAAGAAGTGTCCCAATTACAGCTTCTATAGGACTTAAGCTGGATGAACTGAGGGCATCCAAGCTGCCTTGCACAGAAGTTGGGGTGATAGACCTCTGCCCCCAAGTGATAATCAAGAGGCTTTCCCCCTCCATGGGGAAGATCTCTGGGTAGGGTGACGCTCAGGAACTTCTTCCTGAAGTCAGTTCTGGCCGCTTCTTCCTCTAGTTCCTTCTCAAACAATCTGAATCCAGGCTGGAACCAAGGATATGTTCTTCTGATCACCACTTGCCATTGAGCTGCTGACCTCTTTGTACAGTGCCTAAAGAACATCAGGTACTCTTCAATGGAGCGCTTGGGCACTTCTGCCGATATCAGTCGTTGAGCCAGAACCTGGTCTTCAGGCAGAACTACATCTGGAAACCTCAGCTCTTGGAAGTAAACCTGCAGCCAGATCTGGATCATCCAGAATGCGCCAGGAGCAGACAGATTCAGTGGATTCTCCAAGGTGGGAGTATGCAAATTCTTGAAAAGATGAGCCAGAACTGTAGGGCCAAGCCCCACATCACTATGGTTATGAAGCGCTTCTGCCAGATGCCTATATTCAAGCAGAACTGCCGATGAGCAATTTGGGAGGACAAATTTGTTCAGCCAATACAGGAGAAACATCATGTGCTGCTGATTCTTGTCATTCTCAACACTAAACTTTCTTAAGTAATTGGAGAAAGAATAGTTCTGGTTGATCGTAGCTGGAGAGATAGTGAACGGATTAGACAGTTTCTCATGGTTCTTCCTCCTGTGATAGTCACCAACAGCATCTACAGGCCTCCCATGGGGCCTGAACCCAAAGATTTGAGCCATGTCCAGTAGAGTTGGAGCCATGGGGCCTACGCGAAAATCAAAGGTATTGCTAGTAGAATTCCAGAAGCAAAGAGCAGCAGCTAGGAGGTTCTCGTCCCTATTGATAGACTGCTTGGACAGAAGTATGGATCATATATGCCAGCCCTCCTCCAGTGAGCTCCATACCTTGGAAGGAGCCTGTCAATCCAGTCTGCCCACTTCATTGGGCTATTCCTCACTTCGCTTGAAGGAAACGAGCGGCTCAGATTCTTGCTGACCCAGGAGTGAGAAGCCAGGGCAGAAGAGCTTTCGAAGCGCAGAGGAGCTTCGGCATCCTTTTTGATCAGCTCCGCCATCTCAGTCGGGACAAAACCAAACTAGTGAGGTCCCAGGACCAAAGTATTCTCGAAAAGGTGAAGGACATTCTTGTCCAAATTTTTCTTGGCAAAAGGGTGGAGTTTGCTTCTAACCTCTATGGCATGATTGTCAACCCCAGCCCCAGTGATGTAATCAGGAGAAACTGAGGAGGACGAACCCTAGGCACGAGTCTTGGGGGAAGACATGTTCAGAAGCTTTAAGCTAGGAACAAAGGAAGTGATGAGAAAGGCAGAGTCGACTCGAAGAAAAGAGTGGAAATTCTAAAAACACCAAGAAAATCAAGGTCTGAGAGCTAGTTTTTCGAATAAACAAGAACTTTGGGTTTGAATGTCTTTTAAAGCTCAAAAACAAAGAGAAGAAGACGACGCGACACCTGATAATGACTAGCTAGTAATGAGCTAGTAACTGAACAATTTCCCACGAACTCTAGCTCAGTAGGAAGACGTGGTAGACGTGGGTTAACGGAAGAAACTGGCGCGCACAAATGAAATGGCCAATTCATTTAAGTCTTAAACCGTTCCAAAAACGATTCAGACTTAGGGGGCATTGTTTGGGCTTAATTTGGCACACCCAGCCCAAGGTCACAAAGCCCATAGCAATTTTAAACCAGCCACCAGCGTTCCCTTGAATTGGGCCAAGATTATACACTCCGCCCAACACTACGGGCCCAGATCCGGACTTTGCAAAATAAACAGGAAATCAAAGGCCCAAAAATCTAAGAAAGCCCAGCCCAGGATCTATCAAAAGGTGGCAAAATAAAAAAACTTGAGCCTCGGAAAGAAGAAAGCAAGCCAGCCCTTAGTTTGATTCCAGAAAAATCAGAGTAGGCCCAACATGATTAAAGAAAGAAGAAAACTAACAAAAACGGACCCATGTGAAATCTTTTTCTCTGACTTTGAAAAGTCAATATTTTCAGCTAAGTTTGGTAAGAGTGTTAATCAAAAGCAGGCAAACTAGGAAGAGACCTCTCTGAATCTCTGCCATCAGAAGATCAAATCCCTGTTGATATGTATAAATATATTCAGAGATATTTTCTTCTACTCCAAAAAAGGGGTGATTCTCCCAAGAGATAAGCAGGTCATATTTTCAAAAGGGGATAAGCAGGAGGACAGGGAGCAGTTCAAACTGAGAATCAAACTAACCATCATGGTTTGAGCTCTCACAGGGGGCATTTGGAATTAAAGAAGGGGTTAGGTTCTCTTTCAGGAAAAAACAGGGAAGTGATCTTGAGAACTGGCTGTTGAGAACTTATCTGCCAGACTTGATTAAAACCCATTTTTCTTCCCATTTAAAAATGAAAGATCTTTTGAGAATTTTTGCCGTCCATTATTAAAAGAAAGAAACCCTACTCCAAAGCATTCCTTATAAATATAAGAGAGGGTGAACAGAATTCAAGACACACTCAATTCATCAATCAAACAAACAAACAAAAAATCAACCAAAAGTTCACTTGAACCACAAGAGAAACCAGCTTTAGATCAGAATTCCCAAAGTTCAGACTTAGAAAAATAAGTCATTCAAAACGAGATTCCTCTCGTTACAAATTTGGTTCAGCAAAAGCCAAAAACAAGCAGAGCTTGAGTTTTCACAAATATGAAAACCTCAACAAATTTTATAGTGCAGTTCCAGCTCACTAAGTCCTCAAGACCAGCCACTTTTGTCCCTTCAGACTAAAGAAGCAACGGTTCTGCCCGTTCAAAAGCCTCCCAAAGCTTGAAGTGGATTAAAGCTCTGCCAAAATTGAACTTTGGCATCGATTTACAGCTAAAGCTGAGTAGTTGAAGTTGTTAACAATCTAGTCCAGCACAGACATATTCAGTCCAGCCCGGATCAGAAGCTTCTATCCAGGTAGAAATGGAATTCCAGCATTCTTTTTATCTTTCTAGCGTTGATTTTTTCCTTCCAAGTCTTGTAAAGGGCAGTTCTGCCTAAAAACAGTCCTCTTTATCATCATTTATTCTGGCTAGAACTACCAATCTTATACTGTGATAAATTGTGAAGTCCTCACCAGTCTGAGGCAAGAAAAGAACTTACTTGGGAGATATTCCTCACCCAAATTCACAATCACTTGTTTAGAAATCAGTAACTTGGGGCGCAAGTTATCCATTTTAAAGAAATCTGCTAGGATTTTCAAGGCTAGCAGTGGCACGCTCGCACACCAAAGAAAGCTGACTTGTTGACCAATCAATGGTTTCCAAGGTAGTGGAGAATTTTACCCTTCCATCACAGGAGCAAAAACCAAACGGGTGAACACATATCCAAAGCTATGCCAACTCTCCATTCATTAGCATTCTGTCGTTGTTGTTCTTGTGTTTGGAAAAGTAGTTCAGGATCCCCTTCATTAATCGGTAACGATGAATATGAAGAAGATTTCGTTCTCCAATTCAACATGAAATTCGTCAGATCTACACTATTTTTGAAGAAAATTGTGTAGTCCTTCACTAGCTAACACTATCTCTGTTTGTGTTGTATATGGGAATGGAGGTGCGGACTTGAATATTGTAAATCATGACTTAAATATGCCAAATATCCTCTTAATGACATTCCTCAAGGATGAATGACGAAGATTGAACAACTCAACTTCGTTTGCAGGTGCACGACCTTGACCACCAAACTCTTGGAGATGATATCGAACACCTCGAAATGGAGCCAAAAATTGGTGTCGATTTGGAAATCCATAATCCACTAAGAAAAATATACTTGATGATAGATTACACATATGTTAATATCCAATATATGACCTAATGTAAACTATAAATGAAAAAAATTAAGAATTAAAAAATACCTTGTGGCACTTTAAGTCCATTCCTCCTTGTTAAAGCATCGTGTAGTACTCTAAATCAAAGTTACAAGCTGCAAAAATATTTTGTGATATCGTACTGTGACGATTACGATAACTACTTACGTCTTGTCCTATTACCATTGCTGGAATATGTGTGCCATTTATAGCCCCGATACAATCCTAAAAATAAACACAAATGTTTGAAAGATATTATTAAACATAAAAGTATAATAAAATAAGTTGCACCAAAAAACACATTTACCTCAAAGTATGTGTGAGAACCTATAATATATATATATATTGAATAATTATTCGTACTACATATTAATTATTTATTAATATGAATTTTTCTTATTAAAATATTTATTATGAAGACTTATATGTTATTAAATCTTAAGCCTAGTATGAGATTATCCCCTTAGTTGAAAGATGACATCATTCTTGTTATCCATGTGTAGAGACTTAGAATTGGTTTTCGTCAAATCATCATTGCCATGCCACCTTATGTGCTAGTAACAAGTGATGTTGTGATATCATTGGCCAAAGGTGGATGACTCACATTATTCCTTACCTTTCTACCTTATCTTTTGGTGGTGGTGTTGTGATATCATTGGCCAAAGGGGGATGAGTCACATTATTCCCTTTTCTATCTTATCTTGTGGTGGTTTAAAATATTGTGTATATAAATATTATTTGGGTGCATCCATAGCCTCTCCTATAAGTATCATGCTTCCTTACTTCAATCATTCATTCCAATCCTTTAAAATAGATTTCTATCATGAAGTAGTGTTGGAGATTTCTATCATGAAGTAGTGTTGGAGAGAGAGAGAGAGAGAGAGAGAGAGAGAGAGAGAGAGATAAGGAAGAAAAAGAAACAAGATGAACATGTGTGTTTGTCTTGCAATATTTCATACTTATCATGGTGAGTGGGTTATGTAATATGTTCTAAAAGTTCTTATTTTGTGATAAATGTGAAAATCATGGGTTTATTATATTTACAAACCTCTCTCTATTTTCAAGTCAAGCATGTCTAATTTGTGCGATATTTCACACAATATATATTATTGAGAGTTTTTGTGAAGTATGTGTTATTCAAGGAACATGAGAACTTTAGTGACGGGGTGTCCGAAGGATAAATGTACCAGACGGGGACATAGGACAGTGAGGCCAAAAGGGGTCACGTACTGGGTACAATTTGTGAAGGATAACCAAGATATGAAGTAATGATGTGATATGATTTGGATTGTGTATCTTTTTATTATATTTTTATAGAGTGTGTAAAATGACATTGCTTGATTGGCATATTTCATAATCTACTCATTGAGCAGTGGTTTGCTCATCCCTCACCTATTTTGTTTTTCAAATCAATTAGTGAGTAAGACAAAGCCGAAACCAAAGAAGTTGGATTAGTTTAGAGTGATAAACTTTTATTTATATCTTGTACACTTGTAAGATTACTATAATTTTTTTTCATATATATAATGGTAATGTATTTTAACTAATTTTTCAGTATTTTTATTTATTTATTTCAATTCATGCACCCAAATTCTAGAATATTCTTTATTTTCGAATTGAGTCGTGACAAAATGGTATCAATGCCCAGGGATTAGATACCCCTGGGGAAGAAATGTGATGTAGTGTCAGTAAATTTCGAGGACGAAATTTTTTTAAGGAGGGTAGATTGTGAGAACCTGTAAATAAATATATATATATATATATTGAATAATTATTCATACTGCATATTAATATGAATTTTTCTTATTTAAATATTTATTGTGAAGACTTATATGTTATTAAATCTTAAGCCTAGTATGAGATTAGCCCTTTAGTTGAAAGATGACACTATTCTTGTTATCCATGTGTAGAGACTTAGAATTGGTTTGAGTCAAATCATCATTGCCATGCCACCTTACATGCTAGTAACAAGTGATGTTGTGATATTAATGGGCAAAGGTGGATGACTCACATTATTCCTTAGCTTTCTATCTTATCTTTTGGTGGTGGTGTTGTGATATCATTGGCCAAAATGGGGATGAGTCACATTATTCCCTTTCTATCTTATCTTTTGGTGGTTTAAAATATTGTATATATAAATATTATTTGGGTGCATCCATAGCCTCTCCTATAAATATCATGCTTCCTTACTTCAATCATTCATTCTAATCCTTTAAGATATATTTCTACCATGAAGTAGTGTTAGAGAGAGAGAGAGAGAGAGAGAGAGAGAGAGAGAGAGATAAGGAAGAAAAAGAAACAAGATGAAGAACATGTGTGTTTGTCTTGCAATATTTCATACTTATCATGGTGAGTGGGTTATGTAATATGTTCTAAAAGTTCTTATTTTGTGATAAATGTGAAAATCATGGGTTTATTCTATTTACAAACCTCTCTCTATTTTCAAGTCAAGCATGTCTAATTTGTGCGGTGTTTCATACAATATATATTATTTGGAGTTTTTGTGAAGTATGTGTTATTCATGGAACATGAGAACTTCAGTGATGGGGTATTTGAAGGATAAATGTACCAGATGGGGACATAGGGCAGTGATGTCGAAAGGGGTCACGTACTGGGTGCAATTTGTGAAGGATAACCAAGATATGAAGTAATGATGTGATATGATTTGGATTGTGTATCTTTTTTATTATATTTTTCTAGAGTGTGTAAAATGGAATTGCTTGACTGGCATATTACATAATCTACTCACTGAGCGGTGGTTTACTCATCCCTCACCTATTTTGTTTTTCAGATCAATTAGTGAGCAAGACAAAGCCGAAACCAAAGAAGTTGGATTAGTGTAGAGTGATAAACTTTTATTTATATCTTGTACACTTGTAAGATTATTATAATTTTTTTCATTTATATAATGGTAATGTATTTTAACCAATTTTTTAGTATTTTTATTTATTTATTTCAATTCACGTACCCAGATTCTAGAATATTCTTTATTTTCGAATCGGGTCGTGACAGTATGGGTAAAACCTTGTACTTTCCCTTATTTTAGCTGGTACTACGGATCTAGGTTTGGCTAGCATCTCCGGTGCTACTGTGTTCAAGGCCTTTAAAACTTTATTAAAAATTTTACTAGCAGTGAAGTGGGATCGCCCAAATGTATCACGTACTAGACATTATCTATTATTTTGACCCACAATAAGCAAAAAAGTCACAACCATTTCTTCTACACAAATGAATCTTGTATCTTACAAGAGTGTTTTTCCTCTAATAATACTGCATAACTTTCAAAACACATCAAGATACATTCTATACCTTTCTCGGAAATGCTCTGAATCGTCATTCAATACATGATGTATATAATTATATCCTTACATAGTAATTGGTTGCCAGGTTAATGGACATTCAATATTTTCACTATGCATGATAATCTCATTCAATGCATGAGCTACTGCTTGAATCGCCATTAATAATTCCAAATTATTTCATAAATTTCTTCGTCCTCCTCAATTTCTTCTAGTTCTGTTTTCGATTTAGTTACCGCACCGATCTATGGCAACTGGCTATTGATCGACACCCATCAGAATGGCTGAAATGACAACCGTGACTGGTTCCACAGGTTGCGGTTGAATTGCATCGTCGGCCGGTCCGATTCGGTTGTGGGCTTACCGTGAAGCCTTTTTTTTTTTTTTTTTTTTTTTTTTTTTTTTTTAGAAACCTTTTGAGATTTGTTTCAAGCCTTTGTTTATATAACTTTTAGGCCACATAACTTTTGTCATTCAAAACTTTTGATTATCACGTATCATCATATCATCAAATTATGATACATTGCAAGCAAAACTTAATAAAAAGTAACAATCCAAATACAAAATGAAGTGCAATGAAAACTTAATAAAAAGTTACAACCCAAATATAAAATGAAGTGCAATGAAAACTTATTTGAAATTAAATTACAACCCAAATATGAAATAAAGTGCAATGAGAATATTTAAAATTACAACCCGAATATGCAAAATGCAATGAAAACTTAAATTGTTACAACAAAGTTTGTTGAACAAACCGTGGTGTCTCACACAATTCAAAGAGTAGGTAATGATGATGTAGAAGCAAATTGAGGAGGTAGTGTTGTTGTAGAAGTTTGAGTACCGGCCACATCTAGTAAAAAAAAAGTAAACAAAATAGTAAATTATGTTAAAAAAAAACAAACATGAATGTTAAAAAAAGAAGATAAAAACATAATTTATTTAAAACAAAATAGTAGATTATGTCTTACTTGCTTCAAGTGCTTCAAGTTCTTTATAGAATGCAAGCTCTTTATTCGTTGGTTCCTTGTAGAAGCAAAATTCATTCGCCCTAAGCCAATCACTACTACACACTAATGCCTTTACTATTTTAGGTGTCAATGCATTTCTAAAAGGATCCACATCCTCTTGCCTAGTCTAAAGGCATTCTCACTAGCAACAATTGAGCTTGGGATTGCAAAGATATCCTTGGAAATCTTTGAAAGGATTGGATATCTACCCTCATTGTCTTTCCACCAATTCAAGAGTTTGAAGCCTTTGGTAAAAGGGCTTTCAAAAGGGCCAGTCAAGTATTTATCCACTTCATTTGATATTTCCACAAGTTGTTCCTCCTTCTTTTGTTGCACAAGTTGATGAAACATTTTGGTTTGAACATCATCATAGCCTTCAAGATCATTTCCAACATTCTCATCTTCGCCTTCATTCATTGGTTGGCTCACTAAGCCATCCACCCCTCTATACTCATTATACAAATTGAACAAGCATGTTCTAACTTCACGCACAACCTCATCTATCTTATTTTATTCGGCCTTGAGATTTTGGAAGCTTATCTTAAGCATTTGAAGTTTAATTCTTGGGTCTAGCACTAATGCTACAAAAATCATATTGTTCACACTTTCAAAACTCCCCCAATACTTTTCAAACTTCTTCTTCATTGATGAAGCCACCCTTTGCAAGACCGGATCTCTAGGATCATTCATTTTGAGTTCAATCTAAACTTGTAAACTAACCAATTCATGGAAAATTATATTGGATGTAACCGTTTTGGTTGCACTTAGTTTCAAGGTTGTGTCATAGAATTTCTTAAGAAAGTGAACAAATGAGATTGACTTCTCCCAATCTTAATTACTTGGAGGACCCACTCTCTTCATCCCACCCTTCTCTATCTCCTCAAAGTAAGTTTGAAAAGCTACATTTTTCAACACCATCCTATTGAACACTATATTGTACTTGAAAATCATATTGTTCACACTTTCAAAACTCCCCCAATACTTGTCAAACTTCTTCTTCATTGATGAAGCCACCCTTTGCAAGACCGGATCTCTAGGATCATTCATTTTGAGTTCAATATAAACTTGTAAACTAACCAATTCATGGAAAATTATATTGGATGTAAATGTTAAAGTTTGAGTGGGAAAAGAGTTTCCTACACTCTTTATAAGAGTAGGGATATTTCACTATAATAAACACAATTGAGTTTTTTTGAAGTGGGCTTTGAAATTGTTGGCCTTATTTAAATTAATTATATAATTTTATATATTTAAGTTTTGAATTTCAGATAACTTCAGTTAGTTTGAATTTCAAAATTCAGACATATCTCTTTGAACAGATATGTCCAAGGAGTGTCGTAGGCTTATTTAAATAGCCAAACGTACAAAGAAGAAAACTAACTTTGAAACCCAATACATCTCACACAACACTGAAAAACCATTGAGAGTATCCATACTGTAGTTCGCCAAATACCAAAATTCAAGTGCTAGAATTTTGGTTTTGATAGTTATATCCTGGTGGACAGTCGTTTGCAGAACCACAAGCACAGGAGTGGGGGTGAAATACTGTCTAAGGACATAGCAAATCTGTTAGCCTCTATCATCTCTGCAAGTTAGTATTTCTGGTTTAATACAAACTGTTGTATCTGTAATTTTTCTGTTGTTATATATTGATTCATTCAAAAGCCTTATATACATATATATATATATATATTCTGTTATATTATACAACTTACTGATTGTTTTCCAACATGTTTTGGTTGCACTTAGTTTCAAGGTTGTGTCATAGAATTTCTTAAGAAAGTGAACAAATGAGATTGACTTCTCCCAATCTTAATTACTTGGAGGACCCACTTTCTTCATCTCATCCTTCTCTATCTCCTCAAAGTAAGTTAGAAAAGCTACATTTTCCACCTCCATCCTATTGAACACTATCTTGTACTTGAAAGCACAATCAAGCATTTTATAAGTTGAATTCCACATTGTCACCACATCCATTGGCACATTTGCCATCCCGTCCATCCATATCTCCAAGGCATGGTCCCTAAAAGAATGCAACCTTGACGGGAATGAGTGAATATATTTTACACAATTCCTTATCCCCTCAATTGAGCTAAGAAGCTCATTCAACCCATTCTTAACAATCAAGTTAAGGATATGACATGCACACTTCAAGTGCAAATACTTCCCATCAAGCAAAAGGTTATTGAAATCCTTTATCCTATTTCCCACATACACAATCACCCCATCATTTGCCGAAGCATTGTCAACCGTAATGCTAAACAATTTTTCAATCCCCCAAGCTTAGCATTCACATAAAGTCTTGCCTATGTCAACACCCTTGTGACTAGTGATCTTTCCGAAATTGATGACCCTTTTATGCAAATCCACTCACTATCCATGAAATGGGCTTCTGACTACCATGTAGTTGATGTTTTGGATCGAAGTCCAAGTAACGGTTGTGATACTTACCCTATGATTACCTATCACACTTATTATCTTGGCATTCTCAACTAAGAACAAATACCATACTCCAACGGCTATCTTTTGTCTATTAGGGATCTTGAACTTAGAATTTGGATTTATACAAACTTTAAAAGAGGTTTTACAAGTCTGGGTGTACTCAATTCAGACTTGTATGAACTTTTAAAAAGTCGATTCAAATATGGGTGTATTTAATTAGGATTATAAAAAAAGTTGAATAAAATCTAGGTGTATTCAAAGAGTCATATATTTGGAAGGATTTCATTAAGTGATAAATTTTGGTAGGTTTTAAGGTGAGAGCTATAAATAACAAAGACCATAATAAATCCAACCTCCCCTCCAAGTATTTCATCAAATGCTAGTTTTTCTCTTTGCATACGCCCTAGCTTTTCTCTCTACAACATAAGACGAATAGCCTTCCTCCATCTGTAAATGTATGCTCCCTATTTTTTCTTTGATCAATACCTTGTTGGGTTTTCTTTTTCCATGATTTTCCTTCGTTCGTGTTTTTCTTGTTATTAGGGTATAGTTTGGGTTACAAGTTTTACTTGTTATTAGGGTTTAGCTTGGGGTTAGGGTTTATGCTTTGTTACTGGAGTTTATGCTTGTTACAAGGGTTTATGCTTATTACTAGGGTTTATGATTGTTTTTCTTTTGAAATATCTATATACAACTTTATCAAAATTGTTCGCTGAATCACTAGATTGGAAATTGAAATATAGTGATTGACAACCTTTCTGTAATCGAACAAAAAAATGACACAAACTGAGATAAACAGTAAATAAACGAAAAGCCAAAAATTAACTACAACTTTTAAATGCTGTTTTGGAAGCCTAAACGACCTTAGAAGCCCAAAATCCACCTTACATCATGCGCCCCAATCATTCCCTTTTCAGAAATGTATCATGCGCCCCAATCAGAGTTCGAATGCCAAATTTGTAAATTCTTGCTGCGTCTTTTTTCCATTCTTCACTCCAATTCTTCTTCAATCCATTCAGTCATTTGTTCTACTTCATTCATGTGTGCATTCAATATATGATGTGTCTGTTGGGATCGGTGGTTGCTGATGTACATTTTTTGGGATGTGGTGTTTTATGAATTTTGTATATTTTTTATGTTTTATTTGTGATTGATATCATGAAATTCATAGCTGCACCACTCAAATGGAGTCTCAAAATGCACAACAAGTAAATGGAAAAGGGAATAGCAAACAAGATTATCACGCTTGGAGTGTGGAATAGAGTAGAATATTGTTGCAACTCATGGTTGATGCTTCATCCCGTGGATGGCATAATGCTAATGGAATGCTAAGTAAGGCAACTGTAGAAACCAAAATACTACCTAAGGTTAATGAAAAACTTGAGTGCACAAAACCTATTCTCAATACCAGAGTCGGTTGAAATACTTTAAAAGAGAATACTAAAAATATTCACAGCTTCTCCATCATAGCTCTGGGTTTGGGTGGGATCCAACCACAAAGAAATTCACTGCTCCTGAAGAAGTTTGGAAAGACTACTTTAAGGTTAGGTTATTAAATTTTCTTTAAATAATTCTATTTGGTAACTTGAATACATAATTCTATTAAATTATTATTATTTTATTATTTTTGTTATAGTCCCACCCAAAAGACACACGTATTCAAACAAAAACTTGTGAGGGCTATGAGGATCTGCAAATTGTAATTAGGAATGCAATTGTTATTGGAAGAAACTCATTAGGATTGGGTGATGATACTGATGCAAGAACTTTTAGGGTGGAAGATAGACATGTTGGAATAGAAGACTTTGTTTTTTATGATGAAAGTCAGGCTTTTATGCCAAATCATAATGAACCACCACACCAAGATCCACCACTCGGACATTCTTCTTCATCCTTACCCTTTTAGGCCACTAATTGTGAAGGTCCCTTAGAAAGCTCAAGCTAGAGGAAACGAACTAAAACAAATTTGGAAGGGAATGCTATCTCAAATGAGACCACCCAGCAAGGTATGGGAAGAGTTAGCCTTAGCATTGATTCAATTGCCACCGACTTCCGGGGAATCCATAACTTGTTGGCAAAAAGGGAAAAAGAGATAGATTAGCAGAGTTATGTGTGGGATGCCATTAAGGAGACCCCAAATTTGGATAAACATGCTCGTTATAATTGCTTTCTTTATTGAATACTAACAAAAAAAGTATGAATTTTTTAAAATGTCCCCTAAGAAGGGCACAAATTGGATATCCTACAATTTGGAATGAGTGGTTTTTTTGAGAGTTTTTGGGAATGACTGGTTTGTTTGGAATAATTGGTTTTTGGGATTGTTTTTTGATTGATAATGCATCAAGATATGTGGACTATTTGTTTTGTTTACCAAACATTGTTGTTTATGTTTAAATACTCTATTGGTTATTAAAGAGTTGATGATGAATTCAACAACTTATTTTACTTTTCTAAATCCTTTATTTCTTTTGGAAATCTGGAATTTATTATTAATTGCAATTTGTTATTAGCTCCAGTGCATATGTGTGACTTGCAATTTGTATGTTGTAGCTCCAGTGCATATGTGACTTTATTATTAATTGTATTTGTAATTTTTTTTTATCATTTTATTTAGACGATATCAATATAGATGATGGAGGTAGAAGAAATTAGGCATGTGAAGTTCTATCGAAAACCAACGGTTCCCGATCGATTTTTTCGGGCAGTAAAACGCAGTGACCAAAAAGTCAACGGCAATCAGGTATTCATAACCGAGCTGTAGAGTCTCGAACACAAAAGTGGTATTCAATTATTATTTTAATTGCACGTGTTAGCATTTTATTGCGTGTAATGGAGAGTTCTATGGGTTTACAATAGAGTCGACTACATTGGATCACCCGAAAATTTAAGAGATTCCTTCGAAATCATCGATCTCATCTCATTTTCGCCAAATCCATCAAACTCTTCTCCTCTCATTCTCTTCTCTCCTCTCCTCCGATCCGGCAACATCTTCACCTCCGTGTGGACGAGTTCTTGGCCTTCTCTCATTCTCTTCTCTCCTCTCCTCCAATCTGGTAAGAATAAAGAATAGATTATTTCTATCTCTGTCTCTCTATCTATCATTTTCTCTTCTCTTTTCTCTCTTCTTTCTTCTCTCCTCTCTCTTTCTCCCTTATCTATTCTCATTTTAGGTTTCTGTCGAATAGGGTTTGTTCCTTTGTTTAGGATGAAACCAATTAAGATTTTCTTTAGGGTTTGTTTAGGATGAATTGGGGCTTTTCGATTAGAGATTTCTATTAAATGGGGGTTTCGATGATTATGGTTTATGTTAGAGTTTTTAGGGTGTGAGCTGCTGCTGCTTTTGTTTGGAAGCTTAAATTGAGGTATAAATAAAAATCACAATGGAAGCTTAATTTGAAATTGAATGCATCTGTTTTTTTTTGGATTTGATAGCATTTGTTTCTGTTTATCTTTGTTGTTGTGTTTAGGATTAGTTAAATGAATGTAACTGCTGGTTGGAATTGAATTTGAAAGTGTATAATTTTTAATTGCTAATTGGTTAGGTTTTGATAAATATGTTGGTGTGGTTTTTGTAACTACTGGTTGGTTAGGTTTTTATAAATGTGTTGGTGTGTTTTTCTGTGTTTTTTAACTGCTGGTTGGTTATGTTTTTATTGTGTTTTGTGTGTGTAGTATGTTGGTTGGTTAGGTTGTGTGTGATTGTTTTTGGTTACGGTGTCTTTTATTTTTAGGATATGATGGAGTCTAGCTAATCCAACACTAATGCCTCAGGAAGTGCACCTTCTATTCAACCCCAAACAGAACCCGAATCCCAAACAGAAATAGAAACCGAAACCCAATCACAAATAGATTCAGGTAATGTGGGAGGGAAGAGGAAACCCCCAAAATCTGTGGTGTGGCAACACTGCAAGAAAGTCCACAAGAAAAATGATAATGGGATTGAAAGGGTACTTGTAGTTTGCAACTATTTCAAATTAGAGATGTCGAGTGATTCTAAGAAAAATGGGACAATCGGTATAAGAAATCACCTAGAAAAGAGAGCACTCTCTTCTCTTTTGGAGAGCGGAGATAAGACTCAATCGATCTTGACAAATGTGACTATGGGCAGTCAAGCCCAATCGGTTCCCTACACCTTTAATCAACAAAGGTGTGAGGCCAAATGTGTGAGGTATGTCATAAGGGATGAGATCCCTTTAAGGCATGTTGAGGGTGGCGAGTTTAAGGACTTTGTGTATGAGTTAGAATACACCCGGATTTTTAAAATCTTTTTAAACACTCTAAAATCCTAATTGAATACACTCCTTTTAATTATTAAACTACAAGACCCTTGCTAGGCATAAGATTTTTTAGGATTGTGTTTATGTGTTTGTTTTTTTTTCTTTCATTTTTATTTAGGGTTATTTATAGCAATGGTCCCTCAACTATACTCGAAGTTACATTTTGGTCACTCAACTGAAATATTAGTTGCAAAGGTCACTCAAGTAGGTGTTTTGTTGCACCATTAGTCCCTTTGTCAAACTCTGTTAAATTTTTTGTAAAACATGAGAGTAAATTTGAAAATTCATCCAGAAGCCTCCCCTTCCTCCACAACCCTCCACTTCCTCCATTGCCGCAACCCACGCCTTCCTCCTCCAATCCCTCCCAACCCCAATCCCTATCTCTTTGTCACACTGGGCACCCATCCCGAGCCTGTATTCCTCAAAATACTCCAGACCCAATTCTCACCCTCCCATCCCTTCCCCACCTACCCTTCTTCCCACAAAAACTGCATATCGATCTGTGCAGTAAAAACCTTTGGCACTTTGAGCATCTTGACTAGAATGTTTATGGCAGTCTGACTTAGATGGCGCCTTCGAGCTAAAGATTTTTATTTATATGTTTCTATGCAGACTGTAATATTTAGGGAGTTTCACTAAAACACCCAAAATGGGGGCTGAAATTATAAAAAAACCCAACACCCAAAACACTTTATAAACACACCCAAAACCCATCATTACACACACTCAAAACCCATTTATAAACACACCCAAAAAATATACAATTGTTGATTTTGGGTGTGTTTCTATGTTTAAATAGTGCTTGAGTTTTTTTATAAATACATGTCTAGAATTGGGTTTATTTATAAATTTGTATAATATTTATCCACTCTAATTCTCTTTGCGCTTCTTTTTTTATGGTTCGTGTTTGCCAATTAATATATAAAAATAGCAATGTTGATTGAAAGAAAATTTAACAGAGTTGGGTTGCGGCAATGGAGGATTGTGGAGGAAGGGGAGGATTGTGGATGAATTTATGAATTTACCCTAATTTTTGACAGAGGGACTAATGATGCAACAAAACACCTACTTGAGTGACCTCTGCAACTAATATTTGAGTTGAGTGACCAAAATGTAGCTTCGGGTATAGTTGAGGGACCATTGCTACGAATAACCATTTTCTTTATAATGGAATTTTTAGGTTTAAGTACATGAGAGCGAAAATCACATAGAAAATGTTTAGGTTCGAACTAACGAGGTCTAACTCAGTGAAAAAGGGCCTTGATTTGCAGACAATGACCTCATCTTCGAATCCCCATGACACTATTGTTGGAACATATATTTAGGCATCCAATAGATGGGTGACACGGGAAAAATGAATATTCCTTAGGTCAATTGATTACCCTGATTAAACCCTATTTAATTAGGAAAATTATCTTTGATTTAAGATGGAAATATCTCTCCAAATCAAGGATGGGATTTTCATCAAATCTTCTTGATTAAATTCCAATCTCCTATTTATGGGTAAGAATAATCCTAACTAAATAAGGATTATTTTTCAAACCCTAGCACACAAGGAGTCTATAAATACATGACCACACAAGACATTCAATGTAACACTTTCTCACCCAAAAACCCTTTTTCTTGCTGTCACTCTCTCCTCTCTCTCCCACATGGCTAAGTGCCACCACACACTGCTAAGGCCACCCGGCTTTCCTCGTGAGAGAAAACTCCATCCACTTTAGCTATTGTTGTATCTTTATCAATATCCAATTGAACTAACTTAGACATCAGAGGGTCTTTGGCCAACATCCCCCGGGTGTGGTCTATTTACTACTATTTATTTCACAAGGATAGAGGAAGAAAGAGAAGGAAGATTGAAGGTCGAGGAATCAACCTTCGAATATTCCCCGTGACGAATTTTGCTCAAACATATTGAGAGCTTCAAAATATACTCAATGCGAAGCTCTTGAATCCAAATAAAGGGAAATTCGTTTCCTTTCCATCGTCGGTTTAATCTGAACCTCAAATCACCATAGTGAGAGGCCTCACTATGAGCCGATAAGAATTTCTCTAGGAAACCATGACCATTTTTCTCTGTGTAAAAAAAAATAAAAAAAAATAAAGCTTTTGCACGCGATACAAAAGAGGAAAAAAGGAGAAAACCCCCGGATCTGCTTCGACGCTGATGGTCACCAACGAGCCACCACTCACGATGACAAGCTATAGAGGGTCCCTCACAAGCTCAATCCACCAACATGCCGTGCAGGCAGGATAGTCGAGGAGATCTACTCCAAAGAGATAATGAGGAGGTAAACCAGTGATGCCTGCATCATGGAGGACACCAACGTGAACAGTAGACCATGCAGGCAGAAGATGTCAAGAAGCTCATGAATGACTAACTTCGAGACTTGAATATTGGATGAGATTTCGAAGATGTTTTATGCAAGGAGGTAAGTTATCTTTGGATATCCAAAAACAAATCTAAATAAGACATATGCAAGTTACCTCATTTATATCACCAATCATATGAATAGAGGATCCACCTTTGGGTGATCCTTATATCTTATGAATGATGAAAGTCAATATTCTCTTGACACTGAAACCTTGGAAACATTATAAGGTTCAACTTAATTTATATGCATCCTTAACTCACAAGTAATTGATTAATTATCATTTAATTTGATATTCATGGAACGTTCTAGCTTGGCCACTTTGGTGACTGACAAACTATTCATAATATGAATGTCAAATTAAATTAACAACTATAATAGTTAATCAATTACATAATTGATACACTTTAATGGTTTTTTTATTTATTTAATTTTTTTTTAAATTTTATGAAAAGGAATTTCATTCAATAACCATATAGCATAATACACTGAGAAGAAACAAAAAGGATGTGCAAGTTTGAGACTTTGTAAAAAACCTTTAGCATAAAAAACTCCCAAAAAAGGAGGTAAGTCTGCCAAAGGAAAAAGATCACCTCCCACTTGCCATCAAACATAAAGATCAGCCATTAGCTTCTAGATTTGCAGAAAGAAAAGGAGTTAGCCATAATGGCTCCTCCTCAATCCTTGTGAAAAAACCAGCGTTCCGAGTGCCATATTGAGCTAGCTCATGGGCAACCTTGTTACCATATCGTCGTTGCCAATTACAGGAGAAAAATCTAAACCACCCCTACATCTCCTTGATATCTTCCACTAGATTCCCTTCAGCTTCAAAACACTCTTCATTAGAGTTGATTCTGTCTACTAGCCCCTACGCATCCATTTCTAGCACTATGTCATGAAAGCCAAGATCATATGCGAATTGAAGGCCTTCCTTTGCAGCAATTAGTTCCATAGCTTATGCACTAAAATGTCCTACCACTTGTCGAGAACAAGCAGCCATAAACTCTTTATTTCCATTGCGAATCACTGCTCCAACTCCCCGCACTAACCCAGCAAGTTTGGCAGCCCCATCAACATTAATTTTGTACTGACCATCCAATGAGGCATGCCAATTAATAGAACTCTGACTGGGCCCTTGCCTATTATGGGAGCATATAGGGGCAAGATTTATAGAGTAAAATTCCGTCTGATAAGCCAAAGCTTTGTTAAATACTGATACACTCTCAAGACTTCGTCCTTGAAACAACAAATTGTTTCTGTCATTCCAAATATCCCAGCATAGAAAAGCAAAAAGATCCACCTCCTTTTTACTTGAGACCACAATCACAGCTTGCCAAAGTTCCTTGAAAGATGTAATTCTCCACTCATGTCGATTTGCACTCCAGGGTTATAAAGACCATATTGCTTTTACTTCATTACAAGCCCATATTGCATGAATAACTGACTCTACTTTCTTCCCACAACGTGGACATATTGGAGAATTCAAGATCTTCCTATGGTACAAATTTTGTCTGCTAGGCAAAAACCCCCATATACATCTCCATAGAAAGAATTTGATTTTATTAGGCACCTGCAAACTCCACAATTTTTTCCATAACAATGTACCATCTTATGTCGAGGACCCTTCCATGCCATTTTCGCTTTGCTTCTTCATGCATGCAACCATATAACTACTTCTGACTAAGTGTTTGCCGCTGCGATCATAGTGCTAAATTAATTTATCCACTCTATGAGTTGAAGTCAATGGAATTTGGAGGATAGCATTCACTTCATGTTCCCAAAAATTAGCTTTTAATAGCTGTTCATCCCATTGTCCAGTTGCATTAAACAACTCACATACTTTCATAGAAACATCAAATTTTGGTGTGGAGATAATCTTGAAATTCATTGGTAAAGGCACCCACCGATCTTGATAAACATGTATATCTTCACCATTTCCAACTCTCCACCGCAAACCCGCCTTCAACAAATCTTTCCCCCATATCAACGAACTTCAAATAAGTGAGGGTCGATACCCCAATCCAACTTCTAAAAAATTACAATGTGAAAAATATTGGGCCTTGAAAATTCTCGCTGCCAAGGAATTGCAATTAAAAAATAATCCCCAACTTTGTTTTGCCAGAAGAGCTTGATTAAAAGCCTCAAGGTCTCTAAATCCCAATCCTCCAATCTGCTTGCTCACACATAATGTCTCCCATTTAGTCCAATGAATACCCCGCATATTCTTACTTTTAGACCACCAGAATTTAGCCATCAAGCCACGAAGATCCTTACACATCCCCTTAGGCATCCGAAAGCAGCTCATCGAGTAGGTGGGCATAGCCTGTAACACAGCTTTAATCAGGACCTCTTTACCAGCTCTAGATAGGATATTTTCCTTCCACCCACTAATTCATTTTCCAATTCGATCTTTGACAGTCTCGAAAATCTGCTTTCTTCCCCTACCTGTCACCATAAGCAAACCTAAATATTTTTCAAGGCAAGACACCAACGGAATTTCCAGTAAATCCAAAACTATTTGTATTTCAACGACAGTAGCATTTGGGCTCAAACTTAAAGCCGGCTTTGTGAAATTGATCTTTTGCCCAGAAGTCTCCTCATACACTTGAAATATATTCTTCACTGCTTCACATGACTCTTTAACACATTAGTGGGCAATAGACCTTTAGATTACCTCGCCCCATAAGACAAAATACAGTGACAATGAAATACAATATGCTTGCATGTATTTATTTTAAATAACTTTAATTCACTGTACATGTAAACACCAAGATCTCTGTAGCATAAGTTCGCAAGCGGTCATCAAAATAGATCATCCAATTACAAATTTCGTTGAACATAATCGCAATTCTTAATTCGGTGCAAATATTATGCAATTTTCCCAAAATTATTATTGCATAAAAGGGAAACATTAGGTAAAACATCCCTGACCCAATTTAATCGATTTAATCTAATTTAATTCTTTTACGAAATTGCAATTTTGTCCTTGGGAAAAGGGGTACTTTAATCATTTTTTTAATCCAAAAAGATTTTGGGAAAATGAGTGGCACCGTTGCATTGGGAAAATGAGTGGCACCGTTGCATAGAGCTCGCTCTACACACGACACTCTCTCTCTCCACCATGCAACACCACCGTTTCAGGTAGGGGTGGCAATTTCCTACACGACCCGTTACATGACTTGAAACCCGCATGGAAAAAACACGACTCGAACCCGCACGATTAATAATTGGGTAATTTTCGGGTTAACCCATTTTGACCTGTTTATTAAACGGGTGGGTTTCGGGTCAACCCGCCAACTCGTTAAAATACATGTGTAACCCGTTTATTAAACGGGTCGTGTCAACCCGTGTAAGACACGCCAACCGGCGAAAAAATATAGGGAAATAGAGACTTCAAAACACACATATGGGGTTTCAAACCCCCTCCATCCTCATTACTCTCCAACACCTTATCCACCATACTAGATACAACTTTGTGATTATATACTATGCCTTTTGATATTTATAATGTTTCTTTTTCTTCTTTTGTTTTTCTTTCTTTTCCGTCTATCTTCTCCTCTCTCTTTTTTAATTTCTTTTCCTTCTCTCTTTTCTCCTCTCTTTTTTTACTTCTCTTTAGTTTTCTCTCCTCTCTTTTTTATTTTTATTTCTTTCCTTCTCTCTTCTCTCTTCTCTCTCTCTCTCTCTCTCTCTCTCTTTTTGTATTCCTTCTCTCTTCTCTCCTATCTCTATCCTTTTTTTCTTTCTTTTCCTTATATTTTCTCTCCTCTCTATGTTTTTTTTATTTAAATTTTTTCAGTTGTGACTTTTGTAATATGCATGTTATTATTTATCAACCCGTTACACGACTCGAAACCCACACGATAAAAGACGACCCGAACCCGACACGACACGTTTATTAAATGGGTTGGGTTCGGGTTGAGCATTCTTGACACGTTTAATATCCCGACACGACACGAACCCGACACGATCCGACCCATTGCCAGCCCTACGTGCCGCGCCCCTAATAATAGCCCACCGGGCTTGGAGGATACCAAAGCACCTCTCCACATCTTTTATGTAACCCTCTTCATAGGTAGCAAATAATTTTTGCTTCTGGGATCGGGGATGTGGAATTGATTTCACAATGTGGTCCACCTCGGGTAGATGTCGTCAGCTAGATAATACCGATTATGGTAGAAGGTATTGTTGATTTCATAGGTGATATTCGGGGCTTCACCTCCCAGGACGTTCAAGTCATTTTGAGATCCTGCAACTCCGAAGAAGGCATGTCAAACCCATGTATCGAATTCAGCAACAGCTTCAAGGATGATACTTTTCTGCCCTATCCTATTTTCATAATTCCCTTGCCAAGCAGTTGGGCAATTCTTCTATTGCCAGTGCATGCAGTCGATGCTACCAATCATTCCAGGAAATCCTCGAGCTTCAGCTTTTTGTAGAAGTCGTTGAAGGTCCCTGGGCGTAGGTCTACGCAGGTAGTCCCTAGTGTACAGAGTTTCCACTGCATCACAAAATCTCACCAAGCTCTCCAAAGCAGTGGACTTTCCCATCCGGGCAATCTCATCCACCTGATCAATAGATAACCCATACGCCAACATTCATATAACAGTTGTGAACTTTTGCTCGGGAAGAAGTCCCAAATTTCCAGCAGCATTTCTCGTTTCAACAAAGTATTCATCATAATTGCAAATATCATGCATGACTTTATTGAACAAATGGGACTGCATTCTATATTGAGCTTGAAAATGAACATTAGAGTACAGAGAATTTGGGATAAAATAGTCTTCCATAAGATTCTAACCTCGAGAATGTCTATGTCTGTCCACATTCGGGGCACGGCCTTCTCGTGAACCACGGCAGCTCTGGTTTTCTTCATCAAGCAAAGCCACAACTATGACAATTTCCTTATCTAGTTCTCTCTGCGCCCTTTTGCCTGCAGCTCGTCTACGCCTTCTTTCTCTAGTTTCCCTCCCTTGCCTCTCCAAAACCTCTTGCATGTCTGCCATTTATGAATGGAGAATGAAATCTAAAATATGAGAAATGAAAATATAGAGAAGATCTGGTGTGGGAGGTATGAAAGTGAAAAAAAATTGAGTAGAAAGTGAATAATAGTAGAAGGAGAAGAAAATGTATAAGGATTTGGTGTTAAAAGTGAAGAGTATTGGTTGGTATTATATAAAAAATTCATTAATTTTTTTGTTTTTTTTTTTTTTTTTTTTTTTTTTTTTTTTTCATTTCAATCAATTTTTTTTTTTTTTTTTTTTTTTGCACAAAAATTGGTTGCTGTTGGATTGGAGGAAAAAATCATATCGGAGAGCCTAGATGCTGACATGTAGAAGCTAGCCATTGGCGGCTATTGTAGCGCGATCAGATCGGAGAGCCTAGATGCCGACACGTAGAAGCTAGCCGTTGGCGGCTACTGTAGCGCAATCGTGCAATTTTTTTTAACGTTGGCATGTGCAATGCACGCGCCAACAGTAAAAAAAATTCAAACTGCAAGGCTGACGCCAGGCTGGCATCAGCGATGACATCACCAACCCTCGGGCTTGCTCTCGAGCTAAACTCCACCTCGGGGCAGCCTAGCCTAGTGGCCCCACCTCTTGCCCGGGCCAGCTTTTGTTGCTCAAAACCACTTTTTGGCCCTAACCCCCCAGCCAGAGTGTAACAACCCGATCCTTAATTAATTTTTATTTATTATTTTATTCAAGGAAATGACTAGAATACCCTCGAAATATTTTATTAGGTTTAAAGTTGACTTTTTGACCAGGAAGGAATTTGGGAATTAGGATTTCACTATTGTGTAGAGCGCCACAAAACGAGTCTGTAGACACGTAATGGGCTCGAATTGGAGTTATAACGAAGAAAATATGATTAAATTACACTGAGGGGCAAAATAGTAATTTTTTAAGTCATATTTTTTTTAAATCTCTTTTCTCTCTCTCTTCTCTGGCCATAGGAACAGACCGAATCGAGCCGCCATCCCTCCCTTTTCCTTTTTCGGCTAGCCTTTGCCCTTGGAACCGACGATTCTAGCCAGAAGCACTGCGGAATCAGCCGGTTTTGACTGAAAACTCTCACGGCTCGTTCTCCATCCTCCGACCACCAATCTTGGCGTGTGAGATATGATTTCTCACCTATTTTCCATGATCTAGCTAATGGTTGGGGTAGGTTTTCTTCGATTCGAAGCGTAGATAGTTCGATTTTCGAGTTAGGGTTCGACCGATTTTGGGATCGCAATTCCAGCCACTTCCGGGCAATTTTTGGGGTAGGTCCAAGAACAAAAGTCGCTCCAAATCAGGTTACAAACCTAGGGTAGGAAGCTGGGCTTACGATTGCAGAGTTTTCCAGTTATTGGAATTGATCAAGCCACCCATGCGCTGCCAGTGCGTGTGGCGGCGTGTGGGCAGCAGGGTGGGGACCACATTCAGTTCTAGAATGATCCATTGGTCCTCACGAGCGCGTAGGATTTCGCGGATCTTAATTCGGATAACGTTTGAACCCCAAACAGATCTCAACTAGTGTGTGATTTCCGGGTTCAACATGTTTGAGCCGTTGGATTGTAGTCATTTCAGATATAGTGATCTAGATAGTGCCAGGATTGTATAAGATTTGACGGATTGTAAAACGGAGTTCTGGGCACTCCATAAACACCAACCCGAGGGCTAGGTTTATAGTAAATGAGTCCTGACAAGAAGGAGTTATCTAAATCAGGTTACAGGTTAAATAAATAGTAGGTTGCGGCCCGGATAGAAGCGGTATCTTCGAGGTCTGTGAGGATAGCAGCTCGGCTTGTGAGGATAGATAGTTAGTTATAGGTTGCAGCCCGGATAGAAGCGGTATCTCCGAGGTCTGCGAGGATAGCGGCTCGGCCTGTGAGGATAGATAGTTAGTTATAGGATGCAGCCCGAATAGAAGCGGTATCTGTGAGGTCTGCGAGGATTGCGGCTCGGCCTGTGAGGATTGCGGCCCGGCTTGCGAGGAGGGAATTGACAGTATTAATAGAGTTGAAAGATCAGGATTAGAGGTACACTTAGGTGGAGAGAATTTCAGTTCTGAGATATTCTTAAACTAAAATAAGGGAGTTCAGTGTATGACATACTTATATTCAGTGTGTGACTGATATGAGTAGAGGAAAAAATTACGTGTGGCTTGATCCCTCAGTAAAGGTACGTAGGCAACCTAAGGTTACAAGGTGCAGCCACGAGTTGGAGTCTTTGGGTTTGGTACATAAGGGCATTTTGGTCATTTGTGCTCAGCACCCGCCAGGTGTCGGACACACACAAGGTTCGGCTCAGATTCCAAAGTGGAATTTGGGTCGGGTCCTTTCACTGAGTCCAGCCTTAGCTGCTGGAAATGCTCTAATAATTTGTGGTTCGTGCCTTTCGTACTATACACAGTGATGTTAGTACCCCTCGTAAGTCCATGCCTTTTGTACTAATATCTTGATAATTGTGCAATTAACATCCTATTATCATATGCTAAAGGATTTATTTGTACCCATTTTTATAAAGTACAATCGACTTTAGGAATAATCATACACACATTTCCATCAAGTTGAGACTTGTAAGTTGGATATAACATCCATCTACATTTATCTTTTTGGGCAATGTCGTATCAATTCTAAGAATAATTATCCAACCTCAAGACTTGACATGTGGTCGGATAGACTTGTACTAGTCCCATGTTCAAAGTAGGACAGTGGACGGTGGACGAAGATGCCATCCACTATCTTATTTATGGAAGAAATGTTGCAGATCATGGTAGCATGTCAAAGGGTAAATGCTTGTATGACCTGAAGCTGAGTGACGTGTGACATGATCATCTCCCATCCACCCTTCTCACTCATTCAAATCCTTCACCGCTTTCCATTTGAAAAAGAATTCAAATCCTTCACTACCTTTGAAGAATTCATATATCCACCTACCTTTGTTTTTTCCTTCAATTTCATATCCATTTTGAGAATAATCATCCAATATAACAACTTAACATGTGGTCGGATAGACTTGTACTTGTCTCCAACAAGTCCTTATATATCGCAAAAAAAGTATAACTTGATAAACAAAATATAAATAGAAATAATTAAACAAAACAATGCACAATTAATGTACCTTAATATCTTGAACAAGTCCCTATATATCACGATGAAATTTGGGATGAAAACTTCGTAGATAAATTTGTAATTTGCTCATAGTTGGATCTGTCCCTCCAACATTTTCCATCTATTCTTCCGCTTATAGACTCAACATCATCTATCAACTTGATCGATACTTAAAACACTCCTAAAAAACACACAACATGCTATTCACACCAAAATATTATATGATTTGTCATTCCACCAAAATCCTCAAAGCTCCATGTCTGATTAAAGGGCCTACTCTATTGTTGGCAATGCAATATAGTGTCAAATTGACCAGAAATATACTCAGGAAATGCTTCGATAAGAACCTAGTCAACTTGGTAGTCAGAAATCAAGAGAAATAAAAGAAGTTAAACTATTCCTTATTTTCGGGTCAGGGCTTGACATCCTCCAACAAGTTACTAGGGGCCGGGAACGGTGTAGTTTGGTGCAGTTTCTCCTTGGAACCAAAAATTATTTCCGTTGTGGTGCGGTCGGTTATTGCCAAAAGATGGTTTTCGGTTTTGAACTAATTTAATTTTTATTTAGGTTATTTCCCAAAAACACATATAAGATAAAAAAAAAGGAAAAAACACAAAAAGAGAAGTCGGAAACCCGACCCAGTCCAGCCAATTTCCGAACACTAGTCCTTTTGGTTCCTGAAAAACAGTAAGCTTTAGGGGGGGTATATTCAATTGGAATTTTCACTACTACAAAAAGTGAAAAAGACGACCATAAAAAAACAACAGTTTAACGGAAAACCGTCGTTGTTTTTGAAAAGACGACGGTTTTATAAAACCGCCTTGTAAGAATAACTTAAAGCCAAAAGATGGGAGTGCCTTCAAGCCAAAAGATGGGAGTTTCAAAGCCATTATCAAGTTGCACAGTGAGCGTAGTTGATCGGGACCTGTTGAACCAAGCACATCTATATGTCTTGGAGAATACGGAGGAAGTCCTACCTTATATCGAGTACGTATGAGTTTTATTCTTTAAGTTTCTATTTTAAATTATTTGTTATGTTTATCTTATATGTTTGGGACCATAATGCTTGAATTTTTCGTGTCATGTAGGCAACATATGATCCACATCAAGACCGCTTATCCAAAATTTAGAAAGAGAACAAAGTGGCTGCAAGATAAGCACAATATCACTTTCATTCAATGACTATGCTTCAAGGTATATGTTATTGAATAACATATTGGACTTTTAATTTTCTTCTTTCTATGTTAGATTGAATTAAGATATGATTAATTTGCAGGTTCAAAGTGAACTTAATGAGGAAGACAATCATGGCGTATCAGAAAATTTAAGGTGGCTAGTAGCTGGTCCAAACATGGCAGTGCCATCATATAAGAGCTATCTTATTAAAGGTATTAAATTTAACATCAAGGCACAAGGTGATGTGTGGACAACTCAAAATAGTGGAGTTTATTTACTTGCACATACCATGCAAGTTGCTAGTGCCAAGGATAAAAACCAAATTCTCTCAAATATGGGTTTCTATGGTGTCATTCAAGAAATTTGGGACCTTGACTACCAAAAGTTTACAATCCCAGTCTTTAGGTGTGATTGGATAGATAGTACTTCTGGTCTTGTAGTCGACGAACTTGGATTTACCCTTGTAGATTTGAGTAAAATTGGACATAGGAATGACCAATTTGTTTTGGTTTCTCAAGTTAAACAAGTATTTTTTGTTGACAACCCGATGCATCGTGGTTGGTCGGTAGTGTTATCAATGCCTAATAGAGAATATAATGATGTTATTGGTGATGATGTCTTAGGTGATGTGAGAGAATTGAGTGTGAGCCATTTACTAGAAGGATGCCAAATGTTGACACATTTGATGAACTGGTGGGTGAGTTTGGGAGTCAAAATATTCGGGATGGGTGTGAAGATATATGGATTGAATGATGCTTATGTAATTGGCAGTGTATGACATTAATTTTTTAATATATTGTAATGTGATTTCTTCACTTTCATTATACAGGTTTTGGCCACAAAACAATCAGTACAAAAAATACTGGTTCAAGATTACAAACACGACGGTCTTGATAAAAATGTGAAAAACCTACGTATGTTCTAATAAAAAAACGATGTTTTGGAGCATTCAACGACCGCAATATATTTACCGACGTCTTAAAGCAAAGTAACAATGAAGAACCACGACGCTATTGTGAAACAGTTATTAAGGATATCACGTCGGAGAAGCATAAAGAGCCGCCATGTAATTCCAAATAACACGACTCCAATCCCATAATATCGACGTCTAAAAGACGAGATATCTAACCTGAACGTTACAAAAGACGACGTCGTCTTAATTTTACCACGTCGCATGTTCTTTCATAAACGAAGTGGAAAGGGATTAATTCACGACGGTATTTGAAATCCATTGGTAAATTTGTCGACGTTAGGATATATTTGGACGTCGTTCATTTACAAAAACAACGTTATATGAATGTATCCAAGTCTTTTTTCTTATGATCATGTCGTTAAAATTACTTTCCACGGCGAATTTCCGATAAAACACGCCGTCTAATAGGCATTAGATGACGGTAATTTTATTAATGATGACGTATAAATTCTGAAACACGGCTGTCTTTTGCATGATAACGACGTTGTATATTGACGACAACGTCGTCTGTATAAATGAATGTGTCGTAAGTAATGACCCCAACATATTTTCCACGTCATTTATTTTCAGATCATCGCTACTACAAAACGTGACAAAGACGACCAGAAAAACACGACGGTCTAAGTGAAAACCGTCGTTGTTTTTTAAAAGACGACGGTTTTATAAAACCGCCGTGTAATAACATCTTAGACAACTAAAAAATGGAGATTCAAATGGCTGTTCCTAAAACACGACGTACTTAATTAAAAAACCGACGTCTTATTGAAATAGGATTTTCAAGTGGTAAAATCATAGCCAACAAATAACGGCGGAAGTTATGAACCAACCGACGTAGAAAGTAAAGACGACGATTTCAAAAAAAGCCGCCGTTTTTACCCAGAAATTAACACGACCAAGTTTTCGTATAAGGCGCCGTATAATTACAAATAAATCCACGGCGGTAAAATACAAAATACCGCCGTATTAAATTAATGTACAACTACGGCAAAGGTAAATATAACGACGTCTTTCTCGTATTTCTACGACGATATCTTTAAATCTTACCAAGTTGGGGTTTTCATTTAACGACGTATTATACAATTAAACGTCGTATTTGTCCACTTTATACGTCATACATTATATTTAAACCGTCGTCTGAATAAGAATTTTTTTTAACAATTTATTTCTTGGATTTTGTTATCCTACGTCGGTAGATCTACTTAATGACAAGAATTGAAATAACCACGACGGTTTATATAGAAAACCGCCGACATAATCAGATTATTCTGAGATCACAAGGGTTAGGAAATCTTACAAGATGGAACTCTGTTGCTCATCATAATCTTACCAGAAAGACAATATTTTAGAGGTTAATGATGTATGTGTATTTGTGTCTTTGAGATACACAAACGCACATACACATTAACATCCAAAAAATTGCTTCTGAAATTTGACGACGGCAGCCTCAGATTTGCAATCAGAGAGACAATTTTTTGGAAGTGAATGATGTGTGTGCGTTTGTGTATCTACACAAACGCACACACACATCCACATCCAAACAATTGCCTCCTAAAACTTCACAACGGCAGCCACAGATTTGCAATCAGAGAGACAATTTATTGAAAATTGGTGATGTGTGTATGTTTGAGAATCAGATACACAAACATACACACAAACCAACATTCAAACAATTGCCTCCCAAGAGATGAGGTGAGACAGAGAAAGGGGCAAGAAGAAGTTGAAACCCTAATCGAATACTAAAACTAAAAGAAACCGTGAAAAAAAACCCTATTTATAATTAAAAAACCAAATCCACGTCGGTTATATTACACATAACGACGTTTAACAAAAATAATCCACGTCGGCAAAAAAATACATTACGTCGTTTTACTCTTACTTAAGACGACAAGAAAAGACGACGGTATAATAAAAAACAGTCGTTGTTTTTATATTTTTATTTGATTTAAATCAGTCACCCAGAAAAGAAACTTTACAAATTCTAGAACATTAATTTCCTCGGGAAAAAAAACTCTATTTATAAGGCACTGTTTTTGAAAAATAAACTGAAAGAACAAGGGAAAAAAAATTATATTCATAATTATAAAAATAAAATCCACGTCGGTTATATTACACATAACGACGTTTAAAAACGAATCCACGTCGCGAAAAATATTGCGTCGTTTTAAAATAAAAAAAGACGACGGTATAACAACAAACAGTCGTTGTTTTTATATTCGTATTTGATTTACATCAGTCACCCAAAAAGAAACTTTACAAATTCTAGAACATTAATTTCCTCAGGAAAAAAAACTCTATTTATAAGGCACTATTTTTGAAAAATAAACTGAAAGAACAAGGGAAAAAAATTCTATTTATAATTATAAAAATACAATCCACGTCGGTTATATTACACATAAGACGTTTTAAAAACGAATACACGTCGCAAAAAAAATATTACGTCGTCTTAGTTTACAAAAAGACGTCGGTAGAACATAAAACCGTCGTTGTTTCAATTTCTTTAACCGTTCTCTTTCTGAAGCCATTTCTACTCTTTATCACATTCTTGAAAACCCATCTTCTTCTTCAGAAGCTCTACGGATAACCCATCTTCTTCACTAATGCCGATAACCCATCTTCTTCTATCACAAACCTGACGGATAGCCAAGAAAATCGAGTAGAGGCTGACATCTGATCTTCAGGTTTCTCTGAGAAGCGAACGTTCGACAGCGAGTGGAGGCCAGGCTTGCATCTCTTTTGATGGAAAGCAAGGAGTATTCAGAAGCACTAAGTCTCCTATCAGGATTGACAAGCTTCCTCTTGTGGACATAGATTTGTTGGAGAAAGACATCCAAATTATTGTCTTCGAGATGTGAGAGAGAGTGTCTTTGAGAGAGGAAGAACTTGGAAACCTAAATGAAAACAGCAACTGAAAGAAAGTGACAAATTTATACAATAAATTTTTTAAACCCACGGCGGTCCTTACACAAAACCGCCGTCTATTTACAAAATTCCACGTCGGTATATTACAACAAACCGACGTATATTATAAAAATAAACGTCGTAAATTAAAAAAACCGTCGTGTTAAATATTTCTACCATGACGCGAGATATTGAGTTATCGACTTTTATTTAGGAGTTTACTACGGCGGTACCTACAACACTACTGTCGTATTTATTTACCACGTCTTAAGTTCAAATTATCGTCGTAGTTTGTCTATTAATGCGTCGTCGTTCTATGTAAACCGCCGTCTTATTACTATGAAACGGTTTGTATATATATACAACTTTTCGTCTACTTGACTTACACATGCACTGTTTCCAAACCCGAGAAAAAATTTCAATCTCCCAGAGAAAACTTTTCGTCTTTTTTCCTTGTCAGAGCACTGTCAGAGTATCTCATCATCTTCCTCTCGTCTTCGTCGTCGTCTCTGAACTTAAACACCAAACTCCGAGAGAAAGCTTTCATTGCACGCAAAAGGTAAGCTTTCATTTCTCACTATTTTTGTTGCTATTTTGCATGCTCATACGGTTTTTGTTTTGAAAATCTTTTTACCTTTTTTCTGGGGAAAATCATTTTTATTCTTTCCAAGTTTGATAAAATACACAGACAGAGAGGGAAAGTTTCCAACTTTGAACACAACTAATTCAACTAAATAAGACGACGGTAGCTTCTTATTTACGTGGTTAAATATGTAGACCACGACGGTTCGTCAGTCGTCCTAGCGTCGTCTTAAAATTGATCTAAGTTGTTTTTAAAATGACATTCAATTTTTTATTTGCTTGTTTAGTTGCAGGTTTGATTTCTCTGAACCATTGTTTTCGTTTTTCCTAATTTGATAAAATACAAAGACAAAGAAAGTAGGGTTTGGTATCTTATATAGACGACGGTATCTTATTATTGACGCCGTGTGAATGTTCATACCACGACGTTATACTAAGATACCGTCGTCTATAAAAGATGCCAAACCTTTCTTTCTTTTTCTTTGTATTTTATCAAATTAGGAAAAACAAAAACCATGTTTCAGAGAAATTAAACCTGCAATCAAACATTCACAGAGAAAGAAAAATGTTTTTGGTTTCTTATAAATACGACGGTAGCTTATTATTCATGTCGTGTTAATATCCATAACACGACGTTATATTAATATTTACGTCGTGTTAATTTGAATATCACGACGTCGTGTAAATATCGCCGTAATAAGTTCTTATTACGTCTTATTTAATATTGTTTCGTCGTTGTTTAAACATATTTATATTTTTTTCTTCTTTAAACATTTATTACGTCTGATGTTATGTTATTACGTCGTGTAAAATCTTATCATACGTCGTATTTTATAAATAACCGTCGTTTGTGTTCTAATTTTTTTCCTGAAATATTTTCACTTGCAGGTTTGTTTTTTCTGTAACCATGGTTTCTCAAGACCAAAGTAAGGACTCTGGCTCCAAAAAAATGGAGGTAAGGAGCTTGGAATGGTAACTCCTCAAGACAAGCCCTTGAAGAAGATGAAGTTTGTTTCATCTGCTGAGACAGAACCAACCAGCACGACAACAATTTCTGAGGATTCAATGCCTCGTGTTGTGAAGAGAAAATTGCAGAAAATCAAGCCAATTGTTGAGTACAATAAAAGGGGGAAAGGATGTGGCCCTGCACATACTGAGATGCAGTCCTACATTGGTGTGTTGGCACACTCCAGAGTCCCACTTGTGGACAAGAAATGGGCTGAAATCCCCAAGGATATAAAGGAGCATATTTGGGAAGCCGTTGACATGGATTTTGTGGTAGGTCAAGGGGGCAAGACCTCGGTGTTATCTTCTGCTGCCAAGAAATGGAAGGATTTTCAAGTCTACACTGACGAGGCATTATATCCTTCCATACATCAAGGAGAGGGAGAAATTAAGCCAACCCCCTGAAGTATATAAATTCATAGAGAAAGCAGAATGGGATGCCTTTGTAGCTTCAAGGTTATCCAAAGAATTTGAGTCTGTGCATTCTCAACATTCACAGATTAGGGAGAAACTTGAGTACAATCATCGATTGTCTCGAAAAGGATATGCTGGTTTGGAGGATCAATTGGAGGAAACCATGCCTGGGGTAGAAATTGATCGATCTACCTTATGGAAGAAAGCTAGACAGGACAAACATGGTAACATCCCGGATCCAAAGGTGGCAGAGAAAGAAAAATTAATTGTAAGCCTACACACTCTGTTTTAAATTTTTATTAAACTGTGTATAATTCTTATTACGTCTTATGTTATATTTTTCCGTCGTGTGAATGATTTTACTACGTCGAAATGTTTTAAAAAACGTCGTGAAAGATCTAAATCTGGAATCACAACTCTGTTTTCTGTAATTATAGCATAAGACGTCGGTGGTTAATTTTTTCGTCGTGTTAATGATATTACTACGTCGAAATGTTTTCAAAAACGTCGTGAAAGATCTAAATCTGGAATCACAACTCTGTTTTCTGTAATTACAGCATAAGACGTCGGTGGTTTATTTATTGCGTCGTTTGAAACAACTAACCACGTCGTTTTTAATTAACGTCGTTATAAATATATTATAACGTCGATTTCTATATTGTTGCGTCGTGTGAAATTATATAATGCGTCGTTTGTTTATAAATAACCGTCGTGTGTTTTCTTGTGCTGACTTTTTTATATGTCTTTGTTTTAGGATGAATTGCAAAAACAAGTGGCTGAAGGCAATCTTAGTTTAACTGGCAGTAATGATGTGTTGACCTTGGCTTTGGGTCCCGAGCATCCAGGGAGAGTAAGAGGGGTAGGTGCTGGGATTTCCCCTAGGCAATTCTTCAATTTACCTAGACCACAGAGGATAAAGTTTGCCGATCAATTGAAGGAAAGTGTAAGAATTGTCCTTCAAGAAGAGACTAAGAAGATGGAAGCTAGAACCAAACAATTGGTAGAGGCTGAGAGGGAACATTTACTAAGTCAGCTTTCCCACCTCATCCCCAATTTTGATCCAAGCATGCTTAAACCGAAAACTAGCCCCTGTCAAAACCAAGGTCTAGAGCAAAGTCCCAAAAATCCAATGTCTGATAAAGCAAGCTGTTCTGGGGCTGAAGTGAGATCCCTACATTTAGAGGATGATACTGCCAAAAATGGGGAACAGCAGGAAGAAACGGTAACATATCTGAACTTTGAATTCTCTGTTTTTTTTAAAAACATTAGACGTCGTTATTATGAATAAACCCGTCGTTTTAAAACCATACCACGACGATTTTATAAATAAACCGTCGTTTTTATTTAAATACCACGTCGTATTTAGTTTACTTGTTTTACACGCCATTAGACGTCGTACTTTGTGGTTTTTAGACGACGGTTTTAGTCCTTACCGACGTAATAGACAATTACCACGACGTTTATTATTTACCATCGTTTAATAATTTTAAGACGTCCATAATTCTTACATACCGTCTTATGTTATGCCTTACCACGACGTTTTGATTTAATTTTTTTACTTTATGTACAATCTGTCTTATATATATATTTCTTTATTACTTAAAACAGAAATCTGGGGCTTTAGATAATCAAGATGAAGAGAAGAAAGAAGAAAAAAAAGAGAAAAAAGATGAAGGCAAAAAGGAAGACAAAAATGATGAAGAGAAGAAAGAAGAAAAACAAGATGAAGAAAAGCATGACGAAGAGGTATATTCTCATAACTTTGCCTTTTTTATTTGTTTTTCACATTTCAGACGTCGATATTTTTCTTTAAACCGTCATTTGTTTTCAAATTAGACGTCGGAATTTATTTTCTATGACGTAATAAATTATCTAAAACGACGGTTTTTTATTACCGTCGTTTAAATTATTATCAGACGATGTTTTTTAATTTAAACCGTCGTTTTTATTGAATTACCACGTCATTTTATTTTGCTTTATTTCTTTAAACAGGGTAATGAAGTAGTTGATTATTCAAATGTGGAGGTGCCATCTTCCTTACAATCCCTTTGTCGTTATGTGGAAACGACACTAAAGCCACAGGGGAAGATCATGACCTTCAACATTGAGAAGGAGGTGTTTGGTGCAGATCGCAGTACCTTCGTCTTGCATGAAGATATTACACAGTTTGCAGGCATGGAAGAAATTGGGGCTACTGTGGTTGCAGTATATATGAGGTTTGTCCTTATCAAATATCAAACATTATAGCATAAGACGTCGGTGGTTTAATTATTGCGTCGTTTTAAACCACTAACCACGTCGTTCTTTTTTTACCGTCGTGATAAATTAGTTATAACGTCTGTTTCTATTTCAGTTCGTCGTGTGAAATTGTATAATACGTCCTTTGTTTATAAATAACCGTCGTTTGTTTTATATATTTAGGTGCTTATATGATCGTTTGAGAGAAGCAAATATGTGCAGCATGGTTGGCTTTATCGACCCTGCTCAAGTTAGTGCCAACGCTGGGTCACTAACTGACAGATCACGAATTGTGGCCAGTCGACTTCAGAAAACAGATGGTGAACAGATTTTCATGATGCCTTACAATCCAGGGTCAGTCTCCTTAAAAGGATTTTGTTTGTATGATTTTCACTTTAACTAATTTTGTGTCGTTTGAAACATCTAACCACGTCGGTTATTTATTTATTGAGTCGTTTGAAACAACTAGCCACGTTGGTAGTTAATTACTGTCGTGATAAATTTATAATGGCGTCGATGATTAAGTTATTACGTCGTGTGAAACTATATAATACGTAAATAACCGTCGCTTGTTTTCTTGTGCTGACTTTTTATATTAACCGTCGTTTTTTATTTTATTTTTGTGCAGCCGTCATTGGGTCTTGCTGATTGTGAGAGCAAAGAGGGAAACCATCTATTTTCTGGATCCTCTGCCTGGAAATCGTGTGGTTGATGAGGAGGGCAAAAACATCGTGAACAGTGCTTTAAAAATTTATAATTCCCACATAGGCAGACCCAGCCGTAAAACACCAATTTGGAAAACTCTGCCAGGAACACCAAAGCAACCCAGCAGTGTCGAATGCGGGTATTATGTGATGCGCTTCATGAGGGACATCATCATGGATCCTTCCTTGGAGTTTGAGAAGAAGGTAAGAAGAAAATTTTCAAAAACATTTTATGTGGTTTTTTGTATTATCAACGACGGTCCTTTAAAATTAATGTCGTTGAATCTATATACTACGTCGGTTATGAAAAAAAAACATCGTCTGTGACTGAATTTCTTTTTATTTTGTAAAGCTTAATAATCATTGTTATGGATTGCAGTTTGCCAAGGGAAAAGAGCAAGCGCCATACCCCCAAGCAGCCATTGATGAAGTCCGGAAAGAATGGGCAGAGTTTGTTTGCCTTCATATGGAATAGAGGATTTTTGGAACACTTGATATTTTTATATGTACTAATTTTGTCTATAATATATAATGTACAAATTTTGTCTATAATATACATCTTTTTTTTCCCTAAAATTTGCTGAGGTTTTCATAATATAAAAGAAAAAACAAATTGCGTAACCGACATGTAATAACTTTCCAACGACATAATTATGTAAAAAACCGACGTAAAATGATATTTAGACGTGATATACCGTTTGTACGTACATGGGACGTCGTTTTAGTGAAACTTTCGCCATGGTTTCGCTTTTAAACGACGTCCTTTGAACAAGTAAGTCGTTTATTATATAATTTAGAGTTTAGGGTTTAGGTTAATACTTTTTAACGACGGTGATTCAGTCGTGGAATATGTATTTTACGTCCGATGGTGAAACATCCGCCATGGTTTCTCTTTTAAACGACGTCCTTTTTACATGTGAGTCGTTTATTATTATTTACAACGTCGTGGTTTGTTGTTGATATAAAATATTTTATTATTTTTAATTCAAAATTTTAAAAATAAATTTAAAATAAATTCAAAAAATTCAACTTCAACTCCTATGAAGTCATTGATATATTTTCTTTCCCCTAAACCCCAAAAAAATGCAGTTTGAGTAATAAAAGTTTAAAATGACCAACCAAAATAAAATTGTGTTGATGAGTCATAACATCACTTATATAGTTTGATGGTTTAGGGTTTAGGGTTTGGGGTTTAGGGTTGTTATTTATTAGGGTTTAGGGTTAAAGTATAATTTTTGGGGTTTAGGGTTTATGTTTGTTATATATTAGGCTGTAAAACCATAAACAATTTTATAAAATTAAATTTTACAAATATATAATTTATGGTTTTAAAGTTTAGGGTATTACTTTTAACGACGGTGATTGAGTCGTGGAATATTGAGTTTACGTCGGATAGTGAAAAATCCGACATGATTTCTCTTTTAAACGACGTTTTTTTTACACGTGAGTCGTTTATTAACATTTACAACGTCGTTAGTTACTTAACCCCGCCGTGGTTTGTTGTTGATATAATAATATTTTATTATTTTTAATTCAAAATTTTAAAAATAAATTTAAAATAAATCCAAAAAATTCAACTTCAACTCCTATGAAGTCATTGATATATTTTCTTTCCCCTAAACCCCAAAAAAATGCAGTTTGAGTAATAAAAGTTTAAAATGACCAACCAAAATAAAATTGTGTTGATGAATCATAACATCACTTATATAGTTTGATGGTTTAGGGTTTAGGGTTTGGGGTTTAGGGTTAAAGTATAATTTTTGGGGTTTAGGGTTTATGTTTGTTATATATTAGGCTGTAAAACCATAAACAATTTTATAAAATTAAATTTTACAAATATATAATTTATGGTTTTAAAGTTTAGGGTATTACTTTTAACGACGGTGATTGAGTTGTGGAATATTGAGTTTACGTCGGATAGTGAAAAATCCGACATGGTTTCTCTTTTAAACGACGTTTTTTTACACGTGAGTCGTTTATTAACATTTACAACGTCGTTAGTTACTTAACCCCGCCGTGGTTTGTTGTTGATATAAGAATATTTTATTATTTTTAATTCAAAATTTTAAAAATAAATTTAAAATAAATCAAAAAATTCAACTTCAACTCCTATGAAGTCATTGATATATTTTCTTTCCCCCTAAACCCCAAAAAAATGCAGTTTGAGTAATAAAAGTTTAAAATGACCAACCAAAATAAAATTGTTTTGATGAGTCATAGCATCACTTATATAGTTTGATGGTTTAGGGTTTAGGGTTTAGGGTTTGGGGTTTAGGGTTGTTATTTATTAGGGTTTAGGATTAAAGTATAATTTTTGGGGTTTAGGGTTTATGTTTGTTATATATTAGGCTGTAAAACCATAAACAATTTTATAAAATTAAATTTTACAAATATATAATTTATGGTTTTAAAGTTTAGGGTATTACTTTTAACGACGGTGATTGAGTCGTGGAATATTGAGTTTACGTCGTATGGTGAAAAATCCACAATGGTTTCTCTTTTAAACGACGTTTTGTTTACACGTGAGTCGTTTATTGTTATTTACAACGTCGTTAATTACTTAACTCCGACGTGGTTTTGCATAGTTTTAACGACTTCTGTTTGATTTTGCGTCGTACATAGTTTTACCACGACGTCCTTAATGTAATAAGCGTCATGTTTAATGTGAAATTTTAACGACGTTTGTTTTTTTCGGTCCATGTTTTAAAGAGCGCGCTTTCTTAAAATATTCGCGGGACCTAAAATTTTCAGATTTGGCTCTTAGTTTTATACTTCTAACCCTGAACCCTAAAATTTTCAGATTTCGCGCAACATAACATTTCGCTCTCTCACTTCATCTCTAATTCAAAGTTGGGCTCTCCAGGCTGTGTCAAATCCAATTTGGTCATAATCTGTGAGCTCTGCCAACCTGTAAGTACAAACCCTCTCTTCCCCTTGTAAATTCATTGAATGATATTACGTTGTTTTGTTAAAGGGTTTTAGGTATATGTTTTGCGATCTGTTAATAATGTTGTTGGAGGTATGGGTTCATGGATTTCTGTTTAATGTTTTCTTGATCACTCTCTGTTATGTTGAATAGGGAATGGATTTCATTTTGTCGGATCTTTTAATCACTCTCTGTTATGTTGAATTGGGAATGGATTTATTGTTTTCATGCTTAGTATATGTTGGTTTCATGTATATGTTGGTTTCATGCTTGGTTTCATGTCTATGTTGTGTTCTTAATAGGGTTTGGGATCTTGAAAATAAACTGGATATCGACGCGTTTTCAGGCATACGACGACGGTTTTTACTTTAAACCGTCGTTTTATTACTTATACACGACGGTGTTATTTAACTACCGTCGTGGTTATAATTAGACAACGTAAAATTTGTCGTCTATATATGTCAAATACGTCTGTTTTTGTTTAAAAACCGTCGTCTCTGTTGTATATTACTTGCTATTAGACTTTATATAATCTGCTATAGTGATGGTCATTGCTTGTCTTTTCACTTTATTATATATAATAGGGTATAGTGTCGGAGATGGATAAGTCATGGATGCACTCGGAAAGAAGATCGAAGGCATATGAGTTATGGGTGGAAGCATTTTTGAACTTTTCTGTAGAAAATCTTCTTACTACAACACATATCCGTTGTCCATGTGTTAAATGTGTTAATTTGAAATTGTTTGGGGTTGGAATTATAAGGGATCACTTATACTTTAATGGAGTTGACCAAAGCTATAAGAATTGGACATTTCAAGGAGAACCTTGGGAAGCAACTACTAATGCTAGTAGAAATGTTGAAGAAGATGATGACCATAGTAGGTACAGTTTTGTGTCTGAAGAAATAGAGATGGATGATAATGATTTTGGTGATTTGGATCTGATCCTTATGAGTTTTGCCAATGTGATTGGGGATGGAGATCAACCATTGTACCCTGGTTGTAGAAAGTACACGAAGTTATCGGCATTAGTGAAGTTGTATAATTTGAAGGCAAAACATGGGATGAGTGATGTCTGTTTTACAGAATTATTGATACTTCAAGGCGATTTGCTTCCAGAACGAAATACAATACCGGCCTCTATGTATGAGGCAAAAAAGACTTTGTGTGCATTGGGGCTGAGTTATGAGAAAATGCACGCATGCCCCAATGATTGCATCTTGTATAGGAAGGAGTATGAGGATTTAACTCATTGTCCTAATTGTGGTATCTCAAGGTGGAAGGAAGGCAAAGATTCAATCTTAAAAGAGGGTGTGCCAGCGAAGGTGGTGTGGTATTTTCCTCCAATTCCAAGGTTTAAAAGGATGTTTCGATCACATGAGACCGCTAAGAGTTTGACTTGGCATGCTGCTAGAAAATCAATTGACGGTTATATGTCTCATCCAGCGGATTCCCCGTCTTGGAAACTTCTTGATGATAAATGGCCCGAGTTTGGTAATGAGCCGAGAAACTTGAGATTGGCTCTTTCATCTGATGGATTCAATCCCCACAGTTCTCTAAGTAGCAGATATAGTTGCTGGCCAGTTATCTTAGTTACATATAATCTCCCTCCATGGCTGTGCATGAAACGAAAGTTCATGATGTTGACCTTATTGATTTCCGGTCCTAAACAGCCGGAAATGATATAGATGTCTACTTGGAGCCTTTGATTGATGATTTAACATCTTTGTGGGATGGGATTGGAGGAGTGTATGATGCACATAATGGAGAATACTTTACACTCAGAGCTGCATTAATGTGGACAATTAATGATTTCCCCGCCTATGGAAACTTATCTGGTTGTGTTGTTAAAGGATATAAAGCTTGTCAAATATGCGGCGATGATACACCTAGTCACAGGTTGAAAAATGGCCACAAAATTTGTTACATTGGGCATAGAAAATGGTTACCGATCAATCATCCATATAGGAGGCAACGTGCAGCTTTTAATGGGAAACCTGAATATGGCACGCCTCCTGAGCCATTAACCGAAGAAGAAGTGCTGCATATGGTTGAAGATGGTGACAGAGTTTGTTGGAAGAAGAAATCAATATTCCTTGATCTCGAGTATTGGAAATACCTTCCTGTGAGGCATGTCCTAGATGTTATGCACATTGAGAAGAATGTTTGCGATAGTATCATTGGTACATTCCTGGAGATCCCTGGAAAAAATAAAGATGGGATTACTGCTCGATTAGATTTATTGAACATGGGGGTCAAAACTGATTTGCAACCCGAGTATGGAGAAAGACGTACTCGTTTGCCTCCCGGGCCTTGGAATTTGTCAAGAGCAGAGAAGAGAGAGGTTTGCAATTCTTTCTATGGTATGAAGGTCCCTGAAGGTTATTCTTCAAATATAAAAAATCTTGTATCTTTACAAGGTTCAAGACTTCTTGGCCTTAAATCACATGATTGTCATACCTTAATGCAACAATTGCTCCCTGTGGCAATTCGTTCTGTTTTGGAGAAGCCTGCAAGGTATGCAATAACTCGTTTGTGCTTCTTCTTCAATGCTATATGTGCAAAGACTGTTGATGTTTCCAAACTAGATAAGTTGGAAGAAGATGTAGTAGTTACTTTGTGTTTGCTTGAGAAGTACTTTCCCCCTTCATTCTTTGATATCATGGTTCATCTAGTAGTACATCTTGTCAGAGAAGTTCGTCTATGTGGGCCAGTATATTTTAGATGGATGTATCCGTTTGAAAGATATATGAAAGTGCTAAAGGGGTATGTTCAGAATCGTACTCGTCCCGAAGGTTGCATTGCTGAGCGGTATATAGCTGAAGAAGCTGTAGAGTTTTGTACCGAGCATTTATCTGATGTTAGTACAGTTGGAGTGCCTTCAAGCCAAAAGATGGGAGTTTCAAAGCCATTATCAGGTTGCACAGTGACGTAGTTGATCGGGACCTGTTGAACCAAGCACATCTATATGTCTTGGAGAATACGGAGGAAGTCCTACCTTATATCGAGTACGTATGAGTTTTATTCTTTAAGTTTCCATTTTAAATTATTTCTTATGTTTATCTTATATGTTTGGGACCGTAATACTTGAATTTTGTGTGTCATGTAGGCAACATATGATCCACATCAAGACCGCTTATCCAAAATTTAGAAAGAGAACAAAGTGGCTGCAGGATAAGCACAATAGCACTTTCATTCAATGGCTACGCTTCAAGGTATATGTTATTGAATAACATATTGGACTTTTAATTTTCTTCTTTCTATGTTAGATTGAATTAAGTTATGATTAATTTGCAGGTTCAAAGTGAACTTAATGAGGAAGACAATCATGGCGTATCAGAAAATTTAAGGTGGCTAGCAGCTGGTCCAAACATGGCAGTGCCATTATATAGGAGCTATCTCATTAAAGGTATTAAATTCAACATCAAGGCACAAGATGATGTGCGGACAACTCAAAATAGTGGAGTTTATTTACTTGCACATACTATGCAAGTTGCTAGTGCCAAGGATAAAAACCCAATTCTCTCAAATATGGGTTTCTATGGTGTCATTCAAGAAATTTGGGACCTTGACTACCAAAAGTTTACAATCCCAGTCTTTAGGTGTGATTGGATTGATAATACTTCTGGTCTTGTAGTGGACGAACTTGGATTTACCCTTGTAGATTTGAGTAAAATTGGACATAGGAATGACCAATTTGTTTTGGCTTCTCAAGTCAAACAAGTATTTTTGTTGACGACCCGATGCATCGTGGTTGGTCGGTAGTGTTATCAATGCCTAATAGAGAATATAATGATGTTATTGGTGATGATGTCTTAGGTGATGTGAGAATTGGGTGTGAGCCATTTACTAGAGGGATGCCAAATGTTGACACATTTGATGAAGTGGTGGTTGAGTTAGGGAGTCAAAATATTCGAGATGGGTGTGAAGATATATGGGTTGAATGATGTTTTATGTAATTGGCAGTGTATGACATTAATTTTGTAATATATTGTAATGTGATTTCTTCACTTTCATTATACAGGTTTTGGCCACAAAACAATCAGTACAAAAATTACTGGTTCCAGATTACAAACACGACGGTTTTGATAAAAATGTGAAAAACAAACGTCTGTTCTAATAAATAACGACGTTTTGGAGCATTCAACGACCGCAATATATTTACCGACGTCTTAAAGCAACGTAACAATGAAGAACCACGACGCTATTGTGAAACAGTTATCCAGGATAACACGTCGGACAAGCATAAAGAACCGCCATGTAATTCAAAATAACACGACTCCAATCCCATAATACCGACGTCTAAAAGACGAGAAATTTAACCTGAACGTTACAAAAGACGACGTCGTCATGAATTTACCACGTCGCATGTTCTTTCATAAACGAAGTGAAAAAGGATGAATTCACGACGGTATTTGAAGTCCATTAAATTTGTCGACGTTAAGATTTATGAATTAGACGACGTTAATTTTTTTAATGAAGACGTATAAATTATTAAACACGACGGTCTTTTTCATGGTAACGACGTTGTATATAGACGACAACGTCGTCCTTATAAATTACTGTGTCGTAATTAATGACCCCATCATTTTTTCCACGTCGTTTATTTTCAAAATATGACGTATAAATTCTGTAATACGGCTCTCATTTATTTGGAACCGACGTTGTTTATTCATTTCAACGTCGTCTCTGTAAATACATGCGTCGTAAGTAATGAACCTGACATCTATTTTCACGTCATAATTCATAGAAAAATCGAAGTGGAAAATTTATTTTACGACGGTATTTGAAGTCCATTAAACTTGTCAACGTTAAGATATATGAATTAGACGACGTCAATTTTTTTAATGAAGACGTATAAATTATTAAAGACGACGGTCTTTTTCATGGTATCGACGTTGTATATAGACTACAACGTCGTCCTTATAAATTACTGTGTCGTAATTAATGACCCCATCATTTTTTCCACGTCGTTTATTTTCAAAATATGACGTATAAATTCTGTAATACGGCTCTCATTTATTTTGAACCGACGTTATTTATTCATTTCAACGTCGTCTCTGTAAATACATGCGTCGTAAGTAATGACCATGACATCTATTTCCACGTCATAATTCATAGAAAAATCGAAGTGGAAAATTTATTTTACGACGGTTGTTGGAAATGTTGTGACGTAGTAGGTGTCAATAACGTCGTCTATTATAATTGTAAAGACGTCATATTTATATTTGTCGTTAAATATTTATTTAACGGCGTTAAGTTTTAGTTATCGTCGTTGTATGTTTATCTTGCGGCCATTTTCTGTTAATATATGTCATATGTTTCCTTTTTAACGACGTTTTTTTTGTTGGAGTTGGTCGTCTATTCTCATCCTCGACTGTTTTTTTTATGTCTTTTTGCAGCACAAAGACGTCGGTTTTGATTTTTTGATGACGTTTTTTGGTTTAACAACGACGGTTATTCACCGTCGTGGTTTTGTTATGGAAAAGATGTCGGTGGATTCCACGACCATTTGAAAACAGAATACACGACGGTGAATTCCCGTCGTGTTTTCCCTTTTTTGTAGTAGTGCATGTTGTTAAAATAATTTTACATGGCGATCGACTGAGAAACATTGTCGTCTTAGATGCATTAGACGACGATTATATTTTAAAAGATGACGTATAAATTATGTAATACGGCTCTCATTTATTTGGACCCGACGTTGTTTATTGAGTACAACGTCGTTTGTAGAAATACATGCGTCGTAAGTAATGACCCTAACATCTATTTCCACGTCATCATTAATAGAAAAATCGAAGTGGAAAATTTATTTTACGACGGTTGTTGAAACTGTAGTGACGTAGTAGGAATCAATAACGTCGTCGATCATATATTTAAAGACGTCATAGTTTTATGTGTCGTGAAAGTTATATTTAACGGTTGTGAGTTTTAGTTCTCGTCATTGTATGTATATCTTGCGGCCATGTTCTGTTAAAATATGCCATATGTTTCCTTTTAAACGACGTTTTTTTTTGTTAGAATTGGTCGTCTATTCTCATCATTGACTGTTTTTTTAAACTCTTTTTCCAGTACACAGACGTCGGTTATTATTTGTTAATGACGTTGTTTGTTTTAACAACGACGGTGATTTAGCGTCGTGGTTTGATTTGGGAAAATATGTCGGTCGATTTCACGACCATTTGAAAACGGAATACACGACGGTGAATTCCCGTCGTCTTTTTCCTTTTTTGTAGTAGTGTTTAAAAGACCTTTTGAGATAAATAAGTCTTACGGTATTCAATTAAGACTTTTAAATAATCTAAGCAAGTCTTGTGGTATTCCATTAAAACTATTAGGATTTTTAAAAGAGAGTGTCGAAATCTAATGGTATTCAATCAAGACTTTAAACAAGTAACAAAAAGTCTTATAGTATTCAAAAATTGCTAATTTCGAAGGATTTGTTTATACGTGGAATTGTGTGGGACTTTTTAGTGGGAGGTATAAACACCAAACCCTATCTCAAATCCCACACTAACCCATCAGATTTTTCATGTGGGATTCTGTTTTTCTATGATGGAGAAGATGAATAGACATGCATAGGCAAGCAATTTGTCCCCTTCGAGCACGATACACTTGATCTTTTTCTTCGACTATCTGATTACACAAAATTGGGCTTGTTCTATCTCTGTTCTATTCCTCCCTCCAATCATCACGTCTGAACCTAACCACTAGGGAGAGCTCTAAAGAAACTGAATTTTGATGGGCTGCCATGCCCACTAGTTTAATTCCCTTTGTAATAGTTTCATTTTTGTTTAGCCTATGATGAGAAAGCTCCTGTTTACACCTTCCTAGCTTTGGCTTGAGTGTGCTTTCATCATCCCTCTTATTTTTTTCTTCACCTTTTTGGGCTTTCAATAAAGTATCTCTTGATTATTATAAAAAAAGAGTACTGTTAAACAAATCCTAAAATTAATTGAGTACACCTTATTACCAAACTATTATTGAATTACTAATTTATCCTAATATAATATGACCAAAAAAGATATATTGAATTGTGAAACAAATGTAATTTTAATAAGTACACCCTTCTCACAAAATCATATTAAATTTATCTCAAGGACAACAAAATAACGGCGTATAGAATTGACGACTTTTAGAACCATGTTCTCCAGACTCCATTAATGCCGGCGAGTTTGCAATACCTATCTATATATGATATCTAGCACAGCACATCATGCCCATTACCAGGAATTACACATCTAAATTTCTATTCTATTACATGCATGATTATGATCTTGAAGCCCTTCTAAATACTACAGCCTGTAGACTCCTTATCTATCAAACTTGTTATAAAACCAATTCTCAAATGGGTTTGGTGTTGTGTGATAGAGTGTATTGGGGGTGTACTAGGTGTATTTGTGGGAATTAAATAGGGTGTACTTAGTTAATTTTACATTTTGATTTAAATATTAGGGTGTAATTAGATCATATTGTGCACTCAGTTAATTTTAGGTTTCAGTTTAAAAAAAAAAAAAAAAAAAAAAAAAAAAAAAAAAAAAAAGGTATTCGATAACTATCCTTACTAATTAGTATTTGAGACAAACAGTATTTCTGTTTGGGTTTTAATACCTAGGAATGGAATTTTATTTCGGATTTGGTCAAAGAGAAGACCCAGATTCGTTGGCCCACCTTACATTAACCACTGAAAAGGCAATTATACCCTTTTTGTTTAAAAGCCTGGCCTAAATTCGTTGGTTTTCCTTTTTGTTGATCAAATCAAATATATATATATATATATATCTCTCTCTCTCTCTCCGCAGCAACGACGACTCCAAGGTGCTTAACTCGTGGCTTATCCCTTTGACCTTCACTGTCGACTCCAAAGTTTTCTGGCTCAAGATGAAGGGCAATTACGATTGCTATCTTGCTGAGTTCAAGATCGATTGACTCGCGGCTCATCCCTTCCGCCTTCACCGGCGACTCCAAGGTCTTCTATGCTGAGGTTCCTTGATTGGCCTGAATCTCCATTACAAACATTGCCATCCATGTACTCATTCATGTAGCTAAAGGCTTTAAAGTACGGGGCCGCTCCAATTGCAATAAACTCCAATGATGACGGGTTCAGGTAATGTTGCTTCTTCCACATGAGAACTATCGTTGGATATGCTTTTGCTTGTACTATTCTTTCAATTAAAGGATATTTATATGTCTCTGTTGGCGATATCTTCTAATAGGAACTTTGTGGAACATGACTATGAGACCACTAACTTCTCACATTTCATTAGCTCTACTCTTGGAAATATGTCTATGAGCCAAGCCCTGGATGAAATTTATGTAATTCTTTACAAGCTCATTAAATTTTCAGATTCCTTCTCCACTTATAGGACATTACTAACAAGGTGCTAATGTTCTTTAAATCTGTTCTCCTGTCTATGTGTAGAGAAACAACCCGTTGAAGTGGAAGAGAAAGATAATGGATGCCATGGAAATGGACTTCTCATGGGATGCTGAGTGCTATGACATATGGATCTAACAATAGAATATTTCTGCAAAAGTTCAGTTTCTAAACCGAAGAGGTATTTGCAAAAGTTTAATTTATGTATCTATTGATTTATTAAGACTATATGGATCTAACAATAGATCCGTTAGGCCAGCCTTGTCATTAATGTGGGGTGAAATGCTCTATTATAAGAGTTAAAAGAAGCCACCAAATGTTTTGTGTAATAAGCTAATTTTAGCACATAATAGGTTCAAAGAGGCTTGTTTTACATCTCTATAACCTCTAGTGTAGCTTAATAAATTAGTTTTCTTTTTGTTAATAAATTAGGCTTTTTGTGTTTGTTAGTAGTTATTTGGATATGACCTTGTGGTTGCAGTTCCAGTTTCATTACACCTTGAGTTCTATATATGGAAAAAGTATGGAGTATTGCTAGAGAGGTATTCTGCTTTTCAAAATCCTTTTTTTTTCATTAGTCTGTACTCTTATAGTATGTAGGTAACTATTGACTTGTTTCTTAGTTTATAGAGCTGCTTCCTATTGTTGCAACATTTCTTTTCATGAGGGAAGAATAGAAAATTGTCTAATATGAACTGTAATCATAGATACTTTTGTTGGCCCATCGAATTCATGTATGTTGTAACATCCCATCCAGAAATTTAATTTAATTTTCAAAATTCTAAAGTGAAATGACGACTTTAATCTTCGGGTTCTTTGGTATGTGAGAGTTTATGATCAAATATATGTATGCATGTATGTCAAGCAATGATCTAATTTAGCTGCAACTTCTTATTATAAAGCTCACTTACTATGCATTTGTCTTGATTTGGAAATGGTTCATACCATCACTGTCATATGATATTTTGCAATGGCATTTAAGCTTTAGTTCAGTGAAATTTTATACAGGTTTTGCATTGTAGTTTTTGCACAAACTACATTTCAGTTTTGGAACCTGCATTGCAGTTTTGGTAATTACAATTAGATTTGTGCTCTTTCCTTGGCCTTCAACCTCACCAATTTGAAGAGTAGAGGTTACTTAGATGAGGAATTAGGTGGGCAAGAGAAGAGTAGAACTACCCAAGAGGAAGGGAACTCAAAATTAGACTTTTGGAAATTGCATTGCCAGAAACAAAGTATTGTACCAACATGTATTTTACCAACATGTCTTGAATAAATAAATAAAAAATATAGTTTTGTTTTATTTAACTCTAGAGTTGAGCATTTTTGCCCAAACTCAGCATTGCAGTTTCCATTTTTGTATTGCAGTTTCCATTTATGCATTGCAGTTTCTGCTTCTACATTGCAATTTCCGTTTCTGCATCACAGTTTCCATTTTAGTACTTTCATATTGGTTCCTCCATTTTGCTTCAATAAAATTAATTTTTGTTTTTGTAGCTGTTTTTGTTTTTGTTTTTTGTTTTAAATTTTAACATAGTTGATATTTACATTGTTTTTTTTGTTGCACTTTCTGTTTTTATTTGCAGTTTTTGTGTGAATAAGTGTTGAAATGAAATATATATATTTTTTAAATGGTTGATTGTTTATATAAATATTGTATAACTGAATAAATATTACAAAATCAAGTTTGGTGTAGTGGTTTGTGAGTGAGTCTTCCTTCTTTGAGAGTTAAGGTTCAAGTCCCTTCAATGACACAAAATCTTTTTTCCTTTTTTAAAAGTGAATAAAAGGCAATGGAGTTGGTCCCCTACAGGCCGGCGAAGGGTGATGGCGGCCGGTGATGGTGGTGGTAGGTGGCTGGCGGCGGGAGTCCGGCGGTGGTGGCAGGTGGCCGGCGGTGGTGGTGGTGACAGTGGCAGTGGCCAGCGATGGCGGTTGGCTAGATATGGACATGTGGCATAGTATGCTTACTTTAGAAGGAGTGACATTGTGTGTAATTTTGATATTTCTTAATGATATTTTTGTAAAATTAGGTACTACATTTTAGTCTTTGACCTTATGTTAATTAGATGAAATTGTATTCCTATCTTCCAAATTAGTAAACTATATTGTGTTTTAAAACTAAAGTTCCTTAAAAAAAAACTATCTATTTTCAATTCATGATGATTTTGTCTTCTTGCTAGGTATTCTTTATGTTTTATTGTTATATTTAACACCTTTTGTGGTCAGTTTGACTGAATGTGTGTTAAGGCCCAAAAAAGTTCATGGTTGAGCCCATATAAGTTTTATGTCCAATATGATACTGTATTAAGAAAAGTCACATATCGGAGTACATGAAGGCTCGTCATATACAAGTCATAGTTCACGTGCCATGCTAAATAAATAATTTGTCATGCCAATGATTGAAATAATATTATAAAATACAAACTCATGCTAAACTAAGCACCGTGTCCCTCTTCAAGGATGATAAAATTGAAGCACGCCAAGTAAGGAATTCTTATTCCGCACCCCATCACGCCACAAGCTTAAGTGGGCCCCAAGCCACTTAAATACTCGGGGCTTGCTTGAGTGGGTTGTGGTATGGATGGTAACAAATCAACATGAGGCCCATTGATGGGCCGAGAAATGGAAAGTCTCGGGTTGCTTGGGAGCCTCGGGACTCAAGCCCATTTCTTAGGCCCAAACATGTGGGTGAGCACAAAAGAGGAAAAAATAGCCCAATTAAAATAGCCTATTGACTCAACCAAAAAGCCCAACGTTTAACAAAAATAGCCCACCTACTTAATGAACCACCTTGGGCCATACAATTGCTACAATGAGCCACAAAGGCCCCAACACTTAGCTGGAAAAACAAAAGCCACAAAGAAGAGGTCTGAAGGTTCATTGAACAAAGCTGCTGGGAGGTTCCAGCACATGGGGGGAGCAAGTTTCAAAGCAAAAAACATTCAAGGAACCAAGGGATATTAGCACGTAAGCTGCTAGGAGGAGAAGCACCCTTCAAACTAGCATGTACACCCATTTGCTTTCCTTCATCAGATCTGGCCAAGGAAGGAGGAAGAAAAGAAGAAGAAAAATAGCTAAGAATGGAGCCTCCCACTGAACAGCTATGGGAAAGGGGGCCTTGAGCCCCCAAAGTTCCTGATTTTGTGTGAATAGACAGAGGAAATTTCACAAAGATAGGAAAAGTCAAGGGAGGAGAGGAGAAAGGAAGGGAAAAGCTTGGCCAAATTGGGTAGAAACCATTAGGCTTTCTTGGGAAAGGATAGTTTCCAGCAGCTATAAAATGAGGCCTCTTCTACTCAACGAAACCAACCCACACTGAGAGAGCAAGCTTCCTCTCTTACCTGCAAAAATCTAGCAATCTCGTGCACTATTCATCCCTCTTCTCCATCTTCCTTTTCTGGCAGACAGAGTATCTATCAAGCTGCCGGAAGAGCATTGTTCTTTATTTCTCTCTTCCTAGCCAAATCTCCTACGAATCTCTCCTTTCTCACCTTTACACTTCCCTTTTCGCCCCTAAGAAAGCCTATATTTCCCATCAGTGCTAAACTCATGTTGATTTTGCTTCCATGTTACATGCCTCTCATGCCAAGCTCAAAAGTTTATCTGTAAGCATGTAGAAATTACTTGTAAGTTGCTATTGTTTTGGCTTGTGAAGGTAACAAAAATACTTCATAAGGCTCTGCTGTCCTTTCGAAACATTTTTGGGGCTTAATTTTCGAACTCAGACGAATGTGACAATTTCATCAGTCTGCCCTTTACGGCAACCCAACCCATTTACATCTACTGGAAGAAAAAGTCCCCTACAATGTGTTATTACATCCATTGTTTATTTCGAGCTAGTTCTTTATTCTATGTTTGGTTGTCGAGAAAACTGAGGGTAAAACCCAAAAATGACAAATAGCTTTAATTTTTTTTTAAGAAAAAAGACACGTGACAAATTTTTAATGGAAGTATCGTGGTGGAAATGTTGGATAGTTAATCCATTTTGTCCTTATAAATCATATGATTTGAATCCTTTAAAATCCTTAAGTAAAAAATTTGAATTATAAAAATATAAAAATAAAATCATATGATTTTTGGTCATAAAATCGATTTGAATATTTTGAAATTCATTTGGTCATTACATTCTGTTTAAATTCTCTAGACATTTTTTTTATACAAATTTATAAATAAACCCAATCCTAGACATGTATTTATAAAAAAACCCAAACACTATTTAAACATAAAAACACACCCAAAATCAACCCCAAAGTCAACAATTGTATATTTTTTAGGTGTGTTTATAAATGAGTTTTGAGTGTGTGTAATGATGAGTTTTGGGTGTGTTTATAAAGTGTTTTGGGTGTTGGGTTTTTTTATAATTTCAGCTCTCATTTTGGGTGTTTTAGTGAAACTCATTTTTTTTCATCCCTAAAATAGTTTTTAAAAATCCCAATTGAATACATCCCTTATTGTTTTACCAAATTACCCTCGTCATCCACATCGTCTCCTTGCACACGAGTTCTTTCGTCCCCAACTGCATACCTGCGACCGTGCCGCACCCAGCAAACTACTAGAATCTCGTCTAATTGAGGTTAGCGGCTTTAATTCAATTCGAAAGTCATTTCTTTCCTTTCATGTTTGTGTTTTGAAAGTTTTAGAGCTTTTAACATGTTTCGTTTAGCGTTGTAGATTCAATGCAATGTTTGCTTTGCATGAGATGTCAAGACAAATGAGGATTGTGTGTAAGAATGGAGCAGTGTCAGGATTTGGTGGGTTTTTTAGGGCAGCTGGTAATGATGTTGAGGGCCTTGAGGCTTCATATTCGTCAATTCGTCGTTTAAGCTCCAATTGGAATCAAAGTTCCACAAAGGAGCCAATCAGTAATGTTGGTGTCTTATGGTTGTACCCATTTGATTAAATTTGGTTTTTGATTGAATTCTTTCTGATAATCTGTTAATTTGTATGATCCATCAGCTGTTGAAAAACATTCCAGAATTTGTGAAGATAGTGGAAGTTGGTCCAAGGGATGGACTTCAGAATGAGAAGCACATTGTTCCTACTGCTGTGAAGGTTAAATTGATTGAAATGCTGGTTGCTTCAGGATTGGATGTTGTTGAGGCTACAAGTTTTGTCTCACCCAAATGGGTTCCGCAGGTACTCCTTTTTGTGTGTCTATTTTGTTTATAAAATGGCATTGGGTCGCTATTCAATTACTAATGTTCTTGTTGCATGCCTCTGAGGGTATATGTTGGAGAAAATGTTACCAAGCAGGTAAGGAACCCAAGGATAATGATGAGACATTCATTGAGCGAACTAAAATTATATTGAGGATTGCATTTTGACCAGTTTGGAAAAAGGCCTCACTAGTCATTTTGGTTGAATTTGTGTTGTCGAAAGAGCTAGAATGCATTTAGAATTATGTGGCAAAAGTTCTAACCTGGATAATTGAAGATGGTCACACTATAAAAACGTCAAGAGACTTAAGAACTAGGGACAGACTTGAAATATGCAGGGCGTATATGGATCATGGACTATTAAAAGGATGTGTTTTGGAGTTGTTAGGTTAAGTAAAAGAAGGAGTAATATAATATAAAGATGCCAATCTCTCTCCTACCTAACCAACACCCTCACACTCACCACAGCCCCCCTCCCTTCCCCTCCCCTCCCCTCTCACATACATTTAATATCAACTCTGTCCTAAGCCATAATAAAGGAGAAGGGTTATAGAAGGTTGACAGTACATATAAATATAAAATTATTAGTCTTCAATCCTTCCTCTTTGTGTTTATTGAAATAACGATTACACAGATAAGGCTGTTCAATGCTGATTGTGATATAAAATCATGGTTTCTTGTCACTGATAAGGCTGTTCACTGATGTACTTTCTGTTTTATTTTTTAATGTAAAATTGTGGTTTCTTTTAAAGAAAATGCTGATCGTGATAAAGTTTCTCCTTGTAACTAGATCTTCAATGGTTGTGAACTGGTTATTAAACATGATCTCAATATGATCTTTTTCTCTTTTACAAAATGTAGTTTTTATTAGAACAAATTTCTTATCTTACAAAACATCTGGTAGTGGCCTCGTTTGCAATCTTTGTTCTTGCTCCTAATATTCACAGGTCAAATAATTTTCAAAACTAGAATTGACAAAGATGCTATTGCACCTTCATTCTTGAAAAGAAGAAGTTTCAAATATAATCAATTTTCTTTTCATTTGGCTTAAATCATCTTGTTGGTTCCTTTGCTATATCATTTTGATTGTATATGATGCATTGGTTATGGTGCCGTCTATGTGTGATCCATCACCTTAGTGTCATGAAAAGTTTGTTAGCAACAATACCTTTATGTTTGATCTGGTGCATGTGGTTGGAAAGGAGCTGGACCATTTATGGATTTTAGCTTCCAATGTTTTAGTGTAAGACAATTTTCAGATACTTTGTTTTTGTGGCTGTTTCACGTCTGCCACTTCTCAGTAATTAATTCTTTGATTTCTAGCTCCCTCTATATATTTAGCTTTTCTTTCTTTTGTTTTCCTTTCTTTTTTACACCGTTTGTATACTTCTGTCTTGCCTTCGTGAAACCTAATCAAATTTTCATCTGTACGAAAAAAGTTTAGAGCATATTTAAAATTAGATTCTCAATGGCTATGTTTTCTCACGCCTATATTTTTTTTACTTCAATTGCAGCTGGCAGATGCAAAAGATGTAATGAAGGCGATTCGGAATGTTGAAGGTGTTAGATTTCCTGTCTTAACTCCTAACCTTAAAGTAAGCACTTTTTGGTGCGAAACAAAACATTATAAACTGATAATAAGAAGATGTGAGACTTATTCATGTTGTGTAGAGCTTTCTTATAGGGATTTGAGGCGGCTGTTGCTGCTGGTGCAAAGGAAGTTGCCATCTTTGCCGCAGCTTCTGAGTCTTTTTCAAAATCAAATATAAATTGCAGTATTGAAGATAGTCTCATTCGTTACCATGATGTTGCTACTGCTGCTACAAAGCTTTCAATTCCTGTTCGTGGGTATATCTTCTAACCTCCCTTTTCTTTTGTGTGTGTATGCATATGGGGGACGGGGGTGTGTTGTGCACTCTGACTAAAACTAATTACTTTCTTTCAGAATAGTATATTCCTTAAATCCTTTAATATAAACAGATTGAAATAAGCACAGAAGTTTCTTTTTAACAGACTATTTGAAGAAGAGATTTGTAGTATTAAGAACTGGGCTCTATTTTTTTTTGGCCCTCCTGGGACTACTTCTTGGCCTTATTACTAATGATTCTGTAAAGTGGTAGAAGGTCATCACGGATGATTTTTAACTCTAACCCCTTCAGTCATTGCTACCTTTTAAATTACAGCACTCAATTTTGTTTCTGGAATTATGACAACGATTTTAGACTGGGTACAAAAAAATTATGTTAATTTTCAGTTCCAGCCTGACCCAAAAATATTAAAATGCAAGTTTTCATGATATTCTACACTTAATAACCTCCTTTCTTTTGTCTGTATTGTCTATAATATTTTATTGGTGAATATTATGAATATTTCTGGGGACAACTTTTAAGTTTCAAATGCTTACATTTTTAATTATTTATGGTCACTGCTTTTAAATCATGCAGGAGTAACGTTATATAGTTTAGAAGCAATACGACAATGTAATACTCTCTAATCTTGTTAGGTACATATCATGTGTTGTGGGGTGTCCAGTGGAAGGAACAGTACTCCCATCACAAGTAGCATATGTGGCCAAAAAACTTTATGATATGGGTTGCTCTGAAATTTCTCTCGGTGATACGATTGGTGTTGGTACTCCAGGTAATTCTAGTGAAGCCTTTGATCTTGTTCATTTAGTTGGTTGTTGATATAATTGTTTTGCATCTAGAATATATCTTCCAAAACTTGTAGTTCCCATGTTCCTTGCTAAACTGATTTTCAGACAGTTATAGAATGCACTTGGTCCTTTCTATACTGTACCTTACAATCAATTGGTTGGATTTAAACATATAAGATGTTGCATCTATCGAACTCTAGAACTAAGTCTCCCAACTAGAAAAGCAAACAAAAGCATCTGATGCACTTATAAAATACCTTAGAATAGGCACAGCGTGGCAATTGATTGTGCCTTGAATTTAACGTCTATTCCAGCCCCATGTACCTTTAGCATCTCTTTATGACCTCCTAACTACTCTCTAAGTGCATTAACAAAATGAATAAAACAAATAAGTAAATTAAACTGTATAAGCTTTCATGCTATGTGGGTTTTCTGGCCAACTATCAGAGCTACTGTAAACTTTGTCATGGTTTTCTATGTATTTGCTTGTCAATTTTTTTTTCCTCCAGGTACTGTCATTCCAATGCTTGAAGCTGTTACTGATGTGGTCCCCACTGACAAGCTTGCTGTCCATTATCATGACACTTATGGGCAAGCTCTTTCAAACATTCTTGCATCACTCCAGGTAATCACACTTTGCATCTTGAATTTAGCTTGAAAATTAAACCATACGTATGCAGGTGTGACAATTATTGATATGACTCAAATAGACAAAACTAAAGGGTTAGTGTTCTTCAATTGTGTTCGTGCTGAAATTTGACCAAATTAAAACTATCAATAAATAGTTTGTGTTTGTAAGGTTTTGGGAATTTATGAGTGGTTGTGTTAATCTGAAATGAGATTATATACTAGTTATAGGAATAGCTATAAGAAAACTTCCAAAGGCAATTACTATAACGAAGTGCACTAATCAAGAGACAAGGAGGCTACCTAATATGCTAGTACTCCCCTCCCAACTCGGTAGTCAAGAGAGGATGAGTTGGGAGTGCAAAAGCACATAGTAGTGCTTGTGAATCCCTTTAGTCGAGAAATTGATAGTCTGATATACACGCTGGACAGATTGACTGACATAGAGTACATGCTCACATTAATAAAGTGATAATCATGCTCAATGAAGTTAGTGCAAGCATGTAATATAGGATTGGAAGTCAATCTGTAGTTCCTTTGCAATACTGCAGAATGCGCTTAATGGGGCCAAGATGTGGAGTTCAAGGTGCCCATAAGTTGAGCAACATCTTGAATAGTAAAGGCAATGAGTCAACTAGGTGGTGACTGTACTCATTAGCATCTAAAAGTGGATCACGCTCTAGTGATGAAAGCTGTTATCACTCAAAGGTATTCTGGATGTTTCTGTTCACTCAATCAGAGAATTGCGACACAAGAAGTCAACAATATACTTAGATTGGAGATGTAAAAGACAGAACTTAGGCAATGCACCTCTAGTCCCAGAAGATAATGAAGAGGGCCAAGATCATTTTATCAAAAACTGGAGGTAAATGAGGAGAGTGAACAGGGTGTCTCCATGTACATAGTGATCCTAATGTCATCAACAAACAAGAAAAGGACCGTTTATTATGGATGTCAAAACACAAACATGGAGTGATCTGCTCGACTCTGTGAAAACACAGTAGATGATCAAGGAGCTAAACCATGGAAACCAGGCACAAGGAGCCAGAGTCATGAACATAGTCTAATGAAGCTATGCGAGGAAGCATTCATATAACTAGTGGAGGATCATCCCAAATTGACTACCAAACTAATGACAGTATGGGTTGTGGTTGGCTTAGGATATAGAAATTTAAGCAGCCAAGGCGTGATAAGGGATGATATACCTTGCCAGTTGTGTGAAACTACAATCGTTTTATCCCCTCGTGAAGATGAGTAACTAACTATGGATGTTTTTTAACACAGGAAGACGAGTGTGGGACGGAGATCAATAAGGGGAGACAAACTGGGGAGGAGATTCATAACATGGACTTCAATTGAAACTGCTTCAACCAAGATTGAGGAAGACAAAACTGAACTGAGAAACGTAGAAGCTATCTGAGTAATATGGCGAAGCTTTAGTTCAGCTGTACCATTCTTATTCTAGTGTGTGACAACAAGACTGGTGGCAGTGAACCCCAACGACATTGCAAAATAATGTCACTCTAATCCCAATTACTTTGAAAAGATTTAAAAAAACAACCAAAGCAACCTTTAGGGAATGCAAGAAAGGTATTAAAATGTTTAGGAGCCTTGGATTCTCTAATCTTAGGATACCCAAGTGAGTAAAATCATCAGTACATAGGAGATGTGTGGACCTTCTCAGTGCACATCCATGACAAAAAGATTTTGAAGTAAAGCCTAGAAGACAACATTTTATTGGACCCTAAATACAACATGACTTTATGAGGTTAGGTATTGGACCCAGCGTACCATGTCAAACTAATTTCAAATTAATAGGTATTGTTTAAACGGGTACCTAAAATGATGTTTGCATTAAATTGGTCAAGTGAATTATAATGAATAAAAGTGCTGAGTTGGGTATTTAATCATCAAACCTCATTATGACTTGACTCACCTGCATGCTACATGTGTTGTGCCTTGTTGTTTGTTCAATAATCATGTTGTGTTGAGATTAGCGAAAATTAAATACATTAGTAATCAGTGTTGTCTTCTTGTTGCCCAATTAGTCGAAATGTCGAATACTTGTGAAACAGACAAACACCATACGCCAGCCAACCTGACTCATCACCCTTACATGTGAGTGCTGTGAGTCTCTCTGGCATTTGGTAGAGCTCGATTTTACTTGTGACGCTCTCCTGACATTGATTGTGGAACTGTGGTGGGAGTTAGCTACAAAGTGATATTTAAAATTGTGTGCATGAACTAGTCGGCTTCTCGAGAAAGAACATATGTTAGAATTGTCCTATATGGAATACAAAAAGGAGAAAAGACAAAATTTAAAAAGATCTGAACTCTGAATATCATCTGGAAAAATATGATGTTCTGCTATACGAGGGGAAGAACCTTCATTTGCAAACTGAACATCTTACATTGTAAATGAGGTATAGCTGAAGCTTAAATTGTTTAGAGTTTGAGTTTGAGCAATGAGAAATCCCCAAACTTATTCCCTTTTGTGTTGATGCGTGATTCTAACGACCATAATTTCAGATTTCCAACTCTCATAATATTTTAAGGCAATAGAATTGCAATGACAATTTTTCATCTTTGCAGATGGGGATCAGCACAGTGGATTCATCAGTCTCAGGTCTTGGGGGTTGTCCATATGCCAAAGGTGCTTCTGGAAATGTTGCCACGGAGGATGTCGTGTACATGCTAAATGGACTTGGAGTGAAGACAAACGTAGATCTTAAAAAGCTCATGTTGGCTGGGGACTTTATCTGCAAGCACTTGGGGCGCTCATCTGGTTCGAAGACAGCAGTTGCCATGAGTAAAGTTACAGCTCATGCTTCTAAGCTATGAGGTACTCACACCTCCATTCTGTAACATTATATAGGACCAGAGCTCCAATTCATAGGATATAACAAGCTGATTGAGCATAAGTGTTGTGGGGCAATAGAGTGTATATCTGAAATCAAGAACCAAGAGGGGCAGTTACTTTGAGACATTTTGGTGATGTGAAATGTAAAAATCAAAGTACATTGGTGAAATAATATGGTGAATAAATTTGGAAAATCGAAGGGGACTAGATGAAGACCAAAGACTGACATGGGTAAAAGTGATTGAGAAGGATGTTGTATGCTGGTGATTTATGGAATATAATTTTTTGAAAAGGATTGACAAGAAAGTCCTAGTCATTCCATTCGAGATTCTTCTTGTTCTAACTCCACTGCTTTTTGTTCATCTTAATGGTCAATTTTGATCGGTCAGGGGTGGGCTGGTAGCTTTAGTTTCTAGTGTTAGCTCTGATGTACATATATAAGGGCAGAAGCCTCAAACAGTGAAACATTCAAAAACCTTGAAAATGCCCATGCTTAACAAAAATATTAGAACACTACCCTCTCTTAGCCTCCTACCCCTAGATCGACATATATGGACTTTGATTTGGTGGCTTCTTTTTCCAACAAATCATATATTTTCATATTAAATAAATACTACAATAAATCCTCAAGTTTTAGTCCCATATTAAATCCTCAATAAATAAATACTACAATAAATTCTCAATTTTTAATATCATATCTGAACATATTATAATTTTTTCCTTCTATAAATTTAATATGCTAACATGAGTTTCTTTTTTTAATAAAAGAAATTCAAGTTAAATGGCCCAAGCACAAACTCGACCCAAGCACGACACGAGCACAACTCAGATTAATGTGGACTTGGCTTTTGGGTCGGGCCAAAATTAACAATTTGGATAAATGGTCTAGTACGGTACAACTTGATTAATTAAACCAACCGGTTCAATCTGACCCGAATAACATAGTGGCATAAATTTAAATAGACAGGGCCACCTTTAACGTAGAGGGATAATTTCATCCACTGGAGCAAATTTTATATATAATTAAAGAAATGCTTTTTATCACAAATGGTCCTTCACGTTTATGAAATTATCATGAATGGTCCTTGAGGTTTTTTTGTGACACTAATAGTCCTTAACGTTTTGACTTTTTATCAAAAATGGTCCCTGCCGTTATAAATTCCGTTAAGTGTGACGTGGAAGATAAGTGGAGCCCATATGTCCAATCACATTGTGACATGTGGATAAGAAATAATTAAATAATTTTTTTAATGAAAATTCCAATTGTTTTTTTTTCTGGAACTTTTCATCCCCTTCCTTACTCCGTCTCTCTCCCCTCTGCCCTCGCTCTCCACCCTTTGCTCTCCATCTCTTCTCCCTGTCCTCTTCTTCTCCCTCTATTTTTTTCTTTCCCACTGCCACCTCAAGGTCCCTCAATGTAAACCAGTGGCCCCAACCCAAGTGAGAGAATTCAGGCAGGCCAACTAGAGGAGACGGGGCAGTTATTGGATACGATGAAGAAGCCTTATACATTAACAGTGCTGGAACTCCCCTCTTATCCAGATTGGTATAGGCCACCATCGTTTTCTAATTGATTAAATGAACCTGACTGACTGCTATTCTCTCCATTTTTCGATTTTCCAGTACCCAAATGGAGCATGATCTTGTCTGCTTCTTTGTCACTGGATTTGTGGTGAATGGTGAGAAGAATTCCATCACGAGGAGCAAATTCACTTGCAGATACTTGCTAACTTCCTTAATTTCTTTTGAGATGGTTGGGATTTGACCAAAGGGAATCTTGTCCCTCGCTTTCCTTAATTTCTTACGTGAAGTAAGGCACATTGATAACACAGAGAGGATAAATAATGCAACAGTTATTCCAATTACTTCCCAGACCTTTAGATTAAAGAAAGCTTCCTTAGATAACTCTGCTTTCAGATCAGAGGCCAGACCTTCAATTTACCAATTCCCCACAAAAATGAAAACTTGAAATAAATAAAAAATTATTTAATTATTTTTTTATTCACATGTCACAATGTGATTGGACATGTGGGTTCCACTTATCTTCTATGTCACACTTAACAGAATTTATAACGGCAGGGACCATTTGTGATAAAAATCCCAAATGTTAAGGACTATTAGTGTTACAAAAAATCCTCAAGGACCATTCGTAATAATTTCATAAACGTGAAGAACCATTTGTGATAAAAAGCCTTAAAGAAAAGTAGCTTTGAGATTCAATACTTTTGGATGACACATAAACTTACATTCCATTTTTTTTACGGCCAACATTGTTTTGTAACAATTAAGGACAATTCACATTCTACGTGTCCATGTGAAAAGTTAAAGCACAACTTACAAGTTATTGTTAGCACATTTTTTTATAAAATAAAAAAGTTTGCTTTCAAATTTTTTTTTTTCCTTTTTTTAAGTTTAATATGTGGTGGAAAAGATGTTCCACTCAAGGCCTAGCAACGGCTTCTCCAACCAAATTGTTCGTAAAGTTTAATATTGGATTACGAAATTTCCAAATTAATTAGTCTCATTTTTTATGCTTTTTCGGTGTTGGAGCGGGAGGAGCAAAGCTTAATTTGTGCTTTACGAGGTTTGACTCTATTCTTCGTCTCTAATATGTGATTTTCAATATTTCAGCTTGGATTTCTTGTTCTAAAATCATGCTTCAATTGGTTATTTTTATTTATTATTATTATAAAGTTTCTAGATTGTAGATTTTTTAAATTTATATAATTTGAGCCCCATTTATAGTTATAGGCTTATATGTGAAACTTCCCATATTTTAACTGTATGGATAAAAAATGAAATTGAGCCAAAGCATAAACACTTAGTTAAATTTAAATTAACTTAAAAAAGTTTTAACCAATAATTCTTGAACTGCGTATCCTACAAAAATCCAACAAAACCACTTCGTTTTAAAAAGAAATATGAATTTTAAACCTTAATTCCAAATTAATGGCGAATGGGATTAGGATTACTCTATCACATTTCATCTTACATATATATATTTTTTCTTTTGGTCCGTGAGTATGAAATTGACTAAATCTTAATTCTTTTATTATTCAAGATGGGAATTCGAACTTTGCGAAAAAGGACGGGTTCACTGATTTGACTAATTGATCTAACTTGTGTTTGTGAGATAATTTAAACTATGAATTTCATTAAATTTTGAAAAGAAAAATACGACCAAGAGCATCTCCAACTGATATGTCAAATTACCACATGGACATGAAATAACAAAAATTGAAGGTTAAAGTTGCTCAAACCGAGTAGTCAAATCCTACATGAATTTGAAGGCTGAAAGAGATATGTCAAAAATAACATATCAAAAAGCTTGATGTCAAATATTATTTTAATAATTTTTTAGTCATGGACCCCACTTTTACTCTATTTAAAAAATTTATGCATTATATGCCATTTGGTTTTAAAAATATAATAAAATAAAATAATATTTGGCATTTTGAGTGGAGTTAAATTTTTACAAATTTATAAATAAACCCAATCCTAAACATGTATTTATAAAAAAACCCAAGCACTATTTAAACATATAAACACACCCAAAATCAACAATTGTATATTTTTTGGGTGTGTTTATAAATGGGTTTTGAGTGTGTGTAATGATGGGTTTTGGGTGTGTTTATAAAGTGTTTTGGGTGTTGGGTTTTTTTATAATTTCAGCCCCCATTTTGGGTGTTTTAGTTAAACTCCCTTAAATTTTTTCCAAAGTATCAAATTGCCACATAAGCCATCAAATTCAAATTTAACATTTTGCATTTGAGTCTAAGTATTGTCATAAGTCGGCACATGGTTGGCAAGGGAGAATAAAATCAAACCTACATGGGGCCTGCCCCATAATCATTCTAGACAAAGAAATTAATATGACGGATGGCCTTGGACAAACTCGACCCGAGTCTACCTCCGTTATCATTAGAATTTCTGATAAGAATTAATTGTCAAATCACTCCAAATCTATGGCTGAAAATAATCTCATCACACTAATATTTTTCAGCACAAGAAATAAAGAAAAAATCAAAAATAAAAATCGCAACCCCCTTTCATGGACTTTCCAGATGTGTACATTTTCATTTTCCTTTTTATTTTTAAAAAGTGTGCTCTTCAATCTTTACCCCAAAAAAAAACCCCTTCAATTGATCGGGTTTTTCTCGGTTTTTTCTGTGCGGTTTGACTCAGATTTCTGGTTTGCCGGTTTGAATGCTCACCACTAATTGATGTGGCAATTTGATAATAAAAAGTTATGAAAGAAAAAAACCCAAGAAAAACAAACTTGATAAAAGCATGGAAATGACCGTCTAGCTGGTTCATGACACTCCTACCCTATGTACCATGCACTTATATTGATATTAAAAGAAAATTAAAAAAGAAAAGAAAAAAAGTCCATAAATTATTGGTAAATTAAATCTTTTTAAGATCAAAATTGATATGTTCCTAATCCACAAGTAGACTTGGATAACCAAATGATTTCAAAGGATTATATGCAAAAGTCCATTGGGAAAAAAAGATCCTATCTTTAACAACAAGAACAACAACTACATAGAATAACACTACCAACCAAGAGGTAAAGCAGAGTCAGCAGACCAAATATTCATAACACCAACAACCCCATTAATGGCATTAATGTTCATACATAATTTTACCTAAAAAAAAAATTTATTCCTATATAATTTTAAACAAATAATTAAGTATAATTCCTCACCAAAAATCTCAAAGGTAAACCTTCATATACATCTGTAAGATCACTTGAAGAACATTTGCTTTGGACAGTTTTAGCACATTCTAGCTCATGCATAAAAAAAAATGCCACAAAAAAAATTATCCAAGATGAAGGAAAATATAAAAAGTAGAGAGAGAGATATATAGAAAGAAAAATTTCAAGGATTGAAGGATGGAGAGAGAGAAAGCTGGGTTTCTCTGTAAGCTACAAATGAACTTATCTATTGTGCAGAGGATTTGGGCCAGTGTAGACGGTCCTCTTATCAGCACCAAAAATTTCATCATTTCCATCTTTTTCTGCATTTCTTTTAAACCCACCAACTTGAGGCTTAGCTGGTTTGATTTCAGAAGCAGTTGTTGGAGCAGCTTTGACTCTGGTTGACTTTTCATTTCCAGCTGCTAAGCTTGGAGTCTCCAGCTGAAGTAGAATCAGAACAAGCAAAGACAAGCAGGCCAGCTCTGTTTTCAGGCTCATCTGCTTTCTTCTCTTAACCAAATATTTCATGGCAAGGGCATGGAAATACTTGATGGCTCTCTTTGTCTGTCTTAGACAGATGAAGGTTGATGGTTTCTGAGGCAGAGATGTATGGATTGAGATGACTGAGGATTTTTTGGGAACTATTTGGTTTTGTTTTGCTTGGAGGTGTTGGGATTTGAAGAAAAATGGGAAAAAGGGGGTGAGAGTCAAAAGCATAGGATTTAGAACCCAAAATAAAAAGAAAATGCATAGGATTTGCTGCCTGGCTTCTATAAATATTATGGTGCAAGAGGGTCTCATTGGAAACTTCTTCGCCACTGATTTTTAGAGCCCAAATTTTTACTCAACAACACACAGAGAGAGAGAGAGAGAGAGAGAGAGATGGGCTTCAAATTTCAATTTCCTAAACTGAAAGCTGCAAAGGGGTTCTGCTCAAGCTTTTTATTGATCTTGGATAATGTGAGGTTAATCATTTTCTTGGGTTTTCCTTTCTTTGGATAAATAAAGGTTTTGTGATATGAAATTTTAACTTGTACCCAACTAGAAATAAAATACTATTTTGTGGGGGTTCCCTACGAGCAATGAGACAAATTGGTAATAAAGGGTAATAATTCGTATAGTTGAGATTAAAAATGTGTCATTTGCTTTATCTAAATGCTAACCAACTATCTCATTTTCAACTTCAATACAAGAGAGTTAGGTTCACTGTCTTGGTCAACTGGCTTAATCTATATTCGCAACTATATCATTTTAGTTTAGATACTACATGAAAATCTAACACTGCAATTTACATGAGGGATTTTCATAAATAGACTTGCTCTAACATAATAAATTTATATAAAAGCCCTTAAAGAGCTTATTTCGAGAAAAAAAAAAATCCTCAATTAGTCACTTGTCACTTTCTAATTAGTTCTTAATGTGTTATAATTTTTTCACTTGAAAGTTCAACATCGAGTTTTTCTAAATATTGGACTTGAAAGGTTTTATTTATTTGTTTATAAAATTTCATGTTAGAATGGGCCTTTTTGTGAAAAGCTATTTTGGTAACATTTCTTATGTTAGCAACCTCCTCCAAACCAACTCAAGTGACATCTTCTGGCCGGACACCAGACAATGAACTCATCTGAATGGGCAACTTCGGCAATGTCACCCCACTGGCTACTCATCAACAACCTCTTAAGACATCTCCTATTTGGAAAGGAAAACAGAACTATTATGTGACATTGGTGGAGATCGAACTTCTCGCCTAAAAAAAAGCAAACACAACCCCTACCAGTACTAAGTTAATACATCGTCAATCACTTAGTTTGACCCACTCCATAATGTAATCCCATGATCCGAATTGTTGATTTTTAGGTCCTCATTCAAGGATTGTTCCCACAAAAATTCTCCAAAATTTGAAGTTGTGTGTAGTGGTTTTGATATTATGGGTGAATATGTTCTTTATTTATCGAAATTTTGTTGATCTGTTTATTTGATAAGAATTTGATTACTAAGTGATTTTTTGATTTCAGTGAAATTTTGCATGGATGAACTTCGAATAAGGACCTAAAATTGAACGATTTGGATTATATAATTATATTATGAAGTAGAACCAAACAAGTGATTCATGGCATATTAACTTACTAACTAGTTAGCGCTTGAGCGTATTAGAATAATATTTTCACAACAAATAATTTCATAACGATTCATTTTAATTTGGTTCGTACACGATTTGGAACAAAACACTTGTGGTGTTGAATTCTACAAGAATAGACCAGTTTCAAGTCATAAAATTTTGTAAGGTTTAAATCCCTTGTAAATTCTAAATTATCTTTGAAAATTACTAAACAAAAACATTCTTTGGAACTTTGTGTTGTTGTTGGCTCATTGTTTAAAGTAGACTTATTCTAGAGTATATAGTTGGTGCATTTTTACTTCAAAAACTTACTAACAAATGCAAACACACTAAAAACCATCACTCTTTTTGATAATGAAACACAATGATATCAAACCATGTAGGGATAACATACAAACCCTACATGGACATGTAGCAGTAAAATTTGAGGAAGTCGGGTCAAAAATGCACTTGTAGAAATCAGTCTCCTCAACATGGTCATCCCATACAATGGTCCAAATTGATTATTATTAGCTCATCAATAAGTTGTTGATGAAGGATGATGATGAAGAATAGTGTTCATAATTATGTATTCTTATTGTTGCTAGCTAATAATGTCGAGAAGTGACACTCATCTTTTCTTTTAAATCCGTTTTTGGATCTATTGTATTAAAACAGAATGTTTGTATTGCTTCTTGAAATAATTTAAATATTATGTGTATAATTTGGAATATAAGCAATAATGAATCGAAAGGAATATGAATCGAAGTGAGCATGAATCATTTCAAGACATACACGTTCAAGTGCTTACCAACTGTATTCTAGAATTCAAATGAAAATGAAGTTTATTCTCATTAAATTGTTTACTAAATTATCAATTAATAATCGGCGTGAAAACGGATTTGTTAGTTAATAAAACAATTTACGAGAATTTCTTGAAAGTTTGGGTCACAGGAGCTGGGGTGGGACATAACTAGGGCAGACCCGAGTATGAGATTTAATGTTTGTAGTTGTCACTTTCTTAGAGGAAATGATGATGTTTTTGGACACTTTATATTTTTAGAGGAAAAAGATCAAAGTATGAAAGTCATGGATACTCGATTATTTTACCACCCACAGAAAGGTGGCCCAGAACTTTCATACCATACCCTGAAGTATATATAACTTTCTCGCTTTCAAAAGAACAAAGTTCACTTTTCTTTTAATCCCTAAAAACAATAACGCTCACCAAATACTTTTTTCTGTTTCACCACCGAAAATATTACAAGATGGGAGAGAGAAAGGTAGATCTTTGTATCACGTTTACTATTCATAAAGTGAGACAGATTGGAGGCCTGAAAGAAAGTCAGACTCCTTCTGAAGGAAGTCGCAAGTTTATTAACGAAAAAAGAAAAAGAAAAAAGGCGTTGTCTAAAATAATATTTTAGATATATAATTTGATTATTATCTCATATTATTCACATGTATTTGTTCAAACATAATGATTACTATTATTCACGGCATGCAAATAAAATATCCTACGAAAATTGTAGGTTGAAGGGAGAAGGCTTCCATATGCCTTTTACCGTGGGCACGATAATTGGTATACTATAGGTGCGTTCTTCCCGGTCCTCTCGTACTAGGGAAAGATCCTCTCAATGCTCTAACGCGCCCACAAAATTTTACTCTCCCTGATTTAAATTTTTAAATAGAAGACCTTCATTGTAGCACATGCCATGGCTGGAATGACTTTGGCTGGGAAGTTGGAAGAGGATGAGGAAAAGAGGAGGGAGAAAGAGAGGTATGCAGAAACGTTGTGTGAAGTTGCTAGACGACCTAAAAGACAGTTAACATGGAAAACAATTTAAAGTCTTACCCGAATCAAACAGCGCACCAACTTGCATGTAAGCAAAATAGAGCATAACATTAATTCAGATTTAACTGCATTTTTTTTTGGTTGCCAAAGTTAGAAAAGAAAGAGGGGAAATTTTTTCACACACACTGACAAGGTGTCATAGGGATTCGAACATAAGACTACGGATTTACAAGTCAAGTCGTTTTTCACTGGGCTAGACCTAGACCCGATTGACGATTGAACTGCTTTTCATTATTGTATTGTTATGTCTAATTATATATTTTATAATGACATATATATATATATATATATGTAGAACTTCTATTGAGGGACACCTTTGTAGGGCCCACTCTACATTGTCTTTCATTAATCCAAACCGTCTATGTTTTAGATAATCATTCAAAGATCATCTCTACAAAAAAATCACTTAAATTCGATATCGTTGGCCACTCAATTGTGTTAATGAAATTTTAGTACTTTCTTGAAGCACCGTATTCATTGATTTTGTAGGACACAATTGGATGTCGAAACGGTTTCTGATTTGTTTAATTTTTTGCAAGGATGATCTATGAATGTAGACTTCAAAAATAGATGGTTTGGATCATTGGGAAAAAAAATCGTACAATATCTTAAAGGGTGTCCCTCAAATTAAATTATTTAAAAAATCCCTTAATAGAAGGGGACTATATATATATATATATATATATATATATATATAGTCCCTTTCTATTGAGGGACGCCCTTTAGAGGACCCTACAATTTTTTTTTCCAATTATCCAAACCATCTATTTTTTAGGTCTCATTTATAGATCATCCTTACTAATAATTAGACAAATCGGAAATCGTTTCGACATCCAATTGTGTCATACGAAATCAATGAACACAGTGTTTCAAAAAAGTACTAAAATTTCAATAATTCAATTGAATGGTCAAATGATATCGGATTCAAGTGATTTTTTGTAGAGAATTTTTGAATGTGTATCTACAAAATAGACGGTTTGGATTAGTGAAATACAATCCGGAGTGAACCCTACAAGGGGTGTCCCTCAAATAAGCTTATTTGAGGGATACCTCAATGGAAGCTCTCTGTATATATATATATATTAAAAATAATTCTTATTTGGACAGTATAATTATATCATGGTGGTTTCAGGTCTGGATTGTTTAAAGCAATGGAGGATCAAATCCTTTGATGGGCAATGTTGGTATGAGCTATATCACAGGAGGCAAGTGACATGATTAAGACAAAGAATTCTTTGCTCTGCAAGCAATTAGGGTTTCTGCTTTTATCATTTTGCCTTTTTCTCCCTTTGCTTTTTACAGTCAAAGGGCTCGGTCGTATCATCATTGGGACATAACTGCTACATGAAATTTCTAATCATGGCCATCCTTGTTAATGACTAATCATGTTTATAGAGCCCATCTGACTTCCTTTCTAAAAGATAAAAGATAAAAAAAATAAAGTGCTGGCATAATTCTCATAATTTTTTTCTTCTCTAAGTTTGCAGGATTTATCGTACATATGTATGTCATAATGGCGTTGAGAAGTTACAGTCTTAAAAACTTGGCTTGTGTCGTGAGAGGACCAAGATTTGGTGTGAACCTGAATGTTGTCTATAATGTTATGATGTCAAAAGTTAATTTACAACTGGTTCTACAAGCATGCACATATCATTCCGCTTTACCCAGCAGCTCAGCTGACACGTACATTCATCTTTATGTTTGAGGAGAGCAAAGTGTGTTGATGCCCAAAATATGTTCAATTTAGGGATGAATAAATTAATATACGACCAAGATCACACTGTAGACATGGAAATTTCGTTGGTCAAAATTAGGAATTTGACTAATTCAAGTGGATTGGAAAAGTCATGGGTCCCACACAAATATACGTGGCACGTGGCACGTGACACATCAAGACAAAAAATTGAAATCAAAGATGACACATGTCAGCATCTAAGAGCTCTATCAATCAAACTAAATCATATGCAAAAAAAGGAATAAATTATTCTTAATGGACAATTTTTCCTAAATTATAAGTTAATTTCCTCAAATCAAGGATTTTGACTTAACTAAGAGCTGAATTAAATCAAATAAAAAATCAATCCCACAAATCAAGGGATTCAGATTGAGGATTCCAAACCAAAATACAATTTTTGGCCTATAAATACTTGGCTCTCATTTAAGAGAAAGGATCTTCAGAAAAAGAGGCACACACACTTTGGAAAACCAGAAAGCTCTCTGTCCAAAACAACACCTAGACTCTTAAGTTCTTCATCAAGCTTGTGGAGAATCACCAAGTATAACAAACACATGCCGATTCCTTCAATGCCAAAGTCGAAGACTATCCATCAAGTGACACTACTTGTGGTCCTGACGTGATTGAGATCAAGCCGCGACGGCCCTCGACGAAGTCTCAAATTCCGATTCAAGATCAAGTGCTTGGCATCCGTGAATCGTACACTCTTGGAGATTGAATAAGAAGAAATTCTTTTATTTTTGTAAAAGAATATCCACAAAGATTGTAACCTATACACTTGATAAATCAATACAAATATTATTTTGTATACGTGTTCTTGTCTCATTTGTCGCAAGATATTTGTGTTTATACACATATATGACAAGACAAGGTATTTACGTGGTTCATTCTTAATTGGATTATGTTATGGAGTTTAATTTTGAGTACAAACAATAGCTAAACTATATGAAGAGGTGGATTTCTCACACACACACACACTATTACGGTGTCAATAATAACAAAAGCCACAATGTGCTGATGACTAAATATTCTAGAGGGCCTCTTGATATAAGGGAAATAAGTGTCTGCAAAATCGATATATGCATGTGTGTCACATTTCAAACTTAAAATATTTCAGACGAAAATAAGGGTAAATTTTTAATGCGTACATAACCAAGAGTGGGTTCACGGATAATATCATGAGACTTAAATGTTAATATTGGAGTATTAACTAGTCTAGTTAGGTTTAAGGTGGTCAAATTAGCCATAATTGGGCAAGCTGTCTGATCATTATTCCACTTTCTTTTTGGTCATCTTCTTTCTAGTCTTCTAGATAAACAAACTCTGGTTTTCTGCCTGTGTGGGACACTAAATATTACTAATCATATCAAATGAAAAAGTTTTTTACCATGTTTCCATTGTTATTGTGCTTGCATCACTATGACAAAACACTCAAATCACACCGAAAATCAAATCCGTAATTAATATGGCATTCCATGGAAGAAAAGCTACACACTTTCTGAATTATGATGTGATCCACCCATAACACTCCCTCCCACCACAATTTATAAGGACATAGAGCTGAACATCATCCAAGTTTTGTTGGCATCAAGGCTATTTGTGAAAATTCCATCCTGGGGAGAATATTCGCGGATGATCCTCTTAACACTTGATCCTCTCTTTTTTTCGATCCCTGCAAAATAGATTCAGTTAACAGAGCACACCTGAAGGGTGTTGGCCAAAGGCGCTCCGATGCAATTAAGTCAGTTAAATTATCTTAAGAAGATACAGCTTTAACTGAAAGGATGAAGCTTTCTTTACGGTATGAGAGAGAAAGGGGGGCGGGACACAGATGGGGGGGGGGGGGGGGGGGGGGGGGGGGGGGGGGGGAGAGAGAGAGAGAGAGAGAGAGATGAGAGAATTTTCTCTAGGGTTTTTCGAAGTACCCAATATGTGGTGTGATGCAATCTTTATATAGAGAATCCTCCTTGGCTAGGGTTTGTAGAGATAATTCCCATATGGAAGGCAATTATTTTTTTCTTAAATGAGATGACAGGATAATATCAAGTAAATTTGTTAGGAATCAAATCCTTGATTTAGGGAGATATTCCAATCATAAATCAAGGATAATTGGTTAATTAATTTAATTAACACAATTATTTGACCAAAGGAATTTTCCTCTATTCACATGTCACCTAGTGATTGGTGTGGGAACAAATATTTTGGCATCCAATCACAAGGCGCCACGTGGATAAGAAGAATATTTTTTAGGTTAATAATTGTGCTCCATTTAATTGGCCAATTCTACCCTTGAAACGCCCTCTCTCTCACGCCACTCTCTTCTTCGCGACTTTGGCCACACTCACACACGGCTCCGGCCACTCGGCTCTCCCCGTGAGAGAAGACTTCCATCCTTTCCATGATCTCAATATCTTTTTCAAGAACATTTAACTAACTTTAGACATCGGAGGGTCTTTGGCCAACAACCCCTCGGGTGCGGTATATTTACTTTGGTATTTTTCGCAAGGATCAAGGAAGAGGAGAGAGAAGGAAGATCAAAGAGCAAGGAATCAACCCGCGAATATTCCTTGTGCGAAATTTCGCTCAAACATATTTGGTGCTTTCATTGGGAGATTTAAGATATGCTTAATGCGATGCTCTCGAATCCAAATCAAGGGAAATCCATTTCCCCCCATCATCAATCTATTCCGACATCAACTATTGCATGTCGGTAAGAATTTCGCTAGACACCCACCACGACCATTTTTTTTTCTCTCTGTAAATTTTTTTACAGAGTTACTGTTCGTGGCCAGTGCCAGGATGGGCAAGCGTGACAAAACCAGCCTAGTCACTTCCATCCTTAGGAAGACGGCCTCCGCCCATCGCCAAGTCGCACTAGCCATGCCATCGAACTCGCAGGCCTCTGAGCTGCAGACGCCGACGCAAAGCTCCATGACCTGACGATGAAAGCTTGTTGACGAAGCCTTGGAGAAGAAGATGAACGCGGCCAAGCTTGGTTGGAGGATTTCCCGGAGTTACCTAGCGACACCTCCTGTGCCATAGGGATCGTCTGCCTCCGATCTGCACGAATTCAGAAGGGAGCTGCCATTTGAAGCTGAAGTGTTGTTGACGTGCCGTTAACAGTGTCGTTGGATCTTTCCTTTGTCGCCAATGACGTTCCTCTCATTAGCTCGAGACAACGCAACCATCATTGGAGTCGGAGGACTCGAAACTATCGACTCGCCGGAACATCCAACCTCGTCGCTGACGCAGCACCGACGATTAAGCTCCACGCGCCGACAATGGCGCTTCACACACTGGTTCTGCAAAAGTTCCCTTATGTGTCTGGCTTTCAAATCCAGATAAATATAATTATTAAATAATGTTAGGATTTATAACTCTCAATAATAATGTTAATGTTTAATGTTTATTTTGAGTTAATACACTTTCCTAATAAGTACTAGCACTTAATATCTATTTTGAATTTCTGTATATTTTTAATAAATATTAACAATTAATGTTTTATTAATTGAATTATAAAACATGCCTTATTTAATAGTCCTATTATTTTATCAAGGCACATGTGATAAAACATGCTTATAAGGACATAGAGCTTAAGATCATCCAAGTTTGGTTGTCATCAAGGCTGTTTGTGAAAATTTCATCCCGAGGAGAATATTCACGGATGATCCTCTTAACACTCGATCCACTTTTTTTTTCGATCCTTGCAAAATAGATTCGATCAATGGAGCACACCCCAAGGGTGTTGGCCAAAGGCCCTCCGATGCGTAAGTCAGTTAAATGGTCTTTAGAAGATACAACTTTAACTGAAAGGATGAAGCTTTCTCTATGGTACAAGAGAGAAAGGGGGTGGCACATAGCCGTGAGAGTGGGAGAGAGTGAGAGAGTTTCCTATGGGATTTTTCGAAGTACCGCATATGTGGTGTGATGCCATCTTTATATAGAGAATCCTCCTTGGTTAGGGTTTGTAGAGATAATTCCCATATAGAAGGGAATTATCTTTTCTTTAAATGAGATGACAAGATAATATCAAGGATATTTGCTAGGAATCATATCCTTGATTTAGGGAGATATTCCAATCTTAAATCAATGATAATTGGTTAATTAAATGGGAGTTTCACTAAAACACCCAAAATGGGGGCTGAAATTATAAAAAAACCCAACACCCAAAACACTTTATAAACACACCCAAAACCCATCATTACACACACTCAAAACCCATTTATAAACACACTCAAAAAATATACAATTATTGATTTTGGGGTTGATTTTGGGTATGTTTCTATGTTTAAATAGTGCTTAGGTTTTTTTATAAATACATGTCTAGGATTGGGTTTATTTATAAATTTGTATAATTAAATTGGGTTTAATTAACATAATTATTTGACCTAAGGAATATTCCTCTATCCACGTGTCATCTTGTGATTGGTTGCCAAAATTCATGTTCCCACAAATGGCCCCCCAGCTTCTACATGGCGAGAGTAAGGCATAGGAATGTTGAATTTCTTGTTTGGGCTTCTTTTTTTTTTTTTTTTTTTTTTTTTTTTTTTTTTTTTTTTTTTTTTTCTCTCCTTTTCTCACTCTTAGTTAGGCCAATTGTGGGATTGGCCGAGCATCTATGCTGTGTTAAGGTTTGCTTGGACCAGGTAGTTATTGAGCTAGTTGACCAATGCAATGTTTGTTGTGGTATGTCTCGAACTGCTTATGTGCTTTACTCACATATCCAAAGTTTTGTTATATGTGAGTTCTGGTCACTAACTGACTTCTGTCTTCTGCTTGCAGTTGACGAGATCAGTAAAAGGTTTGATCTTGAGCTAGACATGGCCAAAGTTCGACAAGCCAACAGGAAGGTTGTCTGCCCCCAGCTAGAGATGTTGAAAGATAGAAACATCATGGTCCCAACTCAAATGATCAGCTCGATTAGAGGGATGAGTCCTCGAACGACGTGTCTGAAAAGAGGAAGCATGTTCCTAAGGGATCTAAGGATGAAACATGTTTGTGACTGGTTGAATTTTGTCTTATACTTGGACTGTAATAAAGGGGTTGCTTCACTCTACCCCAATAGTGATCAAAAGGTTGAGTTGCTTTTTACATAGGAGTCTTCTGCTTAAGGTGAGTAGGATATCGTCATGGACACAGATGCTATTGAGGAGCTGGTAGCCGATGAGGCTAGAGCTAAGGAGCATGTTGCAGAGGAGAATACAGCTGAAGAAGAGATAGCTGATGAAGTTGAAGCCCAAGAGAATGTGGCTAATGAGACTGGAGCTAAGGAGGATGTCAACAATAGGGAGTCTCCTACTGACGTCTCAAAGTAGATGAAGACTCTTTCTTCTTTGTAGCTTTGTAGCTTTAAGTATTGGTCTTGATTGACCACTTCATCTATTCTGCTGAACTTGAGCTTGTCGGGTGCTCACTAATATATTTGAAACTCTGGATTTGTTGATCGCTTTGTTTTTTGTTGAGTTTTAGGTGTGCTGATCACTTTTTGTTGGCTGCTAGCATTTTGAATGTGGATCTATTGACTGCTTGAGTGGCCTGCTAGCACTCTTGGTTGGGCAATTGCATGAATGTCTCTTGAGTGAACCTGTTGGCTGCTTGGTTGGGCAAATGCATGAGTTGTCTCCTAAGTGGACCTGTTGGCCTATTAGTTGGGGAACTGTGTGAGTTGTCTCTTCAGTGGACATGTTGGCCTCTTGGTTGGGCAACTACATGAGTCGTCTCTTGAGTGGACTTATTGGCCTCTTGGTTAGGTAACTGCGTGAGTCGTCTCTTGAGTGGACATGTTGGCCTCTTGGTTAGTCAACTTAGTGAGTTGTCTCTTTAGTGAACCTGTTGGTTGCTTGGTTGGGCAACTGTGTGACTTGTCTCCTAAGTGGACCTGTTGGCCTCTTAGTTGGGCAACTGTGTGAGTTGTCTCTTGAGTGGACATGTTGCCTCTTGGTTGGGCAACTACATGAGTCTTCTCTTGAGTGGACATGTTGGCCTGTTGGCCTCTTGGTTGGGTAACTGCGTGAGTCGTCTCTTGAGTGGACCTGTTGGCCTCTTGGTTGGTCAACTTAGTGAGTTGTCTCTTTAGTGGACTTATTGGCCTCTTAGTTGGGCAACTACTTTAGTTGTCTCTTAATCGGATGAATATTCAAGGTTTGAGAACCTCTAATGCCTCAGTCAGTAGATGGTTTCAAGGAGATGCATATCATATTGACGGATTTAAGGTTATGTTCAGGTATTGAAGAACCTCTCAAATTTGTCTTCTTTTTTGGCTTAGTTAACGTGTTAATCGAGTGAGTTACCATGTTATCAGTGTTTGAACATCTCCCTTAGGATATTTAAATGTTTACCCATTTCTTCTATAAAGGGTGTCGTCCTCTATTGAGGATTAATTTTTACCCACCTCTTACGTAAAGGGTGTCTTCCTTTACTGAGTGTCAATGTTTACCCACCCTTACGTAAAGGGTGTCTTTCTCTACTGAAGGTTAATTTTTATTGCCTTCCTCTGCCGAGAGTTATTCTTACCCACTCTTACAGAAAGGGTGCCTTCCTCTACTGATGGTTATTTTTACCCACCCTTACGGAAAAGGTGCCTTCTTCTACAGAGGGTTAATTTTTACCCACCTTATGTAAAGGGTATCATCCTCTGCTGATAGGTGAATATTTCTTGAACACTTCTTTTAATGAAAAATCTAACTTCTTCGAACTGAAGTGGAGTGGACTTAGCCATCTGATAGGGACTAAGCTACACTTTTGTTGCAGTAGGACATCAATTGCTGCTGATAAGCTGCAACTCATACAATGGGTTTTCTTGGTCCTCTTCGAGCATGTCAAAGTTGGTTCTCATATGCTTGGAGTTCTGATCAATGTTGCCCACCTTGAGGCTTATGGATGGAACAGTGATGTGAGGAGGAATGATTTATTTTGGAAAATGGGGGTTTCGCGAGTTGATCACCTTTTGGTGGTGTAATAAGCCCATAATACTCTGGGCAGCTCATCTACCTATTTTCCCTTGGTGCCTTCTAATCTCTTTTTCAGCTAGTCCATCACGATCTTGTTGGAGACTTTTGCTTGACCATTGCCTTGCGGATATCTCAGAGTTCATAAGTGTTGCTTTATACTATACTTCACGAAGAATATGGTGATATTCTTGCAATCGATTGTGTATCTATTGTCAGTGACTTGCAACCTTGGGCATCCAATGAGGCGGATGATGTTCTTCATGATGAATCGTTCCACGTCGGCTTCTTTAGTAGAGGAGAGAGCTTTAGCCTTGATCCATTTTGTAAAGTAGTCAGTGGCCGTGATCATCATTTCTTTTTTGGCAAGAGCCGGTGTCATGGTGCCCATTAAGTCAATGGCCCATTGCATGAATGGCCATGGGTTGTTCTGCGAATGATACACTTCAGTTTGTAGACTAGGAATCAGCTTGTATCGTTGGCATCGATCACATCTTTTGATATACGCTATAGAGTCATGGCGCATGGTAGGCCATAATTAGCCCATGCGGAGAGATTTCTAGGTGAGAAACCTGCCCCTAAAATGTTTTCCACATTCACCATCGTGGATTTTGCTGAGTATATCGAGAGTTTGAAGGTACTTTATGCGTGTGAGATGAGGACCAAAATATGATATGCGAACAAGCTTGTTGTCCTACATGTAGTACCTTGCAGCTTTCTGTTGGATTTTTCTGGCCTCGGACCTCTCTTTTGGCAAATTTTCGTTTACCAAATAGTCGATGATATGGTCTTGCCAGCTAAGATCCTCATCGATCTACATTAAGTCTGTGTGTTCTACCTCTTCAATGGTTGGCTGATCAAGGTGCTATACCGGGATTGAGCGCCCAAACTGGGTGTCCAGGTGCCAATCCTAGGCTTGCCAATGCATCTGCATAAGTGTTCTCTGCTCAGGGAATTTGTTGGACGATGTAGGTTGGCAATGCCTTCAAAAGTTCTTGAACTTTGTCGAGGTATTGGATAATTCTTAGGTATTTTTCCATGTACTCCCCTAAGGCTTGATTAGCGATAAGCTGGGAGTCTAAATAGATGGCTAACCTTCTGATTGTCAATTCTTTTGCTAAGTGCAGTCCATCGAGCAATGCCTCGTACTTTGCTTCACTGTGTGAAGCTGGGAAGCCCATTGTTATGGCTTGCTCCAACATAGTTCCATCTAGGGTGATTATGACGACGCTTGCTCTAACTTCCTTGTGATTTGACGCTCCGTCTATACTCAACTTCCACATGTCTTGAGTTGGTCAAGTTCGGCAAATGAGTTCTCGTCAGCTCTTGAATTGTCCTTGTCTCTGTTGGCCAACTTCCCTTCTTTGGCTGAGGAAAGAGTGAATTTTGCGACTAAATCTACTAAAGCCTGGTCTTTGATAGCAGTCTTCGGCTGGTAGATGAGATCCTATTGACTCAATTTGATAGCCCATTTCATGAGTCATTGAGAAGTGTCAGGGTTATGAAAAATCAATCTCAAAGGAAATTCTATCATGACAATTATCCGATGAGCTTGATAATAAGGTCTGAACTTTCTCACAGAAACTACGATGGCCAAAATGAGTCTTTCCATTTTCGGATAGTGAGTCTCTGCATCAAAAGGAGCTTGTGATGTGTAGAATACAGGATGTTGTGCCCCTAGATCTTCTCATATGAGAGTTGAGCTGACTGCTGAGTTGGACACCTCGCAGCCAAGAGAACACAACAACTCACGAAGTACCAAATTGACAATGCAGGGGCAAAAGCCCTAATCGCGAACCTCAAAATGATTGAACGACCAGCCCCGCCTCGCAGCCAAGAGGGCACGACGACGCATGAAGGAGAACTACTACATGAGAACTGAGAGAGAGACATGAAATGAGACTAACACAATTAGAAGTAGTGCGATGAAGGTTAGTGAAACCTGGATGTGGAAAAGACACAAATCCTTCAAATATAGCACGACTCTCCTCGCTAGCAAGAGAGCGACCCTCTTTTCACCATGATGAGCCTCCTTGTTAAGAGTGATCCGTTGTGATAAGGACAAAAAATGATCATCACATTTGATGTAGAACAAATGTTGGAAGCAATTAAAGAGGAGTTGGAGCGATGCACATGCAAAGACAAATAAGGTAAATCGTGGTTAGGGTTATGTTTTGTTATTCAAGTTTATCAAATAAACCATAAGGTTTCCTCATATCTTCCTGATGGATTTCAAAGTTACATGTTTGAGGCTAAGGTTTAGCCAATCAATCGTCACATCGGGCAAGTATTGCCGGCCCAGTGAACAACCTAGATGGATGTGATAAGACCCGTGGCACAGGGGAAGTTGTTACTCGTGCAGAGTTTGAGACCCTCTCTGCGACAGTGGTTGAGGTTCGGTGCTTATTGTTGGGCATGGGAAACCAAAACCCTCTACTGTGACCTAATGGGCCCACGTACATCATCCTATTGTTGAGAGCGACTACGAGTCTGAAGAACTCCAGGAACAGCCCCCGATCGCACCTAATCAGAATAATCGTAACCAATACATGGATGATTTTCGGATTAAGGCTGATATTCCATACTTTAATGATCACCTACATATTGAAAACTTTCTTGATTGGTTGGTAGAGGTGCGTTTTTTCTAGATTATGGAGGTTCCAGAGATGAAGATGGTGAAGATAGCTGCCTTTCGTCTGAAGGGTAGTGTAGCTATATGGTGAGACCAGCTTCAAAATCACGGGATCTGTAGGGTAAGTAAGGAGTAAAGACTTGGCGCCATATGAAGCAACTAATGATGGGGAGATTCCTACCTGTCGATTATGAGCAGTACCTGTATCGGCTTCACCACAATTGCCACCAAGGCAATTAGACCGTTTATGAGTATATGGATGAAATAGATGGACATATGGTCGCTTGGTATATCACTTGGTTGAGAAGTTCTTTGCAGGAGAAAATTGGGCTTCAGACTTTGTGGGCAGTTCATGAGGCACACAATACGACATTGAAGGCCAAATTACTAGAAAAATAAGCATACTAGGTCGAGCATTAGTGGTATCAAGAAGAGCATTTATCAATCCTCTGCTCCATCCATGGAGAAAACAAGGGTGTGTAGTTCCTGGGGAGAGTAATAAGCAAAAGAATTTTACCCCACGCGACTAAGGTAGTAGCAGAAATTGGGGAAGAGATCGCAATAAGATGAGCAATCCTTATGCTAGGCCGACGAATGATATTTGTTACAGGAGTTCCAAAACAGGGCATTGCTCCAATGAGTGCTTAACAAACAGTTCAATCTAGTTGAGCTGGCTGAAGACGAAGATGAGGATGGTAATGTTGATGTAGATTACGAAGGAGCAGAATTTACGGATAAGGATGGTGATGAGATAGTGAATTTCGTGTTGTAGAGAGTCTTCATATCCCCAAAACATGAGGCAGGCAATGCAACATGATTTTTCGTTCACTTTGCACCATTGACAATAGAGTGTGCAGTGTGATCGTGGATAGTGGCAGTTGCGAAAATATTGTATCCAAGAAATTAGTGGATTATTTACAGCTCCCAACATAGAAGCATAAGTCTCCGTATGCATTGAGGTAGGTAAAGAAAGGACCCATAGTTTAGGCGACAGAAGTATGCAAGGTTCCCATCTCCATTGGCAAGCATTACAAAGAGGAAGTTTCGTGTGACGTGATCGATATGGATGCTAGTCATGTATTACTAGGGTATCCTTGGCAATATGATACATGTGCTACACATAAAGGACGTGATAATGTGTATTTGTTTAATTAGGGTTCCTACAAGAATGTTATGGCTCGTGTTAGTGAATCTGGAAAATTGAGAAGCAAAAGAACTCGAGTTTTCTAATGATGTTGAACAATGAGCAAGAGTTTGAGGAAGATATTAAAAAGCTGATGTCGTGTACACTGTCTATGTGAAAGGGTTGTTAGCTGCCTTGCTAGAGGGTATGTCTTGCCCGAGAAAGGTAAAGAAAATTTTAATTGATTTTCAAGACTTGATTTCAGATTATTTACCTAATTAGCTACCACCTATGAGAGACATACAGCATCACATTGATTTAGAACATGGGGCTAGTCTTCCCAATCTACCCCAATATTGTATGAGCCCTGAGGAGAATGATATTCTTAGAGAAAAGATAGAAGATTTGCTACAAAAGGGGTTTGTTAGAGAAAGTATGAGTCCGTGTGCAATTCTTGTATTGTTGGTACTGAAGAAGGACAGTACATTGCACTGTGCAATCACCAAATCACCATCAAGTACATATTTCCAATTTCATGCCTGGAGGACATGTTGGATGTTTTGGAGGGCTCTAAAGTGTTTTCCAAAATTGATTTGAGGGGTGGGTATCACCATATTTGAATCAAACTTGGAGATGAGTGGAAAACAACTTTTAAGAGCAAGGATGGATTGTACGAATGGTTGGTGATGCTGTTTGGGTTGTCAAATGCATCGATCACATTTATGAGACTTATGAATCAAGAGCACAAGCTGTTTGTTAACTTGAAAACGTGTACTTTCATCACAAACAAGTTACTTTTTCTGGGTTATGTTATTAGTGCAAATGGTATCCACGTGGATGAAGATAAGGTGTGAGCCATTCGGCAGTGGCCTACGCTCGAAACAACCAGTGATATGAGAGGTTTCCATGGCCTTGCAACCTTTTATAGGCGTTTTGTTGGCCATTTCAACACCGTAACTGCACTAAAAACTGAGTGTCTGAAGCATGGAAAATTTAATTGGGGTGAAGAGCAAGAGCACAACTCTACCATCATTCAAGAAAAGTTAAGCACAACATCGGTTCTAGCCTTTCCCAACTTTGAGAAGTTATTCGAGGTCGAATGTGACGCAAGTGGGGTGGGTATCAGAGCTGTTTTGTCTCAAGAGAAGAGATTGATTGCATGTTTTTTTCTTCAGAAAAACTTAGTGAAGCATGCCAAAAATGGAGCACCTATGACCAGGAGTTTTATGCAGTGGTTCGAGCCCTGAAACAATGGGAACATTATCTAGTGTAGTGGGAGTTTGTGCTATACACTGACACCCAAGCCTTGGAATTTATCAACAGCCAGAAGAGTGTGAACAAGTTGCATGTCAGGTGGGCTACTTTTGTGTAGAAATTTCCATTTGTTATTAAACATAAATATGGAGTTCTTAAACGTGTAGTAGATGCACTGAGTTGTCGAGCAACTTTGCTTATTACTTTGGCTCAAGAAGTTGTGGGTTTCAAATTTATGAAGGAACTGTATGAGACTGATGAGGATTTTCAAGAAATTTGAGCTAAGTTTGTTCGCAATGAGCCGATGATAGATTATCATGTTAATGAGGGCAATCGATTGTGCATCCTTATTTCTTCTTTAAGGGAGAAATGGATTTGAGACTTGAATAGGGGTGGACTGAGCGGCCATCTGGGCCTTTCTAAAACCATTGCCAGTATGGAGGAGCGTTATTTTTTGCCACACTTGAAGTGAGAGATCAGCACTATTGTGCGGAAGTTCTACCTTTGTCATATATCTAAAGGGAAATCCCAAAATACTGGTCTTTATATGCCTCTCCTTGTCCCTGATGATATTTGGCAAGTCTTGTCTATGGATTTTGTTCTGGGACCCTTTCATACATAACGAGGAGTTAATTATGTTTTTGTTGTGGTTGACAAGTTTTCTAAGGTGGCACACTTTATTGGTTGCAAGAAGACTGCGGATGCTTCCAACATAGCCAAACTGTTTTTCAGGGAGGTTGTGTGGTTGCATGGTGTTCCTAAATTTATTACATCAGACCGTGACACCAAATTCCTTAGCCACTTTTGGATAACCTTGTGGAGGATGTTTGTTACAGACTTGAATTGTAGTAGCACCACTCATCCGCAGACGAACGGTCAAACTGAGGTTACCAGCAGAACCCTCGGAGACATGGGTAGAAGCATTTGCAAAGATAGGCCGAAGCAATGGGACGTTGCCCTGCCACAGGTGGAGTTCGCTTACAACAGTGTTGTTCATTCTTCCACCAAAAAATCACCATTTGCCATTGTTTACACTTTGGTGCCTAGGCATGTGGTTGACCAGGTCAAGTTTCCAAGAGCCCAGAAGACTAGTGTAGCTGCTGAAAATATGGCCGAATAGGTTCAAACTGTGAGGGAAGAAGTGAAGGACAAGCTAGAGAGGACCAATGCCAAATTTAAGGCCACCGCTGACAAGCGCCGCCGTGTGAAGTTTTTCCAGGAAGGAGACTCCTTGATGATCTACTTGAGGAGAGAACATTTCCCAGTAGGTACATACAGTAAACTGAAGCCTCGGAAGTATGACCTTTACAAAGTTTTGAAGAAAATAAACGACAATGACTATGTCGTGGACCTTCCTTCCATGGGATCTACATGAGTTCCACGATGATGAGTCAATTTATCATGATGATAACTCAGGGTCAATTTCTTTGGAAGTGGAAGGGACTAGTTTAGAACAGATGACGGAAGCAATTGAAGAGGAGCTGGAGCGACGAGTGCACAACGGTAAATTGGGTAAACTGCATATTTGGGCTCTAAGCTCAGAATTGGGCCCATCACCCGTTGATTCGAAGAGAATGGTGTCACGAGTAAAACACATTGCTTTTTGGGTCATCCGAGATCGTTTACTAGCCTGAAATCTAGTTTTAAAGTTTTTACAGTTTTTAGAGTATTTAAGCATACTTACCCTTGGTTAGGGTTATGTTTTGTTATTCCAGTTAATCAAATAAACCTTGAGGTTTCCTCATATCTTCCTGGTGGATTCTAGAGTAACATGTTTTAGGCTAAGGTTTAGGCAATCAATTGTAACGTTGAGTCAACACTAACATTGTGGCAAACTCGCAATATGGTCCATTGATATAATCGTAAATTTTTTATATCCCCATTTAAAAACCATATTTGACAAAGTTAACTTTTTTTGTCCATATAGTTTTGCTTTTCTTTTCTCGGTTCAAGTTTTTTCCTCCACTCCTAATATTTGTAATCAATAAACAGTAGCAGATCTTGAATTTTCAGTATGAGGAGTCAGTCATGGTGTAACAATTCCGAAATCAATACTGTAATATTAACGTTAATCCCTGAGAAAGTAGACAACCCAAATATTAACCTTTTGATCAAGGTAAAAGAAAGAAGAAAAGAAAGAGGAAATATAAATGATCTAATTGCACTTGACATACATTATCTGAAATTTCATCAATAAAAACAAACACCATTTTCAATCAAATAAACAAAACAAAGATTGATTAATTTTGAAGTTCACATGAAAAGGAAGGATTAGAAAAGAAAAGGCAAAGCAATTAGAAAAGGACTTGGTCTTGCAAAGAGTTGACGATTTGCTTGAGCTCTTGGCCAAGTTCCTTCGCAGACATTAAAGAGAAGGAAAATAGAGAAAGGAATTGAGGGTTGGGTTAGGGTTTAATGAGGAATTATGTCAGAATTAGAGAAATTGGGGTGAGGGGGAATGTCGTTGCTGCTGCTGAAACTTGGGAAACTCTTTCGGGCTTTCCGTTAAACTTCTAGTGGGCAACCTAAAGGGGTCACACCAGGACCTCACATTCATTTTCATGGCTTTCGCGGGGTTGATCGACCCCACCACTACAATCAACAAGATTGAACATTGGTTGGAATTGAATGCTATTATTAACATTTTCGTGTGTAATAAAAATACTATGTTATGATCAAATTAGCACTTACTTTTGAGAAAGCAAACTATAACACGAAGTATTTGCAAAATATAAGGGCTCGTTTGGTATCCTACTTGAATCAATTTTTTTAAACTCAAAAATAAATTTTGAGTCCAAAGCCCATAATTTGCGTTTGGTAAAGTCCATTTTTCAAAAACCTAACTCAATAACTTAAAAAATGCCTAATTTTAAAAACAAAAAGATGTGAAGTTTGCAGTTTTCTCTCTCTCTCTCTCTCTCTCTCTCTCTCTCTCCCCTCCATCTCCCGTTTCTCTCTCTTTTCCCTATCTCTGGCCTCCGTCTCTCATCACTCTCTCGCTCCTCCTCTTTCTTCTCTCTCTCCTCCCTTTGTCATTTTGTTTATTAATTTCAATTTGGGAATCTAGGGTTTCTTATTTTAATTTCAATTTTTTTAGATCTTAAAAATATTTTCGAGTTCAATACCAAACAAGTTTTTAGATCTTAAAATCAGTATTTAAAAACCCATGTTTATAAAAAAAAATTTAAAAAAAAATCATGCTTTTTGAGTTCATTTTTTTGAGTAGGATACCAAACGGGTCCTAAATTTTGCTCCTCAATTGGTGTTTTTATGTATGCTAACTAAATTAATCATCATATGACGGTCTTGCTTATTCTTCTCCCTCTCCAAAGAACCTTCATTGACTGACACCTTTTGGTTCTAGGGGTTTCCCTTGGAACCAAACCTTTTCGGGTAATAAACCGGGCGTCTCTCCCTTTTGGCTAATAAATTGGGTGTCTCTCTCCCCTATCATGTTGTAGAGAGCTTTTGTATCTAGGTTTGCTCTAGATTTTGTCTTCCCCAGAGTTTGCGCCAGATTTTGTCTTTCCCTTGAGTTTGCAAGGGTTTTGGTCTCTTCTCGAGTCTTCTTAGGGTGTGTATACCAGTATTTCGAGCTAGGTTTGTGGATATGTGTAGTGTTTGTGCAAATTTCTCACGGGAGAATATTCACTTGTAGATCCTTCATGTTTTAAGCTTACTTCTCTCTTTTCCTCGGTTCTTGCGAAATAAACAGGAGTAAAAGACCACACCTCGGGGATGTTGGCCAAAGACCCTTCGATGCCTAAGTTAATTCGATTGAATTCTTGAGAAACAATAGCTAAAAAGGGTATGAAGTTTTTCTTCACCCGTTTTGTGTTTGCTCCTGTGATGGAAGGGTAAAGTTCCCCATTGTCTTGAAAACCATTGACTGGTCAACAAGTTAACTTTCTTTAATGTGCGAGCGTGTCACTGCTAGCAATAACAAATCTAGCAGACTTCTTAAAATAGATAACTTGTGCCCCAAGTTACTAATTTCTAAACAAGCGATTGTGATTTTGGGTGAGGAATATCTCCCAAGTTCTTTTCCTGCCTCAGACTGGTGAGGACTTCACAATTTATCTCAGTACAAAATTGGTTGTTCTAGCCAGAATAAATGATAATAAAGTGGACTGTTTTAGGCAGAACTGCCTTTTACAAAACTAGAAAGGGAAAAATCAACTCTAGAAAGACAAAAAGATGGCTGGAATTTACATTTTTGCCTGGATAGAAGCTTCTAATCCTGTTTGGATTGGGTATATCCGTGCTGGACTGGACTGTCTCTAGCTTCGACTGCTTAGCTTCAGCTGTAAATCGATACCAAAGTTCAATTTTGGTAGAGCTTTAATCTACTTCAAGCCTTGGGAGGCTTTTGAACGGACAGAATTGCGGCCTCTTCAGTCTGAAAGAGGCAAAAGTGGCTGGACTTGAGGACTTACTGAGCCGAAACTGCACTGTAATACCTGTTCTGCTTGATCAAGGCTCTCCATAAATTTGTTGAGGTTTTCATATTTGTAACGAGAGAAGTTTCATTTTGAATGACTTATTTCTCTAAGTCTGAACTTGGAAGTTCTGATCTATAGCTGGCTTCTTTGTGGCTCAAATGAGCTTTTGGTTGTTCCAGTTTGTTTTGAAGGTTCTCAGTGATCAAGTGATCATTTTGAGTTTTTGCCTTTGGTTAATTTTTTTATTGTTTGATTGATTGTTTGTCCAGTGTTCTGTTCACCCCCTCTTATATTTATAAGAAATGCTTTGGAGTAGGGTTTCTAATTCTTTAAATAATGGGCTGCAAAAATTCTCAAAAGATCTCTTACTTTTTAGATGCAAAGAAGAAGATATTTTTATCAATTCTGGCAGATAAGCTCTTAACAGTCAGTTCCTATGGCAATCACTTCCCTGTATTTTCTTTGAAAGGAAACCTAACCCTCCTTCCAATTTAACTGCTCTTTGTAAGAGTTCAAACTTTGATGGTTAGTTTGATTTTTTCAGTTTGAACAACTCCCTGTTTCCTGCTTATCTTTTTTTTTTTTGAAAACTTAGCCTGCGTATCTCTTGAAAGTCGGTGCCTTCTCTGGAGCAAAAGCAATATTTCTAAATATAAAAAGGGTTTTGATCTTCTGGTGGCAGAGATTCAGGGATGTCCCTTCTTTTGCCTGGCCTTGTCAACTTTTATCAACCCAGTTGAGAATATTGACTTTTTTCAAAGTTTTTCAGATAGTCACGTGGGTCTTCCTCTGTTTTTTGGGTTTCTTTTTAATCATACCGGGCCCTATCTGAATTTTCGGGGCCATGGGCTTATTTTCCTTTCTTTTCTTTCGAGGCCCATGTTTTATTTTTATGTCTTGATAGATCCCGGGCTAGGCCTTCTTGGATTTTGGGCCTTTGATTACTATTTATTTTCAGAGTCCAGACTTCTCGGGCCCTGTGTTTTGTCTTTGTTATTCTGGGCTCTGTAGCGTTGGGCTGGGTGTGCAAGATTTTGGCCCAAACAATTTTCTCTATGGGGAGAACCTGGTGGCTGGAGTTGTGTGTGGTGACGCTTGGCCATGTAGGAGAGATGAGAGTGGTGAGGCCAGCGGCTACGGATGTCATTTGCTAGGAGAGAGAGAGAGAGAGAGAGAGAGAGAGAGAGAGGTTTCGGGTGTTTAGGGTTAAGAGAGGAATTTAGAATTACCTTGTGTGTTGAACGTGGCCATGTATTTATAGGGCTCTAGCCATCTAGGGTTTTTCAAAGAATATCTTCTTATTTGGAAGGAAGATATTCTTTCCCCAAAATGTAGAGATTGAGTTAATTAGGGATTTGATTGGGATCAAATCACTAAGTGATGATAATATCCCCAAAATGAGATATTATCCTAAATTGATGATATTATCTTTTAAATAAAGATAATATCCCATATTTAAGATAAGATCCTTATTTTTAGTATCAATAATTGGCCAAATAAATGGGCTCAATTAATTGACCTAGGATATATTCTTCTTGTCCACGTGGCACCTTGTGATTGGAAGCTGGATTATTTGCTCCCACATGTACATTAGCCACTCTTGGCCTCTTAATTTTCTGGTTTGCACTACTAGAAAACCTCAATATAAACCACAGATACACCTGTGGCTTATTTTCATGTTCGCCACAGACAACCTATGGCTATAGGCTATTGGCCACAGATCAAGTGATTGTGGTAATTATAGGTGTTGTCATTGATTTTTTTTTGGTCATGGCAAGGGGTGTTTGTGGTAAATAAAAAGTTGGGCCCCACCCATACTCCACCTCTCCGTCTGCAGCTCTTTGAAAAGATAAAAATAAATTATTTTTCTTATTTAACATGGATTCATATTGATGTGGCAAAAAAAAAAAAAACGGGAGCAACCTTTTAAAATGCAAAAAAAAAAAAAAAAAAAAAAAAATAAACCAAACCAAAAAAAAAAATAATTTTATTTTAATTATTCTTTTGTACAACTGGGAATTGGTTTTGATTTGCTTTTGATGTCTTTGGAGGAGGAGTTGATAAATCTTTGACGAATCCTTTAATGGGTGTTGTGGGATCATGTGGGTTGCTGGAGGCACTGTAGTTTTCTCTAGCTAGGTGATTGTTCAGCAGTCATGCCCTTTCACTTGTTGGTGTTTCTGGTCTCTAGC